ACCTGGTGATTTGTTTAGCTTCATATTAAAAATGGCTTCTGTGCATTCTTCTATTGAGATGTTGCCGCCTAGAGAGCTTTTCTCGTTATCAGTTAATTTATGATCTATTTTTGTTTCTTCAACATATTGCTTAATATTATTAACATCTGGATTTGTACTTTTATATAAATTTTCATAGTAACATTTTTCTAAATTTAAAATTTCTGATGGCTCTGTTATGATTTTGTCTTGCGTATCTTTCAATGCCGAAATATTTTTTTTTGTTTGTCTTGATTTTTCTGAACCTAAAAAGAATTTTTGTGTTTTTTCCCCTTCTTCTAACCATTTGACTCTGGATCTTACTTGTGCACCTTTAACTTCATTTTTATAAAGATTTTCTAGATTTTTTTCAATTTTTTCTATTTCATCTTTAGTTTTTTTTGAAGGATTAATTTTATTATTTAATCTTTGTAAGTTCATTTCTAAATCTTTTATTTTCTTTTTCTTTTCAGATGACTTGTTTTTACAATACATTACAGTTATGTCCCTTACTTCAGATTTGAAGATATCCCAAATATCTCTAGAATCTCTGGTAAGTGCCTTTTCTTCATATTTTAAAATAAGGTTGTTTATATGGTTTTTATAATTATCATCTATTAAAAACTATTATTTATTTTAAAGAAACCTCTTCCTCTGCCATGGGGATTTTGTCTTATTTTTAACGAAATGGCTTAGTGATCAGTATGTGATATCATAGCAGGTCTTATATCAGAATTGATTACGTGTGGCCTTGTGTCTGGACTGATCAAAAAGAAGTCTATTCTACTTGTGAGGTTCGTATTGTTTTTCCTTCTCCATGTAAATTGAGTTTTGTTTGGATTTATTTCCCTCCATATATCTATTAATTTGTTTTTTTTAATGAGCTGTTTAAGACTATTTACTGGTTTGTAGTATTTATGAGAGCTATTTAATAGGGTTTCATTCATGTCCCCTCCTAAAATTAAGATACCTAAGAGATTATTTTCTTTGATGTTATTTACGCTTTTAAAAAATTTATTTCTGTTAGTATGAATGTTAGGGGCATATACATTTATTAAGGTAAAAATGTTATCGTTAACTTCAATGTTGATCAAAATAATTCTCCCATCATTATCTTTAACTTCATTTATTAGTTTATAATTTAAACTGTCTTTAATCATTATTGAAACGCCTCTGGATTAGGAACTTCCATAGCTATGAAAAAATTTACCTTTTACTTTACTATTAATAATATGTTCATTTTTCTCTATTAGATGGGATTCTTGTATAAATAATATATATTACATTTTTGATGTTTATTCCACAAATATAATCTCTCTCTTTCTGTCCTAAACCTTGACAGTTTAAGGATATAATATGTATATTGTCACTCATTGTTTTTACTTAGGAATTGTTCACTTTTATACATTAAATGTAACTGTACAATTATGGTACTCATAATTAGTGTAATAACCCACCCAATAGTACATGTTAATGAGACTATTATTAGAACAACATGCCTTATTACATTCTTTACATGTTTGTATATACACAAGGTTAAATGCACTGTTAACTTCTTTTTTTCAAAGACACAATATAGTAATAAAAATATCATTATGAAGAAGGATAGTTGTAAGAAATGACCATTATAACAGTGTAACATAAAATAAATAACAGATTTGATTATGCTAACCACTTTCGAGCTAAATTTTGTTTGTTTACATATCAATACTATGTATCTAATATAAGAATAACAAAGCTTAAGTGTATTTAAATATACAAATATATCATTCAAATAACTATACACTTTTCCAATAATCAGGAAAGACGCTATCATGATTCCCATCGATCTCTGAATTGTTTTATCGAGTAATCTATTTTTAGATTCGGTGAAAACCGAGAAATTTGTGGATTTTTGGAATAGGGTCTGCATGAATATAACTGTAGTTATACTGTTTTTAGTTAGGTATGTCACATGTATGACGATAATGCAAATTAAAAAGAGAAAATATTTTTGAACATTTAAATATAGTTGCAGAAATTTTGTGTTTGACAGATGATACATGTTTACTTTGACGACTACATTGATTGACCTACTTAAATAGTTGTTTATTGATGTGTGCGTTTGATATAAACTTAATTGTAAAAGAACAAACAAATAACTATTATTTACATATGTTTCAATTCTTTTCAGGTATTTTAGAGTGGCAATCACCATGGATGTGGAAGTAGCTTGTACAAAAAATACATGAACTATATAGAAGGAACTAATTTTCAGTTTTGGGGTACCTAAGGCAATAGTGGTGTTTTTAATTTGCCAATCTTTGAAATTGATACTAATTGTGTCCAGGTGAACTAAGTGAGATAATGTACATGTGTATGGCCGATCTTGTTCAGTTATAAAGTTATTCCTGGTACATGTATGTGAGGAATTGAGACATTTATTAACGTGGATTTCATCTTTCAAGGAAGTGATTTCATCAACTAAGTGATGTGGAACACAGCTACAGTTAATCAATTTACCAATCATACTGGAACCATTCAGATTGGGATTTACACATGTTTTGAATTCATTCTTGGTTAATAAAAAGATGATAATAACTTTCAATGGATCAACTATTTGATCATGTTCATTTGTTTTCATGATAATCATAATAAAATATTTCATATCAACATTTAATATATTTTTTCTTACAGAGTGTATACAATCTAATATTATTGTATCACACAATGGATTATTTTTTTCACATTTTTCAGTTAAGATAAAACTAAAACTAACATATATACATATGCACAAAAACTGTGCATTGAAAAACACACTACTGTACATTAAAGTTAACTAGGTCACTGATTAGGGATTTGTCTTCTGTTTTGTCGGCTCTACTACTCGTTTATGTAATTCATCAGTCGGTGTTGTTGCTTGCCTTTTCCCAATTTTCCAGAAGCTGACTTGGGCAGATTTTGTTTGTTTGATTTATTTTTGTTTAATTTTTTTTATCTGTCTTTTTGTCTTTTTTATTTGTCTGCTTATTGTTCGTAGTAATTTTTTTACGTTCTTTTGAGACTACTAATTGTTGTTCATCATCTTCACTATCATCATTTGAATCATCACTACTTTCACTTGCAGGTTGCTTATCTTTAGTTTCATCTTGAACGTTATCAACGTTAGCAGCTTCAGGTACACTATCAGGAACATTCGAATCACCATTCTGATCTTGATCTGCTGCTGGATCGTCCATCGGTTGTTGACATTCTTTGGCTTTATGACCTGATTTACCACAGGAGTTGCACACCCAGTCATTGTCACAGGTCTCCTGTTTGTGTCCCGTCTGTAAACACTTGTTGCATTTAGCATAAGGATTTACTACAATTTGGTCTTTGTGGATGAGTAGCGCTTTGTATTTTCCTATACTGATGAATCTAGGTAGCTGTATACCAGGTACTGGACTTACCATGAATAACCGGTCTCCGGTTTGGCAGTTGGTAAGAAATCCGTTGATACGTAGCCTTTACCGATTGAAGTTGTGAATTTTGAGATTATGTTCGGTCTCAAGATATCTACCAATTTGGTTGTCGTCTGCTGATAAGGGTACGTTTTTTATCCGGATGCGTAAGTAGTTGATGTGTTCTTTAACTACAAATTTTGGGTTTCTGTCATATACATGTATGTGTTTTTTCCTGATAGTGAGACCATTAGCTATCAAATGTTCCCTATCTGACTCACTATCAAGATAAACCCGCCACATTCCATTTACCCTTTGAAGACCTTTCAAATGGCTGTCTTCCACAACATGGCCAATATCACTGTACAACTCAGCATGATGTAAAAAATCTACAGGTTTTGGTTTTATAATTCCGAAGAGATCAGTCTCTAATATGAATACGGGTTTGGCTGCAGAGAACCCGTTGTCACTGTTTTGAGCATTACTTTTATCATTTTCAGTTTTTGAGGCATCCGCATACGACGCCATTTTTGTTGTTGTTTGGTCACTTTCAGAGTTTTCATTAAAGGACTCTTCGTTACTCATTTTTACCATTACTTCAAGATAAATACTTCTAGGTTGATTATTTATCAAATATTTATCCCAATAAATACGTTGATAAGACAGTTCTTCTATGAAATCAGTTTACTTTTTCGGGAGCTCTGAAAAGTCCGTGGACATTTAACTAAGGCCCCTTACGTTCTTAAAGTACGAAGTTAAAGAGCACTGAGGACCAACAATTCCGTGAAAAAGTGATCAAAAGCATAGCAAACCAAATATACGAACTTGATTCAACAAATCTGATAAACAAAACAATAATAAATTAGAAGTTCAACTTTCAGTAAACCATTTAACAATTTCACTGAATGCTACACAGTCGGTTTTTTACCGCATGCAGTTTGTCTCTTTTAATAATAATTCATTCACAAAACGTGGAATATTACTGGTAGAATTCAAAGTTCTACATAGATAGAATCAAGAGCTTTTGATTTCTTTACAATCATATAAAAATCAGTTGGAATATAGAACATTAAGGTAAATACCTTATGTCATATTGAAAACAAATGAGAACATAAATGCATTCATTACTGTTGTTTGATAATGTGTCTATGTTTACCTGCATTGTCACGGGTATTTGTTTTTATCTTTTATTAAACGTTTAGCATTGGTCCAAAGTCGACCGTAAACTAACGTTATATTCTTGATTACAAATGTCTTTTACAAATATCCACCATTTTCTACATAAGAAAATGCATATACGAAGTCAGGAATATGACATTATTTACCATTCGTTTGATGTGTTTGATCTTTTGATTTTGCCATTTGATAAGGGACTTTCCGTTTTGAATTTTCCTTGAAGTTCGGTATTTTTGTTATTTTACTTTTTATCCTATGATGTTGTTTCTTATACAAATGAAATATTCATCGTTTCATATATTTTTTCTCAACACTTGACTTTCAAAAGCTTGGATTTGAGCTTTCCTGGTGCAGGTTAATCAAGAAAATCGCTTCAAACTCAGCCTGTTTATAAATTTTATTTACTTGTAACTGTGATCTTCCTGTAAATGAAAAAGTGCGCATGAAGTGGAATTGCATAAAAAATCAAATAACTTTTGAATATTGAGCTACAACACTTATTTTAAAAGTTTCAAAATGTCTTTTTCATAGTTTAGCTTGTATCATAAGATGATGATTTGTTGAATTTAGAGGAAGATACGTGTTGGCCTCCGCTGACAAATAAAACATTGGATCAGACACTACATTAGGATCAAATCCTTCTTTCATTAGAGTTACTTTATGTTGTTTGTATGTAGAAGTTGTTCGCATGTCCTTCTCAATTCTTAATACTAAAGGTCTTGCATATCTTGGTAATTCCTTTTCACAGTGAGTGTAGATTTCTTGTAACTTTTCAGCTGTAAGTTCGATGTTCTCCATAAGTGTCAGGGAAACCATACCCGCCTTCCCGTCATGACCTGAAAAAGATAATGAATATAAATAACACTTTAAAAGAAATAAAAAACGCGCTTCGGACGCATACAACTTATAAAGCATTATTTTCCTTTTTGTAGCCTTGGGTCTATACCCTGCTGGTGGACTATCAGTTCCCGAGGATATCATCAGCTCCTTAGTCAGTGCTTCGGTACTGACACACTTTATAACATACCTTTTTTAAATAGTCCGTTAAAAAAATTAGATATCATTAAGAAACTAAGGTTTCAACTCCCTCAAGCAAAGTGTACCTTAGATGGATTTGGCTAATATTACAATGCTCTGTATGCATGATGGTCACAACGCTTTTCACCTGCTACGGTTCTTATACATCCTTGGATTTCAAATATTTAACTTGAAGCGTTCCTGATGAGTCTAAATCCAGAAAGCGCTTTCGGATGCATATAATTTATAAGTGTTTTATTTCATTATGTTTAATTCATTTTATCTTACAAGATGTATATCTCTGCCTAACTCAAACAACAGTTACTCTAGAACATCATCATTGTTTATCCCTGCAAAATACATTCCAGTGCAATTTACTGACCAGTTTGAAAAATCTGTTAAAAGAAGGAGATGATCATTGCTATCTGTGTTTAATCATTGATAAATTATGACAACTGCTGACGAAAAACCGTCAGAGTTAGACATTACACAAACAAGGTACCATGTAAGTCTTTTGGACGATCAGAAGGACATGCAAATTGTGTGGAGTTGGAACTATACCTGTTCTTCACTCAGTTTTAACAGATAGTGTATGTGTCGTAGACAATGAATAGTACAAATTTGAACTTATAGGAATCTGGATATTTCTGAATTCAAGTTTGTACTTTTACACATAGAAACAATTTTTCAAAAAACATGGAAAGTAGATATAAGAAGATGTGGTATGAGTGCCAATGAGACAACTCTCCATCCAAGTCAAAATTTATAAAAGTAAACCATTATAGGTCACAGTACGGTCTTCAACACGGAGCCTTGGCTCGCACCGAACAGAAAGCTATAAAGGGCCCAAAAATTTACTAGTGTAAAACCATTCAAACGGGAAAACCAACGGTCGAATCTATATAAAAAACGAGAAACGAGAAACACTTATGAACCACATCAACAAACGACAACTACTGAACATCAGATTCCTGACTTAGGACAGGTGCAAACAAATGCAGCGGGGTTAAACCTTCACCCTTTTTCTGAAACAATAGTGTAACATCACAACATAGAAAGACACACTATAAAATATCAACTGAAATAGCTTAACTCAATCAAAGGACATATTAACACCATTGAACATACACTGAACAAATAAATTTGACCTATGACACAATGTAAATACAAAATAAATAAACTAACTTAAAGGGAAGAATAATAAAAGTAACATGTTATATCGGTAAGAAATGTTAAACAATTAAAGAAAAACAATATGCTCGAACAAAAATATCAGCCATTTGCAATAACTTTAAACACAAGGTTTGTATAGAGAAAATACATATACATAAACTGCACGAACAGCAGAATTCATGCAATTTGGTTTCAGATGCATCAGTAAGACACCAATTGTTTATAGTTTAATTGAGCACTTAATATACTCATTGCTACATGATACTAGTACTTCATTTGTCAAATTGGATTTACAAAAAAATCAAGAACATCCAATCACATTTTTGTTCTTTAGACATTAATTGACAAGTGTATTAATAACACAAATGATAAGCTATTTGCATGCTTTGTAGATCTCAGAAAAGCATTCGACTCTGTTATTCATACAGTTATATAACATAAACTACTTCAACACAACATAGCAGGACAGTTTTATGCTATAGTTAAAGATATGTATAATAAAAGTAAGCTATGTGTCAAAATTGGCGACCAATTAACTCCATTGTTTAGATAATTTATTGCAGTGAGGCAAGGGGATATTTTTAGCCCCAACTTATTCAAACGTCTTATTAATGATCTCCCTGATGTTTTCCCTTTATGTACTAACCATGTCAGTGTTAATAACCAAAGGGTTGATTTTTTAATGTATGCTGATGACATTGTAATTCTCCCATATTCAACAGAGGGATTGCAAGAGAGGTAAACTATGCTTAATAGTTACTGTTCTAAATGGTGTTTAAATGTAAAAGAGAACAAGACAATAGGTATCATTTTTAATACAGCAGGGAGACATTTTAATCTCCCTTTTTACCTAGGTGAGAAAGCTATTGGTTTTACATACATTTTTTTCAATATATAGATGAACTGTACAAGAAGTCTATGAAAGCATTTTTAAATTACAACAATGTATGTCATCTTCAAACCCTACTATTTCATCTTTACTTCATTTATGACCATACTGTAAAGCCAATTTTAACCTATTGATGTGAAGTTTGGTGTATGTTTTCAGTTAACTAATCTGCATGAAAGAAAAATGATGAATATATTTTAGGAAAAATGTTTTCAAACAATACATCTGAAAAATCAAATATCAAATTTATGAGAAATATGTATAAGGTGTAAACAAACAATTCAGTAATCTTGCTGTGACTTCTGAGCTAGGTAGATAGATTCCCAATGTATATTTATATTATATTAGGAATTTTAAAATATTATCATCGACTAAATAATTCTGAGAATAGTTATTATATGATGCATATATATGTACTAAAGAACTTCGCAATAATGGAGTGAATACATGGTTCTAAAGCATAGAATGTATTTTTAAAAAGCTTGACCTACAAACATGCAACTAAAAACCAGTATCTACTCTTTCACTATCTATCTCCATTTCTTGAAGGAAAATAGAAGTATTACAATCAGATCAACGCAAACTTAATACTTATTTCTCCTTTAAAACTCTATTTTGTTTTGAAAAATATTTGGATCTAAGTTATTCTCAAGTTATGTCTAATCTTATGTGTATGTAATGTGATAAAAGCTCTTTATTGGGCCCTTTAATTAGACAATGAAATATTCTTTTTCTTATTCTTATCCTTATATATTAAACAGAATCATCAGGAACAGATACTCCATAAACTTTAAACAAACTCATCAGGAACATATACCTCATATACATTTTGCAAACTCACTAGGTTCTGATAGTTCAAATACATTTAACATACTTACAAATAACTGATACTGAATATACATTTAATGTACTCATAGGAAACTAATACTCCATATACATTTGTTGTACTCATCAGGAGCTGATAATCCATATACAACTATCATACTCAACAGTAACTGCTCTTCACATACATTAACGAGCACACCAGGAACTAGTACTCCATATACATTAAACATACTCACCGGGAACTGATACTCGTTTTACATTTAATATTCTCACCGAAAACTGATTCTTCGTATATATTTTATACACGTACTCACACTAAACTAACATGCCATATACGCTTAACATACTCACCGGGAACTGATACTCCATATACATTCAACATAATTACCAGGAACTGAAACTCCAAATGCATTCAACATACTCACCAGGAACATATAATCCACATACATGTATCATACTCACCAGGAACTGATACTCCATATACATTTGCGTCTAAGATAAATGGTAGCTGTGAAATAATGTTACTAACTTCTGTCGTAGATACGTTTTCGCCTTTCCATCTGCAATGTGTTAAAAAAAGAGACGGAAGATATCAAGGGGATATTCAAAACTCAAAAGTCGATGAAATACCGTCAACGCAATGACAAATAACGAAAGACGGCGAAAAAACAGGTCAACAAAACACTATATACAAAACTAAAGCAATATGAACTGTATCAAAAACTGGGGATGGGGCTGTTTGCACCGGAAGGATAAGCAGATCCTTCTCCACTAATGGCACACGTCATGTGGCTCAGGATAATGTTTATACAAATTCTATGATAATCCACATTTGGTGATGTCACAATCGTGGAAATGAGGAAACAAATGTTATTACGACAATAGAAACACATTTGTTGTCACCTGTGACATAGATTTTTTATAACGCTCAACCAACTCATGATGGCGTTCGTAAAACTTTTGATTGGATGAATAAAACTTTAACTCTTGGTTCGTTAGCTTCCTAGTAAGCAGCAACCCTCTATCAAAGAAACTACGGAAGAAAACACATGCTCTGGAATATCGTACCGCTGGGAGATAAATTCTCCATATCCAGGTGCTACTATTGATACATTCAATTGGTACGTTCACAATTGTGTAACTGAAATCATCCCTTCTGTCGTGAAGTTTTGTTCTCAATTGACCTTTTATTGTCTATTTCTAGATTTAAGATCAGATATGAGACAGACTTAAATGTGTCTGTGGTATCTTTAATTTAAAATTCGACGGGACAGATGCATTCAACATCGTCCCCAAACTTTGACCTATTTATTGAGAGAACATCATCTTTATAGCGGACGTAGAGTTAAAGGATAAAACTAGCTTCTTTTTCATACTTCCTGAAAAGCTCCTGAATGAAGTTGCATCATACTAGTAAAGAAACAAATCAGCAAGATAGATAATGCTGGCCCCAAATATATACTATAAATTTACTCTCTGATATCCAAAGAATGACAGTGCTGTACAAAATAATTCAAGACTTTAATGATTTAAATCGATACATGTTCGAAATATTCAATGGAGCATGTAAAACGGTTTCCGCGTTATGACTTTTTTCTTCGTAACTGGTCTAGTTCTTATATTGCATCCCAGTACCCGTCTTTTTTAAATTTTATTATCAGACAAAACCTGATGGTTAAATCATTCTGCCTTAAATCATATAAATATTCGCAATCAGTTAGCGTGAATCGTTTAAATACAATCCTTGTGAAATTCAAATATTTCTATTCGTTAATTGCAAAACCAACGAGACCCAAAAAAAGTCCATAAAGATATATAGTTATACGCATGTTTTGTTTTTTACTTTACAAACCTGCTCGTGCATTTTTCATTGTTATTCAACGCAAAATAATTATCTAAGATACCTGGGACGATCTCATTTCACAATGGATTTCTATTGTCTTCTTATTGTACCTCGAACTTAAATACCCGGTGTAGGTCTTTAAGTTGAGGTTCAATTTACTAAAAGTTAATCGGGCTTGACTAATTAGATACGCCCTCTTAAAATCAAGGGGTCCGAAATAGGATCGGGAAATAACACCCAGCAAAATATCATAATTTACAATTTTAGAAAATTTTTGATTCAAAATGCTTTTGGTTGCTTTAATATCTCCATTCAATAATCAATCGGTGGAAATACTAACCTGTCCCGAATCGAGAGATGTTGGCTGCAATAGGAATTTATCTAAATAAAAAATATCTCATTTACTCATAGTGGCCGTTATTGTTTGTAAATTAATGACGTTCTGTTTTTTGGCATTCGTCTACCGTGGAGAAAAAAGAGGGAAGGAGGGCTAATTTGATTTTGATTTTTTGTGTTTTAATGCCACTTTTAAGCACCGCTTTTGGGCTATTTCGTGACGGCCAGTTTTTATTGGTGGAGGAAGCCGGAGTGCCCGGAGAAAACCACCGACCTTCGATAGGAAAACTGACAATCCTAGTCATTTAAGATTGGAGTCGAGTGCACCCGCACGAGCGGGGTTCGAACTCACAACCTCAGTGTTGACTGGCTAGTGATTACAGTAGTAACTACTTAGACCACTCGGCCACCGAGGCCCCCAAGAGGGCTAATAGCTTAGCTTACGACTTGATCATGATTCAACTGTATTCTATTACGGCATACGTTTTACTTCTAGCGAACGCTCTGCCTTATTGTAAAAAGTGTAATCATTTGCCTCAGGTTGATCCACATTGCATCTCGTCGTAAATATGCATGACATATTTGCCACTGGACATAAAAGGAGCAATTAATTAATCAGCTTCATTTAGTGACGTATAATCATATTGTTTCAGTAAATAATTGTCACCCTTGTGGGGAATACAAATATGGTCACTTGGTCTTTTTCCGACCGGCAGTAAAACGCTTGCAAAAGTGGGGCGTCCGTTTGGCTGTGCGGGATGTATCAAGTTTGCAGCCACGTCCGGTCAGATTGGGGACGTTAAATCCGATACCTCGTGTACAGAAAGTGCCACGCTCTTTGCACGTTAAGAACCCTTGTAACAACTCTTTGAGGGGTCCGTAGGTGGCCTGTTGCAAGGCAAAATTTCTGTCCCTATCCAATATATCCTCATTGTCCAGTGGCAGTCCAAATTTCCCCGACCATTATCCCAGATGGCCTCTATTATTACAACACCTACCTATTGTATTTATTGTTAACTTGTTTTCGTCCTGAACATTCATGAAATATTTGCCACTGGACGTTAAGCAACCAACAATCAATAAATAATCGTCTCAAACAGTTTTCCAATTTTTATATTTCATTTTTATCTAAGTATGAATTTTTAAGAGTAAATCTTTCTTCCATCATTTTTCTCTTTGCATTTAATCTTTTTTTTTATCATTACAAAAACGTTGTTGTGGTACACATCAGGGGTTACATTATATCCTTTAGCAAAATTAATAGGAGAGGGGATAAGAACAGAAAAACGATCTTCATTGAGTGCCAATAACTCATATATTGAAGCGAACAATGACGGCTGTCTCGTCTACGTATCACCATTTGCTGTTTCAAGTTTATTTATATCTCAGACTGGTATAATAGTTGCCATAAAAGCAAAAATTGATAAAAAAAATGTTGACAACAATTTTTCAAGGATTCAACCTATTTTGGGCGTTTCATTTATTTATTTTTTAGATATTGTTTTGCTAATCGGTTTCGTTATATTTTTTTTTCATCTACAATTGTCCTAGCAAAATTCGCAAAAAATGTGTTAAAATCAGCCATGCGACTTATTTGAAAAGATTTAGCTGACCTTTCTTGTTGATATAACACATTTCGATCATTCAACTCGTGCATAGATCGTTTTTCCCCTAATGTTTTTTTAACGTATAGATAGCGTGAAATTCTCACTACACCAGGAATCTGATATACATTCCTATTTCGATGGGACAAAACTGCGTATTTATATATCCGATAAGCCAAACATTTAGTAAGGGTATACTGTGGGACGGGAGAGGTCTCGAGATGTCAATATTTCTATACCCAAGTGAATCATTTGATTTTGAATAAAAGGTGATAAAGATATACTGTACATTAATGCGAGAGCAACACAAATACACAGACATATCAAAACATTTATAGTCAACTTTCAGTCTTTTTTTTATAGAAAGATCCGTATACAGAAAAATAATCAGTGAAAACCGCCTAATGACTTAATAATAGTATGACCGGACAATTTGGACTGTGCAATGAAATTAGTTTTTAAACAACATCTTATGAATTCAATTGTTTTAATGTATATTCTTGTTTTGCATTTACTTTATTATTCTGAACTTTGTCGTGCGAAATATTCCTTCTTGATTTCCATATAGTCGGAACTCCATTTTACCCGGCTACATCTGGTGTTAGGACATCCGGGCAACGCAACTATCGGATACCTTGTTCTACCTGTGAAGCTGATCCCCCAGCAAACAGAAAAATGGATACGCGGAGAACCAGAAATTTTGGCCGAGACTGGAGATACCAGATGTCTGATCATGGAACTACCTTTCAGACAAGAAATTTACAACATATGGACAACTACCTATGTAAGTTTTGTGGAAAGACTGTGAACAATCAATTTCATTTTAGACAATGTATAGCAAAAACGTCATTTTGCTATAAGTGCAGAAGTTTTGGACATTACGCCAGAATGTGTAATTTTCACAGACAACCGGACGTGAAAGTTGTTAAGGTTAAATCGAAATCCAAGATACGTCGTGACGCAGAACGAATGAGAAAATTCAAAGAACAGAAAGCTATGTTAATGTTTCCTTAATACCATAGAACTGATTGACTTCTTTCCAACCTTAGAATATAACAAGGAATTCATAGATAACGTAAGACTCAGGCACGACCGATTCAATTCCGAGAGAGTTAAATTCAAAATTAAAAGTGTACACTATGAAAAGAAATTTAAAGAATTAATTCAAAATAAAATTGAGAATGGAAATGGGGAATGTGTCAAAGAGACAACAACCCGACCATAAAACAGACAACAGCATACCAGTGTTGTTAGCAATCTAGAAAAACTTCAAAAACAAAACGCAGATGACCAAAAAGAAATGGAAAAAGTACGTGAACGCATTAATAACCTTGAAGAATCAAATTTTGGCCTGTGCGATCAAAGATGTGAAGCAATCGATAAGCAATTCAATCTACAACGCGATAAAGAACATATGCGGGATCGAATCACCAAACTAGAAGACGAATTGGACAATTTTCGGAAAAATACAAGAGAAGATAACTATTCAAACCAAAACTATCGTTACAGAGGACGCCACAACGACAGAATAAACTTTCGGAACAATTTCAGATGAACAGTAAGACCCGGGTCGTGTCTTCATGGGCCGCGGGAATATATGACCGGACAATTTGGACTGTGCAATGAAATTAGTTTTAAAACAACATTTTATGAATTCAATTGTTTTAATGTATATTCTTGTTTTGCATTTACTTTATTATTCTGAACTTTGTCGTAAATTTAGGCATAAGTGTTTTACACGGATTATGTGTCATAATCTTGGACAAAGGACTTAAATTCATTTACTCTATTCATTTAATTATTTATTCTCGGTAACAGTTTAGACAATAATATACTTATACGTGTCGGACATTAATTACTCTTCTAATCTATTGTTATTTCTATTTGGCATATGTTAATCTTCTTAATCCTTTAATTGCTTGTGCTTATATATATATTGTTATTGTTTGTATGTTACTTTACATTTGGTTTGGAGTTTGTTGTTCGGTCTTGCCGGACTGCTAAAATAAAAGTTTAAGGAGCGAAATATTCCTTCTTGATTTCCATATCGTCGGAACTCCATTTTACCCGGCTATAAAAGGTATAAGGAGTTAACTCAATAATAATTACCGTCAAATATTATATATCCCGTCAAAGATATCCCAACAATCACTAGTCTCTGGTTGAAAAATTTCACCTGCCCTATTTTAATTTTGATCGGTGAAAATTTAAGAAGTTGTAATATAAACCAGTAGAAGAAAAACACTTCACTGTATAATAAAACGGTAAAATAAATGATGATAATGGATGACGACCAGCGGCAAATAAAAAGAATATTCAGGACGATAACATGTAGATACAATACGAATATTAACCCCGCTTTTTACTAGACTGACACGCTGAGTCGGTGTTTTTATACGTCAGTTCCCAAGATATTAGTTCGCAGGAAAAAATGTCACCCGACCCGGACACATTTCCGACTCTGAGCAGACCAGTATGTGCTCCTACTCTATGATGTCACGTTTTAAGCGCCAATTAATAGCCAATACTAATTTAACGTCTTTGTTTGGCCCGGTCGGGATTCGAACAAACGACCTCCCGCTCTCGAGGGGAACACCTTCACATGAGACCAACCAGTAGAGCGGTAGTACATAATATACCAAAACCTCAAGTACAATAAACAATACAGTTTCACAGACTTCTCACAGTTACTAAAGCGAGCTAAAAGTATCTAACCTAAATTAAATGCGTGAAATGATATTGTAAACTACACGTAAACATCGATGATCGACTTTAGTGTAGATTTCATGGATCAACGCTCTCGGCAAATTAAAAACTCTTGCACAAATTATTTGGGTGGCCCGAATGTGGCCAGCTGTTGCAAGTCTAAATTTCTGTCCTAATTCAATATACCCTCATTTTCCAGTGGTATTTTAAAGTTTCACGTCCAATCTCACTGTCGACCTCCTATTGCACGACCTACCTATTGAGTATTTTATTTAAAGACTTCATGTGTTATAGTCATGAACATGCATGAAATATTTGCCACTGGACGTAAAGCAAACACCAATCAATCAACTTCATAAATTGTTCAATGTACTTAGCACTCAAAGACAAGATCTTGTAAATTGCTACGAGGTACTCTTTCTTATAAATTTTTATGTTTTTTTTGGTGTTTTTTTTTTCCTTCAATTTATTACATAAGTGATATAAAAAAGTTTTAATACTTTTTTACTATGGTTCTTATCTACTGTTTTAATACGATTTATAACATGATGTTTTGTCAGGAAAGGATAAAACTAAGAAAGGTAAAAAAAAAATTTCAGGTGTTTTGCTTCAGTTGGACATGAAATGGGAATAACGGACGACTAAAATAAAAGAGTTTGTTTTCATATAATACATCGAACCTACGAATATGTCACCTAAACACGTTTTGATCGGGTCAGTGAAACCTAGTTGATGCTATAGATGTCACATTTATGCTTTTTAATACGATTTTATTCATTGAAGTTTGCATGCATAGTTTTTATTTTAAAAAAACCAAAGCAAGATCTATTAATTAATTGGACTGAACAGACAACACTAATTATTTTGCATTCGCATGTAACGTAGTGTAGGAAAATTACAGAATCAAAAAGGAATGAACAGTTACCGGATGAATATTGTGAAGGACCTTATGCATCTAGGTCTGTTCGATTAAAAGTTCTGAAACAAGCTGTTTAAAAAGCTAATTGGTGGAAGAATTTACTTACTGTTTTCTTAGGTCTGATCTGTTTCATGATTACTGACAGATTAAAAACATCATATATATATATAAATATATATAACAAGAAGTTGTTGTGCAGAATATTCATTGGTCAGTTATAAATGAGGTATGTATAGGGTTTTGAATGCCTCATTTATTAAATAAGAAATCGTTATTTTGAAAAACTGGATCAAAAATATAAATTTACCCCCTAATTTTGTAAAACTATCATTTGGTGTTATTTTAATGCTAAACAAAATATAATAAATGAATAATTGAATGATGTACTGCCATTTAATCGGTCCGTTTCCGTTGCAATTTGGTAACTGTTAATTGTATATATCAGTCTGAGTACTTTTTAACTATCATTTAGGTAAACATATTTAGACTCGTCCAATTCAGGGGAATTAGGTTTCTGCGAGTGCTTTTTGTGTACTTTTCTTATGTTTTTGACGGTTTGTAAGTCAGTAAAAGTTCAATGATTAAGTTAATATTGACATTAAAAGACCTCCGCACAAAAAGGGCTGTTCAAATCCCTTTTTGTTCGGAGTTCTTTTAATATCAATATTAACTTATCATTGAACTTTAACTATTACTTAAATCCAATCTTCTATGAAATGTTGTATATTAACAGCCATAAAAAAGGGCACTCAATTTGGGACGTCTATTTACTTTAAGTGCCCTAAATCTTTATTTCAGCTTAAAATACCAGAATAAGAAATAAATAAACAATGTAATCTTTAAGTAATATAATTACCTGAAAGTGTCTCCAACTCGGTCATGAAAATAAGCGAAGTAATCTTTATCTAGATACAATGAGTCACCAAAGTTGAAGTAAGCATCCCCTTCTTTAAACACGTTACGTACAATCTTTTTTTCTGTCATTTCCATGTTACCTTTGTATAAACCTTTTTCAACTTGATGAGAAGGAGGAATTCCACATATCAATATTCCCGGTTCACCTACATGAAAATTGGTATTACAGATATGTCATGTTAACAAAGTGTCTAGATGATGGAAACCTTTTACTAAATCTATCGGAAAATATAACAAATTCGTTTAAAGGCTGTAGTGAAGGAATAAATTGTAAGATTCAATGAGAAAGTAACTTTAATAACCTATTCTCTTTGATGGGCAACTACTTTTCAAAATATATTGGTAACGTAAATATTCAAAAATATAGCAAGCTCGAATAAAGATACGCATGTGATACCAACCTATCTGAACTTCCATACAGCGTCCTAATTTATTACGTAGTGGATTTGCTGTGACAACGTCATATTTTAGTAAATACTTGGGAGCAGGATCCAGCTTATTCTAAAATAGAATATTAATTCGATAGTTGTGTCATAAATTAGAAAATGTACAGCAAGCATACTCTATTGACAATTGCTTCAGTGCAATATAATCTCAGGATTCACAGCAATAACATAATAAATAAATGCTCCGCAATATTAAGATTCATTAGAATTAATTTAAAAACATGGCCGTTTTCACGTTGCAAAATATTTTTAGAGTGCAGAAAAACCTGTTCACCTGGAAGAGATTTAAAGCATGACAGAAACTAAATAATTAAATTTCAAATGCATGTTATTTTACATAAACAATAAAACCTTTACTAGATTTTGGTATTTCTTTTTATTTTGTTCCTACAGAAGGTCCTACTCTCCGAATAAAAAAAATGTCGTTACTCCATCTAGTTTGTTATCGGAGAATTCGATGCTGATTGCATTTTTTATTTCATTAGTTCTGTTGAATATTGTTAAAGAATGTAGAGTTAAAACAATAGATTGGAAAAAAAAATTTAAGATTTATTAACTAATTAACTAGTTCACGCCAAGGCAACCCATAAAAAGCTATTGATGCGATGGAAACAAATTAAGGCGGCAGTAGATTACTGATGTTGAATCTCGTGAATCGACTCGAGAAAACGGACTTTATACAAAAAACACGAAATAAAAATGATTTTTGGATGATATATTAAACGAGTTTCGACTGCTATAAGAGATTGGTGTAGAGTTGTGATGGGACGAATAAGTTTGTCTTATGACATACGTCAATCTTCCTCAAAATTTACCAAAAGTAATATGCCTTACATGTTACATTTTCCACATACGTTATGCATTGTGGTCCACGAACAGGTGTTCTGTATTAATACATTACCACTCGATGGACAATGGCTTTCCTTATCCGGCATCTGGGAACACACTGACTACTCTTTTTGGATAGTTGCAAGATTTTTTCATTTCAAGAAAATTATCGTATTTATTTGAAATAGTAAAATTTCTTAACAACACCTACCATTAAAGGCGAAATTCTGCCGACTGCTCCTGGTCTGTTGCAAACATTTACTAGTCCTCCTGTGGCCTCAGTTGCTCCAAAAACTTCTACGAATTTAGGTATTTTAAATCGTTTCTGCAGTTGCAGCCAGATATCCTGACGAAGCCCGTTACCAATAAAACATTTGATATTATTAGTGCCATCTTTTGGGTTCTGTAATTTTTACATATATATTCATACTCTAGTTACTTTGCAGGTTGTTAAATGCAGAAGAAGTCACTGTTTTGACGAACAAATATTGAAAAAGGTTTTATCTAATTTTCCTGCGTTTTGATTTAGTTGTGTCTTCGTGTCCTTCCAGAAGTGCATGTGCCATTCCGTAAACCAAGAACCTCGTGAGTGGTTGTCTGAATTATTGTTTTATTGAATTTAATTATTGTGTCATATCTTTGTTATTCACTGTTAAAATGATACGGTGCTTATATGATATATCAAATTTATTTCGATATCTTGTAATTTGGTAAAATACCGCCAGGTCGATGCTAGCGCTGTTAATGATTTAACTAAGGCCACGATGTTTTTACAATTCGGTAACCAGTCATTTGTCTTAAAAGGCTAACATTACATCGATGTTGAAATACTTTATACATATATACAAAATGTGTTAAATTTAAGTTTATACTCCAGATTTACAAGTAATCTTTTGCTGGTTTGTACCTTTATTTGGTCTTATTTTGGTTCATTGTTCTTCAATATTTGACAATTGTGTATGTCCAATGTTTGATTTTAAGCACTTCTGACGAGATATAAAATTTCAAAATGCGCATTTGATTTGTATTTTCGTATGATTTTGTTTTACCTAGAAGATAAGGTATGATAGCTATAGCGGGTCAAGTTATATGCATGATGTTTATGCTTAAATATTACCTCAGGTAATGCCAACATATATCTACATAATTCACCGATATACTGAACAACAGTTACATGGTATTTTCTACAATCATCCCAAAAGTGGTTGGCAGAAAACTTTTTACGTATCACTACAGTGTTACCTGAAATGTAAATTTCTGTTCACTTAAATATATATACTATTATTTTTCACTACATTCCTTCCCTACAGCATTTGTAGTATTTGATCTAAGTTTAATCGCCGTATAAAAAAGGCGAATAATAACAAGGGGAACAAGGGGAACAAGGGGAAACTCAAAACTCGAGAGAAAGTCATGGCAAAAAACGAAAAGATGACGAAACGACAAACAAGAAAAAAAACACCGAACTTTAAAAAACTTAAATTAAACAATTTAAGGTGTCTATGAAAACTCAAACAAAAATCAAATGATTCGAGCAACTGTATAAACTTCATTAAGGCATGTGTTATTGTTAATGTAAACACGTTAAAGTGCATTAGTAGTCAAATTCATATTCACCGATTTGACAATTTAGTACTATATTATAGTACTTATCAGAGTTTGTCAATGCTGTTGCATTTCTACAAATGAGACAACACATTGCTATTTCACAGCATGGTCTTGCATTACAGGACGGGTAGGACATGTAAAGCTGGATCTGCGTACCCTTCCGTAACACTTAATATCAACCCCGGCTTTTTTCTTTGGGTTCGTGTTGCTCAGTTGTTTTAGTTTTCTATGTTGTGTTTTGAATACTGCTGTCAGTCTTTGATCGTTTTCCTTTTTTTCCATGGTGTTGGCAGTTTGTTTTCTACTTATGAGTATAATAATCCCTTTGGTATCTTTCGCCTCTATTTTATAGTAATTTTGTACAGCAGTTGTTAGTCTTCAGGCTTTTGTCCATACATGTAATCTCTTTAGCGCTAGAGTTGATTAACGCTGAATAATTTTACTAGTCAAATCCGTAAATGCAAATGTTTTTTTTTTATAATATAACGAACTTATTTCGGCCCCACTTAACCATCCGGAAATACCAGCCACGTGATAAAAGGGCAAAACAGTGTACAGTACATCTTCTGGTTGCAGGTCACACAAACGCATTAATCTGGAACAAGATGCAAGCTTAAAATGTGGGATTCGTACTGCCTTTGGTAAACCTGCAAAACAAAACAAAACCTGTTTACCCATTTTGTCAAATAAGACATACTATTTCATTTCAAAGTTATGGCAACTGCGAAATGAAGACCCATTGGTGGCCTTCGGCTGTTGTCTGCTCTATGGTCGGGTTGTTGTCTCTTTGACACATTCCCCATTTCCATTCTCAATTTTAAATCAAGATCAATACACAAATTTGGTATACATATAGTGTAACACAGCATTCGAAACACGTGTAGTACGATCTCACAACTTCATGGAAAACAACCTTAACCGAAACAGTTACCTGGTCGATATACTTCAAAACATGTGTCTAAACCCTCATTTGACATATATTTTTAAAAGCTTACATCATAATGAACATGTTTACTCAGTTTCAAGTTCATGCGCTTCTTTAAATTTAAACTTGATACGGGACGGACAGGCGGACGGATGAATGCAAAAACGGACAGATACACATATCGAAAGACATAATGTCTTACTATCGTAGGTAGGGCATGTAAAGTATTACAACAGCTCGTATAACAATAAAAATATGTATAAGCATTTTTGTAAGAAGGACCGTACTACAAAACATAATAATTGTAATATCAGTTAAATTATCTATAGTTTGAAACAAGATTGAAATGTTCCATTTGTTTTTCGATCTTTAAATTCTGTGAACACAAAATGTCATGCATTCCTGCTCTTTCCAAACAAGTGCTGTATGACAATTATTTTGAAGCACAGCTGTGGATATAACCATGGAAATAGGTGTGATTTCTATAAAAGTGGGTTTATTAATTTCAGTTTCTTTAAGACTGGCACACAAGTGAAAGGTTTAATCCACCATTTTCTTCAAAAGAAAATGCCTGTACTGCTAGTAAGTCAGAAATATGACAGTTGTTTTCTATTCGTTTGATGTGTTTGAGCTTTTGATTTTGCCACTTGATAAAGGACTTTCCGTTTTGAATTTTCCTTGGAGTTCAATATTTTTGTTATTTTCCTTTACACTATTTGTATTTTATGCTAGTGAGTAATTTGGTATTGTTTTAGTTGTAGATACGTTTTGTTAAATACCATATTTTAAAATAATATAACCTGTTGTTCCGGAAGTTAAGATATAACAACCAATTGTATGCATGTCTATATGACTCCTGAAGACTTGAGAAATCTCTACTGGTGATGATGTCATCATTAACAGGTCCCATGACTGGTAATTATGTTGCCATTTTTCAGAAACCATTCCCATGACGTAGACTGGTATGTCAATTTCATTTCTAATCTCACTAATTGCTTCGTATAAATCTTCTCCTATTGAACAAATGCATTACATACAATTTCAATTCAGTGTATTCATTTAAAACAAAATGTCAAATTGAATATACAAGAATTTTTATCACAAAATATAATTCCCGATCCTCTATATTAATATTTCAAATTGATAATCTAATAAACTATTGTCAAGAACCACTATTTATCCAAGATCTTTCCCAAACCTCCTGTCTTAGCTTTTCCGAGACCAGCAAGTCTGAAAGACTTATTTGTGTTTCTGTTTAGTACTAAATTTATAATTAAGATCCATTTATTACATCGGTGATCCGTTTATTTGGAAATCGCCAATGGCAGTCAGGGTTTAAGAACATTTATTGTTCGACCTGTTAGTCAAATGCGTTTTGTTTAAATATACTTTTTCACTTTTTTGGTCTTTTGGAAAATGTTGTTTGTGCTGTATTTAGACCCCTCTAACAAGAAATTTGTTTTGCATGCACACGTATAAAAATTGCGGTTTTTATCCAACGCAATCATAGGTTTGAACGTTGTTTTCAATTTAGACTTGTTTGTATATATATATATATATATATTCATAAAATAAATAGTAAAATAAGTAAACAAGTTCAAATAATGCCTATTATTAAATGTAGACGGGATGAAGCTTATCGAAAGGAGATGGAAAGTTATTTCATAGAACGTTCCGATCAAGATTAAATCCCGAGAACTTTTAATTATGATCAATGCCGGACCGTTACAAGCCTCCTTAACGACGTCGCCCATAACGACGCTAAATCAGTTATCCTGAAGAGTCCCAATGGAAGGATGAAATCGATTGAACTGGAACTGTTAACTTGTTTACTTATTTTACTATTTATTTTATGAATATATATATCTGCACATGTGAAAATTATTTTTTACGCCTATATATGAGTCTTGTGGTCTTATGTACTGTGCATTTTTAAGTTTTGTTATGAATCTAAGGATTTATGTGTAAATATGCAAAGTGTGTAATAACTTTTACATTTTGGCAATCATTTGTGGTTAAAAGCTGATTTTTATCTTGAGTATTTTATATTGGTTGCAACGATGTATTGCATGTTGTCCTTTTTCGATTGAACCTCAGCTTACACAAATTATCATCATGTACTGTAAATTCAGAAATTATTGTTAGGTTTTTGTTCATGAGAATAATGCGACTGGGTGAGTATCGCATTTAGATACCTACGGATTACATTTGTATGTTTATTTTCAAGAAATCGAAATAATTAATCTCATTTTGCAAAAATGGACGCAATATTTCTTTTTGAATTAACAGTAACTCTCACCTTGACCAACAATGATAGCTTTTGTGTCTGTTTGTTGGATCGCATTTGACAGAGACTTTCCTCGTACATTGATGTTCAATAAGGTTACAGGAAAACCAATTTTCAGTAAACCTACATTTATAAATAATACATGTGAATAAAAGGAGATGTTGAATATATGTCAATAAGACAGCAACCAACGACACAAATTCAAAATACGTCTACAGTTCAACACATGGTCGTGAAATGCCTATAACTTGTGCCAAATTCCTCGAGTCTGGTAGAGTGAATCTCCTTATTTCTTTAATTAAGTCTATACAAAATTTTTATTTAAAGCCTATTTCTCTTACAATAAAACCTTAGGACTATAGGCAACCACACGTGAGGTTCCAAAATTTGTATATGAACCAAAAGGGGTACAGATTAGTCTTTTCTAAATATCAATCCGTCTTCTTTTAATCATTTTAGGAAAAAAAATTACATACAGGAACAAGAAAAAAAAAAAGATAAATGCATAACCCGACAGGTGTTTAAAAGATAGCCTGTGGCCCTCGAAGAAATAAACTATAATAAACAACACACTGAATACCGTACCCAAGAATGTTAACAGTGACTAGAAGCAAACTGTAAGTAGTTAATATCAAGTAACACTACGAAGCTCTGTAAATCTTCATTAAATATTGCATTTCCCGGCATTTTTCTTCACAAATTATAAGCCTGGTATCTTCGATGAGATTTTACAAACACTGGGTAGATGTCATTTCTGATGGAAGTTTGCCCTAAGGTATCACCAGCTCAGTAGGTAGCACTTTTTGATGACAAAAAAATATAATTGAAATGGTCATGATCCGTTATCTTTTTTTTTCTCCATTCATGTGGTTTTATTCGAGCGCTACTGCGAATCTTGTGTAGACGAAATGCTCGTCTTACGTTACATACAATAACGAGTTTGGCGTACAAAATGTAATCCTGGTATCTATGATGAGTTTATTTGACAGTGGTTAACAGATTTGTAGTTTAAAGACAAAGTGTAATCTACTGATCCGTCAATCAATTGTTGATTCATAAAAATTTAGATAAATATCGGAATGGTAACTGGAATATTTCTTGTAGCGGTATCAATATTTAAAATATAACATATTTATATTGAAATATAGAGAATCGAAGATTTATTTTTCATGGAAGATCTTTTCCAAAAGTATCTGAAATCTTAAATGTTACCTGACTCGATGTTTTGATTTAACTCTGCCGACATGCCATTGTGTGTTTGATGATTTATAATCTTTTTTTTAAACTTAAAAATTACCGAGGAATGTCCAAATATATTCTGCGCTGTTGTGTACAAAAATTGCAACGGCGTCGCTCCTGTTCAAATCCCACTGCATGACTATATTTGCCACTTTACACGCTTGAGAGTTGACGTATTCAAATGTGTAACACCTATCATCACATATGATATATGTTTTCTTTGGAAAGCGCGCAACTGTCGTTTCAAAATTGTCAATTACGAAGCCTTTGCTGTTTGCACTATTGCTCATGTATTTAGCAACTTTGAGATTTGTCTTCATTGATTGCAGATCATATTGTATCCAAGGAAACATTGTTTTCCATGCTACCAAGGAAAGTCCTGTCATTCCAAAAGCAGCTAGTACTGATTTTTCTCTGGCGTTTGACATGATGTGCACTCTTTGCTGTAGACGAACTGTTAAAAATAAAACGATTAGACTTTATTTCATACATGGCGGACGTATGAATACATAACGTACAATGAAGTATAAAAATGCCAAACTTTTAACCCATTTCTCTGACGTCAGTCTATTGTTCTTACAGCAGATTATTTTTCAAGAATCCACTGACCACTTCGTGAACTTATTTTATATCTTTAAACTTTTAACTTCCGATTTTTTATCCTCTCAAAAACGAAAGGCATATGAAGGGTTCGAACTCGCGCGTATTTTCTTCGTAATCAGTAGAGTCTTCAGTCTATGCATGATACCACTATACCACGAGTGCTGACATAAATCAATATTTAAATAACACTCTTAAAGCGCACAACTGTCAATACATGTCAATAAACTGTATTTCTATCTCAGAGATAAATCGCTTTTGTTATCTAATAAAATATATATACTATGTCTGGATTTGTTCATGTTCTTTTCAAATGTATGTAAATTGTTTTATTTTGGGCGTTATTTTTTAAGGAAGATAATGTTCTACATTTGAACGTTCTTGGGTATAGTTATAAAGCAGTATGGAAATATCTTAAAAAAGAGTTTATTCACGAACCAGGTTTGACTATTGGTCGATTTTCAACATCGTTATAATGAACCAATGAGTCTTTATACGATTGTGGTTATTACACACTGGTTCTAAACACTAGAGAATCAAGGAATTGTATATATTAGTACAATTCCTTGATAAAATAAACATCCATATGCCCATTACACTTGTCCGACACTTTTAACGTACAGGGACTTTTCCTTTTCATCATAGCAAATGCTTACTTATGGTTTTAGTCTTATAATGATATCGAACTATCAATATTTTTTTCTTTGTTTGATTATAAATGGTCAAAATCAGGGACTATTATACTAACGGGTCTGGAAACCGTTACGCTGTTCAGTGTAGTTATACTCAAGATCACGGTCGTTAAAACGCACGCGAGACTTGACGATACGCCATATTGTTAGTATAATAGTCCCAGTCCAAATATACATCACGTCAACATTGAACGGACTCTAATTTGAATAAAGTGTGATATATAAGCTACTACCGTAAAACTACTTCTTTGACTGTAAAACCAGAAACAAAATCATCGCCTTAAAATGAAAATGAAGTATATAATACCTCTAAGATTAAAACAATATGTTTGTCGAGAAGAAAATTACAATGAAAAATTTCAATTCGGGTACAAGGTTTGAACTTTGCACTGTTAATATCACAGTTATGTCTTTTGGTACCAACGACTAGACGATCACGGCTATGAACAGCTTGAATCATGAAAGTAAAAAATTGACATAATTATACATTGTACATCTGTAGCACGAGCAATTCCGATGGAGATTCAGAATGCGTACCACAGATAATACTAGTTTATTGACTGGTTTACGATGGATGCCAAATGTAATAACGTTAAAATAATCTAAACTTAATGAAAGGGAAACAGTTTAAACAAAATACATGTATAATTGTTCAAAAAAGATGTTAAGCAATTATTTTATTTATTTCGGAAAGCATCATTAACTGGAGCATCATGAAATTGTAATATTATGGCAACTACGCTAAATTTATGCATTCGATTTAGTACGGTCAAATTTGTTTTATCTTGATAATTTAGTACGGTTAAATTGTAGGCAATCCTTAATCAGCTGTAAAGAAGAAAAGATTGCTAAATACTATATATGTAAATTTCAAAGGTTTCTAAATTTTGGTTATTAGATTTTTTTAACTATTCAAAAAAAGATATATAAATTCTGTATAGTTATATATGTCTTTTTGAATAAATCATAAATACCAAAATCTATATAATTTAAATACTTTGTAATGATAAAACTTTAAATGAAATATAAATTTACAAGTATGAAATCTGGTAAAAAAAAGGGAGCTAACAATCATTTAAGTTATATTAAACTTATGTTAACTTAAATATAGACGTGAACCGTGTGGATATAATCATTTCCAGCTATTGTAGAATAAAAAAGACAGAAAAAGAAATTATTTTTATGAAATTCCGTTGATTCATTGTCAAAACATAAAACAGACAGTCTTTTTACTAGAAATGGGTTAAGCTAGAGAATTGATAAGAAGTAGTGGATTCGGAAACGATAATCAGCATGCAACTAAAGTCGCTCGTTGATTATCGTTTACGAATCCAATACTTCTTATCAATTCTCTACTACGTAATCTTCGAATGTATTAGTCTTGACAAAAGGGGTACCTTGTCTGTTAACTTCTGGTCTTTGTCAGAAATGGACAACCGCTTTCGAAATATTGATCGACCGAGTACACTTTTTTAAATATCCAGACCAATCTGATTGAAGTACACATCATTTTTCTATTCTGATAATCAATGCAACTGCGAATGAAATGACAACCTTCAAATTTTAGAAAGTGTGTATACATAATTACGACATAAACCAGAGATAACCCTAAAACAGAACGTAGAAAAAAGGACTGTCAAATCATTGTTAACAGAGCGTGGACACAGGATCAAGATATATTTATTTCAATCAGAATGTTAGTTTCGAATTTCCGACATAGTTCAATTAAATAAACTAGCTTACATCCCAGCTCCTTTGGTCTACCAGGGGTGATCTGAGCCGGATCATCCCTACCAGATCACCCCAGCTTGAGTTTCTTTGTTTTGTAACATTTTGGCGGGAATGCCTAATCCACAATAAAACTTAGAATTATTTATTGAGAAAAGACACACTTTCAAACTTTATGTAGAAAAAATCCATTGTCTATGCTGGGAATCAAACTCAAGACCTTTAGCATATCATCCCACGACACATACCCCTAGATCAGGACGACTGGATACCAACTCTCAGTAATTTAACATATTTAAAGGAAGCAAGATATTTTCATAAGTGGGGCGAGTTGGCAGACCTTTTTCAGTGGGATTTTTAACTCTTTTCATAAATAAGGCGAGTTGTCAGACTGATTGTTCAATGGCATTTTACCCTTATTCATAAGTGGGGTGAGTTGTTAAACAAGAGTGTGGGGCGATTTTTATAGAAAGTGGCGATTTAGTGTGGGCCAATTGGCCAATGGGGCGAGTTGACATGGTTTCATATTTAAACTTCGTTCGAGGGACATAAAGGGTATATATTATATAGTAATATATAAAGTATATTATAATAGTTGTGTGGCGTTCTCAACTAGATTTTATGAATTGTAAATGGTTTTTCGTCTAATCTAAAACAGCTGGGATGTAAAATAGTTATCCCATTCGGACTTGGTGTGTCAGTGTAAGATCACCCTCTGGCCTCCGACTGTCGGGGTGATCTTACACTGACACACCGCGTCCTCATGGGATAACTTTTACTTATTATTGACGACCTTCCTTGATCATTCAAGGCTCAAAGCATTGTTATACGATATAATAAAGTGAAAATACCTGAAACAAATTAATAACAGTTACTGTAAGTCTGAAACAAAACACCACCATGTCAAAAAAAAAAGGACGAAAAGAATACCAACAGTCAACAAAACACTTCAAGGAAACAAAAGATTAAGCAACACGAACCATACAGGTTGAAAACTCAAGTATCCTTTTTATTGTCGACTTGCTTCCTCGTTTATATTTAATAAAACTCATTGGGAGCGTCTGAAAACAATGAGAAGAAGCTATATATGTGGTGTCCAACCCATCGAGTTTGAAATGCAACAGATACAATTAAATATTCTTCATACCTTGACTTTTATTTGAAAATTGACAATGATGATCGATTGATAAACTTTATGACATAAAAATTAAAATAACAAAACTACTGAACTCCAAGGAAAATTCAAAACGGAAAGTCCTTTATCAAATGGCTAAATCAAACGCTCAAACACATCAAACGAATGGAAAACAACTGTCATATTTCTGACTTGGTACAGGCATTTCCTTATGTAGAAAATGGTGGATTAAACCTGGTTGTATAGCTAGTTAAACCTCTCACTTGTATGACAGTTGCATAGATGATTGCAATTTTTCCATTTTGAATTTTCCATTTCTCTGTAGCAACATTTTCAGAAGCGCCTATGTATATGGCATATATCTCCAATCTCTAACTTGATACAAGATTTCAGGGCTATCGTTTCCTGTCATGGTATTTTTAAAAGATTATTGCTCATGCTAATATATGCTATTGGATAAAGGGTTTGATGAGATAAAGCTGGCTGAAATTATCTCTACGGAAGTTTTACGGACATCATGATGATTAATTGACCGTAAAAGTATATATGAATGATGCCAATACTATATGAATTTACTATTTTCACCTATTTTGAAAATTTTATAGTTCATAACAATGTCTCACTCTTTCTTATGTATGTGTTTGTTTTTTCTATTTTGTAATTCTTTGTTTGTTATATTTCAATGTATTTTATGATGGCTCCAGGGAAGATTAGTTTTGTAGCTAACTGTTTAACCCTCTTAGATTAAAGAATTATTATCATAATTGCGTTTCAAAGATATCTGTGACCACGGATACGTTCTTTAACAAAAGCATCACTAGACACAAAAACACATCGAACGCCACTAGTGGCCCAGGAAATGATTACCTTTTTAAAGCACTGGCCTGACCATGCACCATATTTGGAGGGAAAGTGTTGCTGAATCTAGTTATTTGTGTAGTGATTTTGGATAGTTATTTTTCGGCTTATAGAAGTTATTGAACATACATAACAAAATAATTTTTTGCAATTTTTTATTTCGGTTTTTGCCCATTTTCTTAAAAATTATAAACAAACTTCAAACAGAAAACATGTTTCACAAGACAAGATTGAAAATAATGTCTGTTTGACCATTATTCTAGGTTGACTTCTTAAGCAAGTGTCTGTCCTTAAAGAACATTTGATATAAATCAATTTGGTGGAGTTCAGTCTTTCGTTTTCTTTGTTGTGTTTTGTGTATTGTTGTTTGTCGTTTGGTCGTTTTTCGTGTTTTTCCATGACATTGTCAATATAAATAAGAAGATTTGGGATGAGTGCCAATGAGACAACTCTCCATCCAAGTCACAATTTGTAAAAAGTTAACAATTAGAGGTCAAAGTACGGCCTTCAACACGGAGCCGTGGCTCACACTGAACAGCAAGCTATAAAGGGCCCCAAAATGACTAGTGTAAAACAATATAAACAGGAAAACCAACGGTCTAATCTAAATAAAAAACGAGAAACACCTAAGAACCACACCAACAAACACTGAACAACAGGTTCCTGACTCAGTTTGGTTTCGACTTATGCGTTTGAGTATCTTTCGCCTCTATTTTTTAACATGTCTATCTCTTATCATCTTGAATAATATTCGGACGCACGAAATTTGTAAAGTCTTTACTTCATAGAATTGAAAAAAAGTCATATGACATAGATATTTAATGGATGTCTTATTGGGGTTGTTTCCCATTTTTGACTTTTGCTTTTATTTGAAAGTATACGAGATATATAAAAAAAATAAAAAGACCAATGATGATCAAAACAAATTTTACAATTAGGTCATCGTAACTCAAATGACAAGAGCAACACAGGTCAAACATTATGAAAATCATTAATCGACCTCTCACTAGAGTTAATACCCATTTTTTTTTAAAATTATATATGAAACTGTAAACAGAAATAATGAATTTGGATTTGATATTCCCTAGGGTTTGATAGAGTTAAGCGATTCAAGATCCTATGAGATTGGTTTTTTTTCAGTTTTGCAATGCATAAATGGATATTGCAAGTCAGTATCAAATGAATGCAAATCGTTTTTTATGTGATCTTTAAAGTGTGATTACCAGATATTTACTTTCTCTAGTCAGTTTTCATTTCAAAATAACATGTCATTTATTTAATGTGTTTCTCCTTTATTTTTCTGTTGTCATTAGTGTTTTATGGTCCATCGATGTTGTATCCTGTTCATGACAACTTCATACTTTATTTGACCTTTTCATTTTTTTTTATCTAGCGTTCTTATAAGTGTTTGTAGACGAAACGTGCGTCTGGGGTACAAATTTACAAGCCCGGTTTCTTTGGTTAGTTTTTGTTTTTTTTTTTTATCTCTACCTGTCGTTAATTTATTGTTATAGTCATTATCACTGAACTAGTATATATATTTGTTTAGGGGCCAGCTGAAGGACGCCTCCGGGTGCGGGAATTTCTCGCTGCATTGAAGACCTGTTGGTGACCTTCTGCTGTTGTCTGTTCTATGGTCGGGTTGTTGTCTCTTTGACACATTCCCCATTTCCATTCTCAATTTTATACATATTGCAAACGGTTGTATTGACATTGATCTTGTTATCGTGTATATTTACACATTTACAGTTCTAAATATAACCATATATCGCACAAGGTTAATGTAACTATGTTACAAAAATATCACACAAGGTTTACCTAACATTAAGTAAACGAACATGATATGATCCTTGTTGTTGATTTAACTAAAAAGATATTTGGTATTCAATGCATACTTGTATTTTGTAACGCCCACTTTGACCCATGGCCAGTTACGGTAAAAATCAATTCGATGTCAGTCACTAGTGCTTTATATTTGTTATATTTATACTTTGCCACCAAAACCATTCGTGCTGAGACGGCGTAAAGCAAACACCAATTACCCAATCAATCTAAAAACCATTTGTGCTGAGACGGCGTAAAGCAAACACCAATTACCCAATCAATCAAAACCATTTGTGCTGAGACGGCGTAAAGCAAACACCAATTAACCAATCAATCAAAACCATTTGTGCTGAGACGGCGTAAAGCAAACACCAATTAACCAATCAATCAAAACCATTTGTGCTGAGACGGCGTAAAGCAAACACCAATTAACCAATCAATCAAAACCATTTATTGGAATAGTATTTGAGAATTAACGAAATAAACTTAAATACGAATATTGCTTTTATTTATCTGTAAGTTTTGTATAGTTGCTAACTTCTATGTCATGTGGTTTCTGTTGAAAAGTTGTCTCATTGGCAATCAAAACACAGCATCTCATTTTAATATTCATTACTGAAACAAAATAAACATATAACTACGTTTCACGAATTAAAATCTATTATTTTCAAAATTGTTGTTATGCATATATGAGTCGTTAGGTTATTTTCTCGTTGATGTGTACTTCCCATCTTTCGAAAAACGTTACCATGATTACGTTTCTCCCTCTTGGTGTCCAAACTTTTCTTTCTTTACTGACAGTTATTATCAACGAATGACAACAAGTATGAAAATAATCGATTTTAATTCATGAAAACGTAGTAATGTGTTTATAGATATAAGAAGATGTGGTATGAGTGCCAATGAGACAACTCTCCATCCAAGTCAAAATTTATAAAAGTAAACCATTGTAGGTCAAAGTACGGTCTTCAACACGGAGCCTTGGCTCACACCGAACAGCAAGCTATAAAGGGTCCTAAAAATTACTAGTGCAAAACCATTCATACGGGAAAACCAACGGTCCAATCTATATAAAAAACGAGAAACGAGAAACACCAATGAACCACATCAACAAACGACAACCACTGAACACCAGATTCCCGACCCAGGACAGGCGCAAACAACCGCAGCGGGTTTAAACGTTTGTTTGTATTGTTTCAGTGATAAATATTAAAATAAGAAGTCAACACAAGATCTTCAAAAAAGACACAGAAAAGCGCTATAACGGCAATACACGTAGTTATTAAACCAAAAACAAAGATCTACCTTCAGTATGTGGAATGATAATAATAAGATTAAGGATAATAATAAAATAAATATGTCCGAGGTAGCAGGTTATAAGTAATGCGTTTAGAACCATTCTGATTTGTTCTAAACAAAATGCATCACTATCAATAACAATTCACAAGTCGTTCTAGATAACTTCAAGAGGGGAGGGGCCTAAAAAATAATTATGATCCCCAATTTGATGAAAAAATATATTGTGGTCAAGCAGATGGCAAAAGAAAACATTCTGAATCCGGATTTTCCCCATACCTTACAGTGTTAAATTTTGAAAAAAATAATTTAATTGAAAGCGTCGAAAACCTATTTTCTGACTCAGACAAAAAAACCATAACACCCCCCCCCCCCCCCCCCCTCTTTTGAAGTTAAATGGTTGCCCCTAAACTTAATCCAGAAAAACACTTAGTTTACGATGGATTCCGTGTGTTTGTCTGTCTAAGTATACAGTGCAAACCAATTAATTCAATAACATACATGGCTCTTTCGCTCTCATTTATTTTCTATGATTGTGTAAATCTATATTCATGTGTGTTTTTGTACATGTATGTGTGTGTGTTCACGTGAACATTAAATGCAGCAAATAACGCAACTCAAAAGAAATAACTTACCACCACAACTTGATTGTATATATATCCAGGTGCAAATGTGCAATATATGTATTATGTAATGTTGTGTTATCTATAAAGCACTATATTCACTGTTTGGCCTACATAGGTTTTACCATGTTATCAACCAGAGCATCTTATATAGAAATAAGAAGATGTGGTAAAACACGTATTCACTTACAGTTGAAAGTCAAAAATCAAAAAAATATAATATGATCAAATGTATATAACCAGAATTGTGACATAGAATGCTATGACGCGAGGACATCAAACTAAAATAAGTGAATGACCTTTCTCATTATCGATTTTGATTGTGTTGTCCTATTAAACACCTACATTTGTCGTTGGAGGGGTAAATAACTCCAATTATGAAGCAAAACAACGTAGACTGTGCGAAGAAAGGGGTTGGTTAATACGTTTCCGTTCAATGCACTTTCGATCCATTTATACATAACAATGTGTATATTGTAATGACCGTTCGTTTTTATGCAATTAAAAAAAAAGTACGATCCTCTTCCTTAACAAGATTCATGGTCCATATACGATTTAATGTCCAACATGTCCAAAAATTTTAAATTATCCAGAGTTAGATACCTTTTGCTGATGATATTGAAATATAACAGTGAAAAATACATATAATTGATAAATTGAAAATGGCACGGTTTGTTTGTTAATTATTTTGGAAATTCTTTGTATAAAGCGTATTCGCACGCCGTAGTTTGACCAAAAGTAGCAGAATAATCAGAAATGATGGTGGACACTAAACGGCAGATGCGGCAGAAGCCTTTTGAATATGTCATCATTCATTGAACTGAACAATGGGTGTGAATGAATGAAACCTTACTGATTGCATTAATAGATTTTATTACTTTCGACCGTCATGTATTTAACAGTATAATCAACGACAACAACCAGATTAAAACCTGACGAAAATCTCAAACGCTCTTAATAATTCAGACTATTAATAACAATTGACGTCAATGATGGGTATTGTCATTTGTTAAACTGTCGTTCTTAAAACCTGAGTTTCTACTGTTAAGTGAAACCATGGTGGGTTGGTAGAAAATCTAAACACACTGGTTAAATCTCCCAACGAGCGTTTTATCTCGAAAATGGGACGAAAAATATCATACAATGCTGTCAAAGATTAACAGGTAAGAAATGTTCCTTTTCATAAGATTTTAATTGTTAGAGTATGAATATAAAACTGTTTCTTTCAATTTGTTTAACGAACCATTGCAATCCTGTTGCCTAAGACTCCAAACACAAAAACGAAAACGGTTCTTCCATAAGGGTTTCGACTGTAAATTGTTAAAAAAAATTTATATGCGGCTATAAGAATTTATGTGAATGAAAAACAATATTTAAACTTTTTCACTTTTCATACCTACTTGATAATTGATTTTTACATGATTGATTCAGAATGTTAATTATATAAAGCAAATACCAATTACACATGTTGCATGCATGTCAATCAAAGTGAGCGTAATGAAAAAATAGCAATTGTCCTAAAAAACTGTGATATTTTGTGTGATAAGAAATTGAAACTATTAAAGTATACAGCCATAGGATATATTAACACTCTTCCTTATTCTGTGTCGCAGGATATGTATATTTTGTACTTTTTTCAGATTTCTGATAGGTGTTTGTATACAATTTATTCTAGACATTCCTACAATTAAAATTGATATCTTTATTCTTTGTGAAGGAGACCTTTCAATAAACAATGATAAATCTATTGGAAAAAAATAACCTTAGATATACAGAATTTAACATGATTTACTGTATCATGTGTATGTAAGTTGGAAATCAAAATCCTCCAATGAGTTGTTGTTTTCATAAAGGTACGAACAAGACTCTAATGTACAAACAGACATTTTAATCCCTTAATGCTGATACATATGCCATAATTAAAAATTGATCGAACTCATCATGGCTAAACACAGAATGTGTAGTTTTAATTTTCCTTTGAAAAATAATCGTATTCAGGTAAATTACATATCACACAAAGTCATGTGGTTTATATTTAGTCGAAATGTGAGTTATTTTAATACTGAAATTTAAATATCTTTATTGGACTGAAACTAATGCGTAGACTTTAATACATGTCACACAAAACAATATTGTTCACCAAAGTTGATTTCACCCTAATCTAAAAAAATAAATATAACGTTCAACAACCAGTATTCCACAAAATAATCAAACATAACAACTATAGAATACATTTCACATTAAACCATTTCTTATGATCAACGTTGACCTGTCACCTGATTCTGAAAATAATCAATACGTTCGACAGCCAGTATTGCACAACAAAATCAACCATAACGACCATAAAATACAATGTTGACATTTCACCTGATTCTAAAAATAATCATTACGTTCGACAGCCATGTACTGCGCAACATAATCAACCATTACAATCATTAAATACCTTTTACATTTCTAATGATAGAATTGATCTTGCATATTATTCTAAAAATAACCATTACGTCCGACAGGTATTTCTTGCACAACAACTTCAACAACAACCATGTGACTAAATGATTAAAAACTATAAGCGCATGTTCAACCAAACGACTTAGTAATACAAAATTAGGAAATGACGTCGATGGTTGGTATTGTCATTGGTTGAATTATTGTTCACAATGACTTTGATTGGTTAATATTAAGAGAAACCCTGGTTGTTTGATTTAAAGCCGAACCCAAAGGCGAAATCACCCACAGCGCGTTTTATCTTGAAAATGGGACGGAATAGAACTCATCCAATGCTATCGAAGATTAACAGGTAAGAAGTTCTTCCTCTTTAAAAGACTTTTATGTTTCCATCATGATGAATATGACATAAGTCCTGCCTTGCAATTGATATTGCTTTGATAAAATTAAAAGACAAGTGTAATATGTTTACAATCTTTTCCTTTACAGAACGGCCTTTAGTATATTCAGTATGACGGTAGAATATTAAAATATTTGTGTCAATTATCTATGCTTTGGTAGTGGTATATGGTATATGTATATTTATTAGGTATTATATATCATACAAAATAATTATTGTCCTTTTTTATATAAAGGGACAGTTTACTAAAGGAATTAGAAAATAACGGTTATGCGATCATACCTAATGCTGCAGAAAGATGTGATGAGAAATTTTTGAAATACCAAGAATGGTTGGCAGGCTTCAAAGAAACTGGGAATTCCATTCAATGTGATGATTACGTCATAAATAAATATCGCATCAGCCATTCTGAAGCTTCATGGGGTATACGTGGTCAAGTCAGACAGTTATTTGGTCTTGTTTGGGAAACTGATAAACTTTTGACCAGTGTAGAAGGAGTTATTTTATTCAACCCGCCAGAAAAAGGTGTGTAGTGTGGGTCTAAAACTTACTTTCAAATCTGTTGTTATGTGCGCCAATCGCATCAATCCTTATAGTTTTGTCAAGAGCTGTTATGTTCGGTGGATCTATGCACAATAGTTACTATTCCACCACATACATTTGTGTTGGTAGCATTTGATCGACTACATTGTGTCCAAAACAAACATAGCAAAATTTACTTTTTAGTCACGGTTTTATGTCGGGTAATATATATTTTGTTACATCTTTGTTGTTTTGAAATAAAAATTTTGAAGTGATCTTAATCTCAAATATATCAATTAGCACAAAAAACTCATAATAACACTTCAATCCACAAATAAAATACGTACAAAACATTATGCGCACTAGTATATTATCGCATGCTTGCATTGTTTCGTCAAAACATAGTATTACTTAGTTGTATTGTTTTATTGTGTTAGAATTTTGTCATCTTCACTGTTCTATTAACTTTATATCTATAAATAATTTTAGGTGAAGGTGATTTCCGTACCCCGGATGCTTGTAATTTACACTTGGAACAAGGTGTTCGTCGGCAAGGCTTACATGCATATCGAGGTGCAGTTTATCTTGAGGAATCAACCGACGAAGATTTCTGCTTTCGTGTGTTGACAGAATCACACAAACATCATTCAGAATTCTTTGACGATTTTCCTCGAGCTGCGTCCAAATCCAAGAAAACTGAGTCTCTTAAACTGACAAAGAATAAAAGAACATGGTATTTTAACAAAGGCTGCAACCTTGTCAGTGTATCGGTTCCTAAAGGTGGATTGCTCTTGTGGGATGCAAGGATGGTTTTCGACTTTGTGCTCCCAGAATGCGGCAGGAAAAATATTGACCGATGGGCCGCCATCACGTTAGTTACCATGACACCAGCTTTGTGGGCAGATAAGGATGATCTTGAATTGAAGCAAAAAGTCTTCAAGGACTTGTCCACGACGACACATTGGGCATCCCAAGGTCAGAAGGTTATATCGGAAAGGAGACCAGTCAAAAGAAATGCCTTGGGTGACATAGTTGAAAATGTTGCGGTGAAGTTTCCAACGGCAACTGCCTTGTGGTATCCATGTCAAAAGCTAATGGGGATGATGGAGTATGATTTTGAAAATACTGAAGAAAATGGACCTCTCCCTCCTGCATGGATATAACTGTGTATACCCATACCTGTACATATAGAATATGTTGTCGGACTTAGTTTTTAATTCAAAAATTCTTTATATGCAATTTGGTTGGTTTGTTGTTTGAATATTTGAAATATCGGTATTTTTGGAACAAATACAAAATTCTTATGATCTGTGCTGTTTCATAATTATAGATCTTATTGAATAAAACAAATGAAGAAAGCTCCAAGCCATTACTTGTTTGCATTTTTCAATTATATCCATGTAAAGATGGCTTTAAAATTAATCATTAATGGTTATTCGCAACGTTGTTTCTTGGCAAGATATATATGTATGTGTCAACGAAATATAAACGAATTCTTTGACTGACTATAGAGGGTTTTTGGCTCTTTATGTGTCTTTTAATTCAAATATATATATATACATATATTTGCACCTCATGTTTGCGGTATACCATCTTTTCCGCAAGTTTATTGTTTTCTGTTTGGTATTAAATTAATAATAAAGATCCATTTTGTTACATCTTGTGATCCGTTTATTTTGCAATCGCCAATGGCAGTCAGCAGGGTTTAAGAACATCCGTTGTTCGACCTGTTAGTCAAATGCGTCTTGTTTGAATATACCTTTTCACTTTTTTGATCTTTGGGAAAATGTTGTTTGTGCTGTATTCAGACCCCTCTACCAAGAAATTTGTTTTGCATGCACACGTATAAAAATTGCGGTTTTTATCCAACGCAATCATAGGTTTGAACGTTGTTTTCAATTTAGACTTATATATATATATATATATATAGGCCTTCCGAATACCGTTTCGATTCCTAACATCACTGAAGAGACATTAATTGTCGAAATCCAAATATGGTGTACAAATTTTTGCACCTTATGTTTGCGGTATACCATCTTTTCCGCAAGTTTATTATTTTCTGTTTGGTATTAAATTATCAATAAAGATCGGTTTTGTTACATCTTGTGATCCGTTTATTTGGCAATCGTCAATGACAGTCAGCAGGGTTTAAGAACATCCGTTGTTCGACCTGTTAGTCAAATGCGTTTTGTTTAAATATACTTTTTCACTTTTTTGGTTTTTTGGAAAATATTGTTTGTGCTGTATTTAGACCACTCTAACAAAAATTTATTTTCCATGCACAAGTATAAAAATTGTGGTTTTTATCCAACGCAATCATAGGTTTGAACGTTGTTTTCAATTTAGACTTACTTATATATATATATTGCTTTCAACACTTGTTGCTTTGAATATTATGTTGAACGTGAATGAGGTAGCCAAAAGAGGGCAACATACAAACTTTAACAATAAATATATATATACAATCTGTACAATAGTTTGCTTTAATGCAAAGGAATGTAGCTCACTAATAAATGAAAATACTTATTTCATTCATAATTAATACATACAAAGACTCAAACATAATAAAACCCTTTTAGTTTGGAAATTAACTCTAATCCGCATTTCTGCAAGGGGCAGTATAGAATTAGAGATTAAAGATCTTCAAAGGTACCAGGCTTATTGTTTGGTACGTCAGGTGCGCGTTTCGTCTACATCATACACATGAGGGACGCTCGAATCAAAACAGTTGGAAGCCCCAATCAAATACGAGGTTGAAGAGTATTAATCACCAAAACTTCCAAACCAAAACTTCCAAAAAGTGTCAAATACGGCTTAAGCAATCTATGCCGTACGGTGATCTATATCTATTAACTTCTATATGTCATTTTGTCTCTGGTGGAGAGTAAAATTGTTTCATTGGCAATCATACGACATCTTCATATTTTTATATATACCTCGGAATAGAAACACTTTGTTTTTTTAATAATTCAAAATTTATAAAAATAAAATGAACACATTTCAATAATATTTCATGTCAACACAAAAGTGCTGACTGCTGGACTGATGATATTCTCGGCGAAGAATCGTCCACTGGCAATGGCAACGACCCAGTGGTTGTATAAACTCATCAGATACCAATCTTATTACTTGGTTCACCAGACTCGCGCTTTGTCTACTGTAACATCAGACTCACCAGTGTTGCTTAATAACATCTTTTACATTAACAAAAAGCAACAGATAATGCACTGAAAAAAGACAACAGCCATGTATATATGGCGATAAGCTGAGTTGAAAATGATTGAAGGAAAAGATCGGGACACAAACTACATAGTGAATATTAAACAGTGTAATGCCTAGTTTTCATATGTATGGTCTGTCAGGTATAAATCTTGTCAACTAAGTTACATACTATCATTGACCTAAACTTTAACATATCGGTTGAGGTTTAATACATTTAAATTAATCTGGAGTTTCCATAACATATAAAAAGGAGATACGACATGAGTGCCAATGAGACAACAGTATTATAATTTCCGCCAAAGAACAATGGAAGATGGTGTAAACAATTATAGAGCACCATACGGCATTCGAAAGTGAGAAAATCCATACAATATACCGAAGTGACAAACTGTAAAACAATACAAAAGAGAAAAAAAACGGCCTGGTTTATTTAAAACAATAAATGAAAAACAGGCAAATATTGAATGTGGATGGTTCAACTTGTGTTTGCGCGCTCAATCCTCCACTTAACTTGGGACAGTGGTGTAACAGAACAACATAAGAGCAAACTATGAACATCCATTCGAAACGACATGACTCATCAGACCGGCACTAACATCCACGAGATACGCTTATAAAGATTGTGTAATACCATAAACGTGCTAATTTACATTATTTCTCATATAGAATTTATAATTTTAGTTCAAAATGATAGATCTGTCATTCAGGAAAACGACTTTTGAGTTCAATAGAATCTAACAATTTGCTGTCAAATTGATTGAAAAATGTATGTTCTAGCAGTTCCATTTATTTGGACGATTTTTTTTTATCTTGACTGCAATATTCATTTTTCATGAAAATAAAAATTGTCGTCGTTCACAAATAAATTGTATTAAAAAAGATATATTAATTTTTGTAATTAGTATTTGTATGTGTATGATTGTGTATTATACGTGGGGGCATAAGATTTTTGTTTACTAAAAAAAAATCACAATTGACATTTCAAGTTAAGCGAACAATGCATTGGAGTGAACCCATTTTGTCTATGTTTTTAATCATGTTAATAACACAGAACTATTTGCAGACGTTTATAAATGAATAGATATAACACGACAAAACAAAAACAAAAAACAAAATAAAACGAAAATATAGATTAAGTGCAAATAAATAAGGTCTCAGACTACGGGTAATGTGATACCAATATTTAAGAACAAGGAGTGCAAATTAGATCCAAAAAATTATAGACCGATAACTTTATTGTCGTGCTTGGGGAAAATATTTACATGTATTCTTAATGACAGGTTGGGTTTTTTCGTTAATTGAATATATTAAATGAAAATCAAGCCGGCTGCCGATATGGTTACTCTACTACGGATCATAGTTTTTCTTTATATGCACTTTTTGAACTTCTCAGTGTTAAAAAGAAAAAGCTTTTTTGCGCTTTTGTAGATTTTGAAAAGGCCTTTGATTTTGTACACCGTAATTCTTTATTATATAAACTCCTTTTGAGTAATGTAAAAGGAAAGTTTCTTAGAGTTGTTAAAAATATGTATGATGATGTTAAATCACGTATTGTACATAATCCATAATTTATCTGACATGTTTGCTAGTGAAATTGGTGTTAGACAAGGGGAAAATCTTTCTCCTTTGTTATTCTCTTTATATTTGAACGATTTGTAGCAGTATTTAGAAAATGTTAACATTAGTGGTGTACAATCTTTAACATTGGATATAGAAAATGAACTAATAAATATATACCTTAAACTGTTTGTATTATTATATTCCGATGATACTATTTTACTTGCTGAATCAAGTTCAGATTTACAGTTACTTTTATATAATTTTTCACAGTATTGTAATAATTGGAAATTAAGAATCAATGTTAGCAAAACCAAAGTGATGGTTTTTACAAGAGGAAGAATATCAAATAATTTGAAGTTTTATATAAAAAGAAGAAATAGAGATAGTTAAACATTATAAATACCTTGGTGTTATTTTCTCTAGAAATGCATCTTTTTCGAAACTAGGAAATATTTACGAGACCAAGCATCTAAAGCTATGTACAGTGTTATCAAGAAGAGCAGATTAAACCACTTATCGATTGAATACCAACTTAATATGTTTGATAAAGCTGTTGTACCCATTCTTCTATACGAGGCTGAAATTTGGGGATACGAAAATTTTGATATACTTGAGTGAGTGCATTTGAAATTCTGTAAGGGAATTTAGCACATTTTAAAACTTAAAAACTCGACTCCAAGTTTTATGATTTATGGAGAACTTGGGAGATACCCTATTTCTTTATATGCTAAACTACGAATGATCAACTTTTGGTGTCGCCTTCTTGATAATACAAATGAAGATAAATTATCCAGTATACTTTATAAACTATTATACATTAATTGTAACAATTATGGTATTGGAAATAAATGGATGTTATTTATTAAGAAAATATTTGATGAATGTGGCATGTCAAATGTATGGCATTGCCAAGATCCATTTAACAAAAAATGGATAAAATTAAGTATTGAGCAAAAGCTAAAAGTCCAATTTCGACAAGACTGGTTTGCAGATTTACATCAATCCTCGAAAAGTTTATGTTTTAGAATTTACAAGACCGAATTTAAATTTGAAAAATATTTATCGATTTTGCCTTTTAATTTTTTATATACTTTGTGTAAAAATTTAGATGCGGAAATCATCGTCTGCAGCTCTACAGATATTGGCGATGAATTTCACTACATAATGTCATGCAATTATTTCAACATATATTATTTTACCACATTATTGTAACAAAAATGCTAACATTATTAAATTTAATCAAATATTCTCATCTGAAAATGTTGTTGAACTAGAAAAATTGTGTAGATTTATACGATACATATCAGTGAAAGTCTGTCCTCCTGGTTAGAGGAACTGTAATATTATTATATTGTTATTTATTTTCACACATGCGAAACAAAATATGTATTATATATGAACTGTTATTTTCTCTGTAACTATGTACTAGTTTATGAGAATAAAATCATTCATTCATTCGGATGATAAGATTTTCCTTACTTTTTAGGTTAATATATATATTTATCTAAAAACTACCCCTTTACAACGTGGGCACATGCGGACGGGGTATCCACAAAATAATGCGTCTAACAGCATATGCAATGAATATATACAGACAAGTAAAAAATATTCATATGTCATTTTCAGAGTTGAAAATTGGTCCATTATAAAATAAGACAGCTTACATAAAAGAAATACACATTATCTACAATATAAAAAAATTTATAAAAAAGTTAAAGACATCTAACTGCAACAAATAGAACAATGTGGAACTATTTTTTACATATGCATATTCATTCAATGTTTAAAATAAATCATATTTGAAGACTGAGACAGTATATTTATAGTATGAAAGATCATTATAAAAAGACTCGGAACGTAAATTTGAATGGACTAGATGAAAGTGGTAATGTCGTTATACCACTGAAATGCAATTCCCTCATCTTATCTTGTTATCGCGATCAGAGACATATAATACAATTTGAATATGTCTCTGTCGCAATGAATATTTTCCTCGAGTTCAAAATTTCAAACTCATGGAAAATCTTTGAAACATTGGAATTTACTTATACAATCATGCAAGATTGGACATTTTGAAAGTGCATGGAACAGTTGTCTCCAATGTAAACTGATCTTCGAGCTGCTGTGAGAAACAAGAAACTTCTCGCCAATGTAGAAGGCGTTGTAGTTGGCAAGTCCGGTTAAAAAGGTTAAATATTCAAAGTATGATAGCTGATTATTCATTAATACATGTTGTATCCATAATATTGAGTCCGATTGTGTACATGATAAAGTTATCTACGGTTTTCATATATGTTATTCATATGTGCTATTTAAAACATAGATTTATATACAGTCATAATAATATTATTCTAAACGTTGTTGTAAACTTTAGTATTCTGAGTATCATATGTCTTGAATTAACCTTTGTCAAAATGGTCAAGACAGTACTCTGATTCATTAAGTTTCTCGTCCCTTAAAGAAGCCAGTATACATTGGTATTGTTCAAATTGAAAGGATGATTCTTTAACCTTTTTAGAACATTCACGGTGTACAAAAAAAAATAGATGCAAGTTTTTGTTAAAAATATACATAACGAATGCTGATGTGTCCCTCACATGTATAAAAATATCTACCGTTCATATTAAATACAAATTTTATTTACTAATCACAGTGTCCGTATTATGGCAGAATAATTACAGTTTAATTATGACTACAAGACAAAACATCCAATACTAAGCATGCTATCAATAATTTAGTTGATTAAAACTTGAAATCAACATAATTATATCCATTTATTAAAGAAAATAAATGCTTAATTCTGTTCACGGTATCGACTTACTATGTGGACCAGCCTCAGGCATTAAGATAAGTGTTGACTTATATGGTCTAGTTATCTTTCTATTAAAGGATATCTTTTTTTATTTTATTTAATTAACATGGTATTCTTTCTTTTCATGATCAGACCATGACAGTAACATATTTACTTTTCTATGGTCTCAACTAAAAATATGGGCGTGAGCATTTACTTGATTTTTTTTTTTTTTTTTAAATCAATAACCTGAATATGGGAGTGATAACTGTTTGTTTATTTACAATGTTCAAGCTGATAGAATCATGTGCAAAACAGTGTAGCCGAGACCATTGATTGGCGCGCTAAAATATCCCATTGACTGGGTCAGATTAGGTGAACGTTCGTCTGTAACGCCCACAACTCACGACGTATTTATTATAGACATTTAAACTGTGGGGTCACCAAAGGGTCTCAACGCCTAAATAAAATAATTCGAAAAACTAATCAGGAATAACCTTTGTGTTTTGATTTATATTGAATACTTAAACGTTCTTTACTTGTGTTTTTGTTATGTTTTGATAATGAATTTTTATGATATCGGACGTTCTTTCAGCAAAAATGGATTTAACTGGCTTTAAAAGTTACAATGGATGTGTTGATTATTATCTTTTTTTCGGACGTCAAAGCGATTTAACAATTGCGGTTGTCCAATTATGTCATCTTTTTTAACTTTTATCTGGTCAAAATTTTATTTTAGAACGAATGCATGATCAACTTTAAAAAGTGTGCAAACACAAAACATATAGACAAAATATACTTCTTTCCTGTCTTTTTCATACTTGCAAGTTATTAGACAGTAAAAAGGCTATTTGGATCAAGCCATGTGAAATTTGCATTTACGTTTTTGAATAGGTACACTGAAATGCAGTCAAGTTTAGCGATTGATAATTCATTGATAACATTCTGGCGTATCACAAACAAACAACTTGTAACGTCTCATTTCATTGGCCGAAAGATTTAAATACAACAACAATTGTAGTGTGCACGTGAATTGACACAGGTGACCGACAATGGAATGTACTACGTTACTACGAACGTAAAAAACAATGATTTTTGGTCGAAATAATTAAATAAGTATTTTGTGAATTTCAAATAGTGGGGTCGAAATATTATACTAATAATTTGTGTCAAGTAATATTCTTTATGCATGCAGCACTTGTACCGCACTATGAAAAATATAAGGATAAAATAAAATACATGTGCCGCTTTTATACGGATGAATGTATGAACCACTTTAATTTCTTTCATATTGACGCTAGGTTATTACCCTGACAATGTCGTAGTTACTTATAATAAGGATCTCATAATACTGATCCATTTCAAATTTATGATGGGTTGCACATTCCTCTTTTATTGTTTTCATGCTATAAAACGAAAATAAAGTAGCTAAGCGTTTGGTCATTCAGAAATGACGTGTCATAAACGAGCAAATTGTCCCCGAAAGATCGTATCATGTGTGCACGTGAATATAGATGTACTATGCAATGTACTATCATGGTCACCACGAAATTCAAATGAATTCAGTGAAGGCATGTTGGTGTAAAAAGGTTTGAAATGTTTCATCGGCGAAGATTTTATTTTTGCATGTGTGGAACTAAAAAATAAATAAATACTTGTGAGAAACGTCGTAGTTTATAAGGAACTATATAAATGTACTGTTTTCGATTTTAATTGGTTGAAAATTTATCCTTTAATTTCATACCGTAAGAATAGAGCTTTGCATAACATTGTTGAACTATCCGCCAAAGTAACGTGTGGCATGCGTGCGTATTAAAATGAAATACATGTAAAATATGATAAAATTATAATCGAAATATTAAGAAATTAAGGATGACTACTGTAAAAGTATGTACAAAAATGGAGTCACCTTTTATCAATACATTTAGTGAATAACCACACTGTTTAAAACTGATTGTTTTCTATGCAACTATTTAAATATTTACAATATATAATTTTCAACCGAGGATAGCAAAACAGTTAATTATAAATTAAGAAAGTATATCGCTGGAGTTTATAAAGTACATTTCCTTCCACTGTGCCATGGTTTGCCATCTCCATTTTTTCTCTAAACAAAGCATGGCTGGTAACATGTTCTGAATTTACTTACAATTTCGGGATTTTTTTTTCAAAATCAAGTAAACTAAATCAGAAAAAAAAATCACACTATCCTAAAATTTATGAAAGAATATGAATAATGAACATAATAATCGGCATGACAGTTTATAACACAAACCCATTTACTATAAAAATCGAGCAATATCTTTAGTATGTAATTTGGTTATTTTTGTAGTTAAGTACGGTTTCATTTCAAGTACAACGTTAATTCATCAAGTCCATTGAATAAAAGATAAGGCAGGGTGAGCAACTTGACAAAAAAAGGCAGGATGACGATTTATGTAAAAATATCAGGATAAACTAATAAATATAGTCAGGACCTAACAGACTGAAAAATAGAAAGACAGGACAGAGATAACAACTAAAAAAAATGCAGGACAAAATGTTTCATCCAAGTCCCCCACCCCCAATCAAAATAAAATGGTAGCTCCCTTAATCCAGAACCAATTGAGAGGAGACAGTTGAATTAAATATTTCGACGTGACTGTTAAGATTAAAGTTTAAAATTTTACATGCACATGTATAAAAGCTAGAATTGCCATGGGATAATCAAGAACACAATCATGTACGTGAATATGACGATGGAAGTTTTTAACGACCTTGATCGGCTACGTGAATACTGATCAGTCCATTCAGCTTTATAGTACGCGTGTTCTATTTTCGCAGGTGTGAGGTCGAAGGTTTGAATTGACCAATGAAAACGATCGTTCCTTAACGAGTTAATCTAATAAAGTTTGTTTGACTGATTATTGTTGCACGACCTTTCGCTAAGCTTGGCCGCAGTTCAGTATAAAATGTATAGTTTGATGATCTTTTCTGCTAACTACTATACTTGTGAAAAACCCTTGGCAACAGAAACATATTCAGCTTTTTTTTAATCGACCCAATTTACATAGTAATGGACGACTTCGTACATTTTATGATCGCAAATAAAATATGTATATAATATACTGTGCACTGTAGTTCGTATATATACTGAAACCCTTTGGCAACCCCACAGTTTAAATGTTTATAATAAATACGTCGTGAGTTGTGGGCGTTACAGACGAACGTTCACCTAATCTGACCCAGTCAATGGGATATTTCAGCGCGCCAATCAATGGTCTCGGCTACACTGTTTTGCACATGATTCTATATGGTACGTTGTTGGTCCTCAATTTCATAATATATTTTCGGTACTTTCTTTACTGAATAATTTTCCTTTTCCATCAAAGTCACTTGTACGTTTACTGACAAGGGACATGGTACATAAACTTAGCCAAACAAGTTACAGCGACGGAAAACAATATTGACACGTCGCCATGTTATCTCGATAGGGATACATTTACCTGTCTTAATTCCTCACTTTATTGCACTAATTCCGTAACAATTGAGGCCCAAAACACTTTCGAGAAAATGACACGAAGAAATGGTTCAGTTGCAAAAATTGTTGCAGCAGCAGTTTTTGTTGTAGGAGCTGTGTACTTCTTTTATGTATTCAATCAAACAAGTGGGAAGTTGAAGGATACAGAGCGAGTTGCGAACAGATATCGAAGAGAACAAGAAGCCTTGTCCTCTCAGCTAGCTGGTAAACTTAAGCCACACCTTATATGTTACATGATGTTGATATGTCAATGGTGTTAAAACAATGCAATCACTGAATAAGTTTGATCAGAATGATGAGCTGCCTTCTACTTTATGACACCTTTTGTGACTAAACGGTCACACGATTGTACCTTGAAAGCTTTGCAATCCCTCATAAACTATCAGATTTGCTACCTAATGAGCTGCAATTTACATTAGTAGGTTACACAATGGATATTGGTTTTTAACAAGTTGATTTTGCATGTTGTTTTAGTTATACATACCTGCCAACTTTTGAAAATCCACATGGGGGTTTTAGTGGTGACAAGGATTTGTATAGCTATACAAATCCTTGGTGGTGACAACAATTTCAAAGGATACAATTTTTTGCAGCGTTTTTTTGGAACACACTGTTTTGTGCTCTAGAAAAAGTGTTGTATCTTTTTTTTATATGGTATACTGATGATGACCTTATAAACCTTTTTCCTCTTTTTATTTGCATGATTCTAGTACTTAAATTATTGTGTAGAAAAGATTAACATGTAGCTAGAATACTAGGATATATATTTTCTTGTTTAGGAATATAAAAATTTGTAAGGGTTCCGCGGAACCCAGTGTCTCGCCTACTTTTGCTGTTAATCGAAGGCTCAACAAAATGAGGAAAAAAATCAATAAAAATATTCCTTTAGATAAGTACTATCTTTTGATTGTAAGAAGCTTCTGTCAAAGTTTGGTATAAATCCAGGATAGTTTATGAATCTAATAAATGTTTTAAAAACTTTAACTGCAGACTGTATTTATATAATTAATGTTAACTGGAAGAAAAACTAAGTCCATTTATAAGTAAAATATCGATAAACAGGTACAAAATTTTAACAAAATTTTCTTCTAGATACTAGCTTTTGATCATAAACAAGCTTCTGTCCAAGTTTGGTACAAATCCAGGATAGTTTGAGAAAGTTATTAAAATTTTAAAAACTTTAACCACAGAGTGAATGTTATGTTTCCCGGCAGAAAAACGAAGTCCATTTACTGAATACGGAAAAACAGGAATTTTATTTTTACAAAATTTACTTCTGGATACTATCTTATGATCATAAACAAGCTTCTGTCCAAGTTTGGTAGAAATCCAGGATAGTTTAAGAAAGTTATTAAAATTTCAAAAACTTTAACCACAGAGTGAATATTTGTGGACGACGACGATGCCGACAGAATTTAGGATCGCTATGTCTCGCTTTTTCGACTAAAGTCGAAAAGCTCGACAAAAAGTGATTGTTGACTTTTCCAATTTAAAAATATGCACAAAGAAGGAGATTTATCTGATTCCTTGTGAAAAATAAAAGATAGTACATTGTACTTTAAATGATTTTGTAATTTAATTACAAGAATGACAACACTATGATCTGGTACAACAAGTGTAATGTCCATAAGCTACTATTTATTATGTTTATGGTTGTATAATCATATATTCCAGCCATCAGATATACAAATTTGCACGAGATTATATGCCCCTTATGATGTTTGAATTTTAATGAAAAATCCTTAAAAGAAAAGAGTTGGAAAAAATGTATAAGCCACCATGCTGTGGAAGTTTTATCAGTGCCATAGTGGTAAAGACCGAAACAACCCTGCCACCATTTATGCTTCCTTCTGAGGCATATACATGTTCAAACATTTGTGCAATCCTAGCCACTGTCAGTTTTGAGAGTAAAGATTGCATTTATGAATTGTAACTCTGTTTGGAGAGTTACAGGATTATGTTATCTAATCTAGTACTGTCCTGACTGCTATGCACTGATCATAAATGTTAAAGTTGCTTAAAAAATTATCAAACTCTTAAATCTCCTCTTTTGCAACAGAGTTGGACTAGCCTAAACATACACGCTCACATTCAAAAGATACGATATTGCAATAAAATGAGATGTGGAGTATAGAATAGAATAGAATATTTTTCCAAATTACAGGGCCCATAACGAGCATACATGTACATGATGTATAAATCAGATAAAATTATTGGAGTAATTTAGTTAACAATAAGACATTACAATCATGACAATATAAAATCTATAGTATAAAAATATAAGTCAATGAGACATCAACATTTGTTTGTTCCAGGAAGTAATTATATAATAAATATGAAGGAGAGGCTCCATTGATAGATGCCCTTCATTCAGATAAGAAAAGTTCCATAATGATTTGCTGGTCAGAATTTTACTACATATTCAAACTAAAAAAGTTGTCCATACATGTATGTGATAACAAATTAATAATTAACAAGTGTTGTACTCCAAAATAAAGAAATTTATGTGTGGAATTTTTTATTCGAATACTTACGGATTAAAATTTTGTGTTGCTTGACTCTTATTCATATCAAGCAATTTTTTTCAATTCCTAATTTTGATCAAACTGGTCATTCATTATCATGCATTCCAGTGGGAATAGTCTGTTGGTCACCTTCATGACCTTATGAAAATACAATCCTTTTCTTTTGGGATAATTTTTGAAAATGTACAACATAATATAAAACAATTTGATTTCAAACCTCAAGAATTAAAAGGGGTACTCCTTTTTTGGAGGTATTAAGTCAACTACTATGTTTTTCCATTTTTTTTCAATGAGCATGATGATGAAAAATGGATCTGTTCATGGGATTTCTCAGTGACATGCATGTAGAGTGAGCATATTACTATCAAGGAATAGGATATTGTATATACAATGTAGCATGTACATGTGTAGGTAAACATGGAAAAAAAAACGTATTGTGAAAAATAGGACTTTTCATTAAAATATTTTTCCAAAATTACACAGTAATCATGGTAATACAAAAAATAAGAAAAATAATGATGTAAAGTCCTGAAATTCAAGTCTTATACTCATGTATGTAAAATTCTGTTTAAATTATTTGTTGAAGCATGTTTAGGACGGAAATTTTTAAGTGATTGTCAGGAATACATTTTATTACATTCTTGATGGGAAGATGCAATTTTTTCAATAATGTTTATGTAATTTCTTTTCAGATCTTAGGTCAGAAAAAGAAAATTTACAGTCGAGATGTGACAATGAAAGGGTTTGTATTTAACAAATATCCAGGTGTTCATATTAGCTTTACTTAATGAAAGCTTAAGGTCCATAACAATTGAAATTTCTAGTGAAAGATCCTCCTACAGATTGTCAAAGTTCCTATACAAATCATCAGTGTAAAGAATGGCAGGTTCTTAACTTATGTAATTTGAAAATGAAAAATCCATTACCAGAAAAATTAAGTTCCAGACCTAGGACTTACACTAATTTGAACACCTTGATTCATTCTTCAGGTTTAGTTTAAACATCAGTGTTGACAGATTAATACAAAACATACACACACTATGAAAGCAGACTAGTTTTAATTAAAAAAAAAAACAGACAAAAAAATGCATAAATCTTAGTTAGGATTTTAAGCTGTAAAAGTTGGTGAACAGGTATATTATATATTCAGTCCATAAACAATTTTTTGTCCATCATACATGTAGTTTGAGACATGTAATTTTGGATATCAGGTAACATACAATTATGTCTTATTGGTTTTTTTGTTTTTTTAATTATATTCAACATGTTTATCAGATATGATTTCCTGTATCTAGCAGCAAAAATGCTAAAACTGCTACATTTGCACTGTTGAATGGTGTATTTACTTCTGTAATCAACAAATATGCACAATTTTTTGCTGCATATAAAATATGCTGTTCGGTGTAAGCCAAGGTGCCGTACTTTGACCTATAATGGTTTACTTTTACAAATCGTGACTTGGATGGAGAGTTGTCTCATTGGCACTCATACCACATCTTATATCTACTAACAATTGTTCAAAATCAGAAGTTTATTTTAAACATGATTATGAGTATGAAAACCAAATTTGATATGGTTTTCAGTAGCAAAAATGTTGTTTATTACTTTTAAGCTCACATAGGGAGACTACATGGTTTACACAAAATTATAATGTTCTGAGTTTACAAACTATTTTAACTGTGATCTGTCAGAAAACCATTAAGCAATGTCTTCAACAGTTATATTAAGAATATTTTGTCATGCTTAAATGCAGTAACATCCTTATTCAAAGGAAATGATATAAGCAAAAATGTCAGTATTTTTCCTTAATTTCAGAAAGAATATCAAAACAGACTAAGTTCTTCTAATCAACAGTACAAAATGATACAGGTAATTATACTAGACGTTAGAAGGCAGATATAGTCATATACAGGTAATTATACTAGACGTTAGAAGGCAGATATAGTCATACACAGGATAAAATGATACAGGTAATTATACTAGACGTTAGAAGGCAGATATAGTAATATACAGGTAATTATACTAGACAGTAGAAGGCAGATATAGTCATATACAGGTAATTATACTAGACGTTAGAAGGCAGATATAGTCATACACAGGATAAAATGATACAGGTAATTATACAAGACGTTAGAAGGCAGATATAGTCATATACAGTATAAAATGATACAGGTAATTATACTAGACGTTAGAAGGCAGGTATAGTCATATACAGGATAAAATCCAGGATGCTTCTGACAAGTATTTGAGATGTAAAATTTTGGTAATTAGGGCCCCACCCTATAGTGATCAGTGTGTCCGTCCGTAACAAATTATGTCCGCTCTATATCTAGAGAACCGTTATGATTTCAAAGTTTATACTTGACATGTATATTAACCAACACCAGAGAGTGTGTCATAATGTATGTACAACTTCCTAGGTCAAAGGTCAAGGTCAAAACTTTGGTTTTAATTGACAACCCCATGTCCTATGGTAAAGATTGTGTCCGCTCTATATCTTGAGAACCGTTATGATTTCAAGGTTTATACTTGACATGTATATAAACCAACACCAGAGGGTGTGTCATAATGTATGTACAACTATGTAGGTCAAAGGTCAAGGTCATAAACTTTGGTTTTAGTTGACAACCCCATGTCCTATGGTAAAGATCGTGTCTGCTCTATATCTTGAGAACTGTTATGATTTCAAAGTTTATACTTGACATGTATATAAACCAACACCAGAGGGTTTGTCATAATGTATGTACAACTTCCTAGGTCAAAGGTCAAGGTCAAAAACTTTGGTTTTAGTTGACAACCCCATGTCCTATGGTAAAGATTGTGACTGCTCTATATCTTGACAACCGTTATGATTTCAAAGTTTATACTTGACATGTATATAAACCAACACCAGAGGGTGTGTCATAATGTATGTACAACTTCCTAGGTCAAAGGTCAAGGTCATAAACTTCGGTTTCAGTTGACAACCCCATGTCCAATGATAAAGATACAAATTTTTTACCACACATTATTCACAGCGGGGCCCACAGAGATGGCTCCCATCTCAATGATATCTAGCTGTTCTAGCTAGGACTAAGGTTAGATATGCACAGTTTTAAGATTAAGGGCATGTTAACTCATTCTCTTGTCTGAAACGGGTCAACTTGAGTATGTTGGTCAATAGAAAATTGAAATAATCAAAAACATTTTTGCTGGATTTGTAGTATTTTTTGATTGTTAAAAGCTTTTCCCAGTAGTTAAATTTTATTATTTTTAATTTTACTCCAGAAAACAAAAATGAATAGGGCACGGGTGTACAGAGGGGAAGTGTGTCCCTCTTTCTTTAGCTATCTAGGACACCATAGTTATAAGAATGGTGATGTATTTCAGATTACTGTGTTCTTACTGGCATCTCATTTCCCCTCTATAACTTGAAAATTATTGAACAGTATTTTAAATTCTACCTTAATTGTTTTCCTTATTAAAGCAATATAGAAATAAGGAAATGTGGTGTGATTGCCAATGAGACAACTATCTACAAGAGACCAAAGGATATGGATGTAACCATCCATATAACCCGGGTCAGTGGTGTAGCAGAAGAACAAACTTAAAAAATCTATTGAAAAGGGATAGACCCATCATATAAGGGTTGTTCCAGAAAATACTATGTCCCCCCAGGGAAGGCATTTTTTTTAATTTTATGTGGTTGGTTGTATTTGAAATACCAAAATGCAAAGGGAGTGTTGTTCAAATTTATTTTTATTTCTGTGGGTTGTGGGAGTTAAAAAAAAAGTGCCGTCCCTTGGGGGGGGGGGGGGGGGGGGACATAGTATTTTCTGGAACAGCCCTCATCTTGAAGCACAAAAAACAAACATTAAGACAAAAGGCACAAAGTATCTATCTCAAAGTTTGGTATGATTGGTCGTGGAAAGCTTTCTATGGGTTTTTTTTCACATCTTGAGAATAATATCATGCTATGCAATAATTAACTAAGAGATGAGGTTCACAGTATATATCAGTAATTAACTAGGAGATGAGGTTCACAGTATATGTCGTTAATTAACTAGAAGATGAGGTTAACAGTATATGTTAGTAATTAACTAAGAGATGAGGTTCACAGTATATATCAGTAATTAACTAGGAGATGAGGTTCACAGTATATATCAGTAATTAACTAGGAGATGAGGTTCACAGTATATTTTAGTAATTAACTAAGAGAGGTTCACGGTATCTGTCAGTAATTAACTAAGAGATGAGGTTCACAGTATATATCAGTAATTAACTAAGAGATGAGGTTCACAGTATATGTCAGTAATTAACTAGGAGATGAGGTTCACAGTATATGTTAGTAATTAACTAAGAGATGAGGTTCACAGTATATACCAGTAATTAACTAGGAGATGAGGTTCACAGTATATGTTAGTAATTAACTTAGAGATGAGGTTCACAGTATATGTCAGTAATTAACTAGGAGATGAGGTTCACAGTATATGTTAGTAATTAACTAAGAGATGAGGTTCACAGTATATGTCAGTTATTATCATATATTTTTTTAAATTTTATGAAAGTTGTCTACTTGATTGTAACTTGTAGATATAACTGTAAGAAATATCACATTACTACAGTCTTTTTATTAAATAAAACATATGTTGTTTCTCAGAAAATTGATAGTTGAGGAAATTGATAATGTCCAAGCTGTTGTCTCGTAATATTATTTTCTTTGATGTGTACATGTGAACAATACAAAGCAATAAAAGAACAGATAATGTTTGGCTATTTGTGATGTTGAATACTGCATTTCTTTAAGAAGACGTAGTTTGCTTTTAGTTTAGGTACTGGTAGCTGCAATTCTTAAAACAAATATGAATATAAAGAGACATATATGCATCACAAATCAGACTAAAACATTAGTACAGACTAAATCAAATTTATCCATACTTTATCACTATGACCAGAATACAGCATTTCCAGGTTATGATCAAAGATTTATACTATATTACCATGAGAACGATTTTATTTGTTTTTTGACAATTAAAACTTTTAATAAAAGTTCAGAATATGTTCAGTATAAGTACAGTATGTACAGTTACAATTATGGAGATACATAAAAGTAGATTTTTCAAACAGGTATAAATTTGGCTAACTTTTATATCATAAGTTTTTATACGACCGCAAAAAATTTCAAATTTTAGGAATTAGGGGCCAAAAAAGGGGCAAAAAAAAGCATTTTTCTAGTTTCATGACAATAACTTGTGTGTAAGTGTATGGATCTTTATGAAATTGTACTACAAGGTTCCATATCACAAAGGGAAAGCTGGAATTAAGTTGGGGGTAATTGCCCAAAACCTTTAGGAAAAAGGGGCCAAAAATAAGCATTTTTCTAGTTTCCAGACAATAACTTGTGTTCAAGTGCATGGATCTCTCTGAAATTGTACTGCAAGGTACCATACCACAAAGGGAAGGCTGGGATTGATTTTGGGGGTAATTGTCTCAAAATTTTAGAAATTAGGGGCCAAAAAGGGGCAAAAAACAAGCATTTTTCTAGTTTCAGGACAATAACTTGTGTGTAAGTGTATGGATCTTTATGAAATTGTACTACAAGGTTCCATATCACAAAGGGAAAGCTGGGTTTGAGTTTGGGGGTAAATTGCCCTAAATGTTTAGGAATTTGGGGAAAACAGGGGCCAAAAAACAAGCTTTTTTCTAGTTTACAGATAATAACTTGTGTTCAAGTGTATGGATCCCTCTGAAATTGTACTGCAAGGTACCATACCACAAAGGGAAGGCTGAGATTGAGTTTGGAGGTGATGAAAAATGGGCTTTTATGGTAAAAAAAAAGCATTTTTCTAGTTTCCAGACAGTAACTTGTGATTAAGTGTATGGATCTCTCTTAAATTGTACTACAAGGTTCCATACTTCAAAGGGAAGACTGCAATTGAGTTTGATTGTTAATGCTAAAAGGGGGATTCAAAAAGTTTGGGGAGAAGGGGGGTTTCCAATTTTTTTTTGAAAGGGTTCATATTTTTTTTTCAAAATTTTCAAAATTTTTATTATTTTTGAAAAGTTTCAAGAAGAAATCTTCAATTGCACAGTATTGCACATTAGATTTGTAAGATCTTTGACCATATTTATTTTGTGTCAGAAACCTTTATTATGTCAAAAATTTGATCACAATCCAAATTCAGATAGTATATATATCAAGCTTGAATATTGTGTCCAAATTTGCCCTAACTGTTCAGGGTTCGACCACTGCGGTTGTATCAGGCTGCACTCAGCGAAGCATTTTATTAGCAATTGTTTTACTGTGGATTCATTATTATTCATGGGATACCACGTTTTGTGGATTTTGTTGGTACAGGTGAACCACGAATTTAAATGTTCAAAGAATAACAAGTTTTCTATGTATGCAGACTTTGTCAAAACCATGAAATCAAATATCCATGAAAATGTAAGTTTCCTCAATCCACAAAATTTAATACCCATGAAAAAAATGAATTCACAGTACACTTCACAAATTCAAATGTGATATGATACCAATTAATGACAATTTGTTTAATCACAACAATAGTATGCCTGCTATCTACACATGTAAACACAGTTTTTATCTTTTTAATAAAATCCAACAAACCAAGATAAGTAAATTTCAGTTGCATTTCAGCTCCATTAAACATGTTAAATTGAAGAAAAAAAAGATTTTTTCTTCGAATTGAGTTATGCAAAAACCAAATTTGCTATGGAATAGTCTTTTATGTGTTCCACTATATTTTAGAGTCAGCATGAAGATCTACAATCTGAGTTTACACGCTTACGTGATGATTTAAAAAAAGACAAAGATGATCATAAATTACATGATGCACAACAAAACCAAGAGTATATGCAGCTAAAACAAGAGAAAGATTTAGAAATATCTAGTCTTAAAGGTTTATATTATTTATTATTAGTAGACCCGTCTTGACATCCTCACTGATTAATTTTGGGACTGACTTAATAACATAGTAGCAGTGTTCTCCCCAGGCCCTTAAAGGACCGCGGGCCCGCGATGTATAATTTTTTACCGTGGTGGTATCGTTCTTACCGCGATGTATAATTTTTCTCCGTGGTGCTAAAATTTTCAGTTAAAAAATCGTAAATCGGTAAAGTTTTAAACGACTTGTTAAATCTTTTCCGTGCGGTATAAAATTCCAGGTGAAATTTGACCAGTTCAAACCAGTTCAACACGGATTGTTTACACCACGTGATCGATTTACCTTTATGAGGTTAACCTTTGTTGATTGGATTTAATTGATGTAATTAACACTTTTTACATGATGCTTTTGTGTTTTAATTTAGAGATCATAACTTTATGATCAAAGATAACTATTTTAAGGCTTCACTCACCGCCTGACAAGTCGGCAAATACTTTGAACACAAACCGTGTTGACCCAGGAACATATATATTGACTTTTTTTTTTTTATATATACTGTTCCCAGGTTGACCCGATAGTTGTGCACACGACGGTACATATTTTGTACATTATAAAGTTAGCCCAATACTTATATTATAGTTTTATATGTCTCTGATTAAACCATGGCCAAAATTATCTTTTATAATGACATAACTATTGCATGATATTCCGGTTTCAAACTGTCAACAAGTAATTCACAGGGGAAGGATCACATGACCCAGTTAGTTCACGTAGAATATTCAAGATTATTTACAATTAACTGCAATCTATTCTATTTTATAAATAAAATGCATGACTGTACCTTCAAACTGGATATCTATATCCATATGATCATTAATGAATAACAGAAGTGATCTTGCAATTTTAATCCATAAGCACATGTTAAATCTATTTATATCTGCTTCCTTTCATTTAGGCGGGAAAATAGGGAGACTTTGTTGTTGACATTGAATATGGTTACTTATAGATCTATAGACCTAAGATAAATTTATAGATTTAGGAATTCTTTTTAAATGGATCATGACAAATTAAGATTTACATGTTAGTGCAGTATTAAGTCTGTATCTATGTTTGATTATCACCAAAGACAAGAAAGGTTAATATTTACATGTACATGAAATCTATGGCAAAATGTTTTAAAATTTATGAAAAATTTCTTTTTATTAAAATTTAAGATAGAAACTGGTTAAAATTATAACACAATTTTGTATCTCCTTATGACAGGAATCCTTTCACATACAACAACTTTCTTTCTAGAAACTAGAAAGTTTTTTAAATTGTACATTTTTGTTCTCTTTTGAATCTGGGAACAGTATATCTAACATATATGTTCCTGTTTGAATGATATTTTATTTTTATTGATCATGGATTTTATAAAAGATTTTATTACTTTAAATTTAGATGAATATTATGTAATGAATCATGTTTTATTTATTTATAAAAAAATATTAAAAGTATACAAACTCTTTATTGATCTTTTTAACCAATAATATTCTGACATAACACAGTACCACAGTATTAAAACAAAACAAGAGACATAAAAACTGTAGTAACTAGAAATATAGCGATGCCACACGACACAACTGATTGTATGAATCATTTCACCAAGCTGTTCACACGCGTTACCCTGGTGCTATCCAAAAATCCTGGGGAGAACACTGAGTAGGTACTAATTTTCTGCACCAGATGCACATTTCGACAATAAATGTTCAGTGATGCTTGTAGCCAAAATATTTATAAATCCAAACTTGTTTAAAAAATAAAGAGCATAAAATCCAAGAAGGACAAAAAATTGTAGCTAAAGCCGGAGAAGGAATCAGAGTTTTGCATGAGGGAGATATATTCCTTTATTAAAAATAATTTCACAAAATTTTGTAACTTAAGATGTGCAAAGTAATAACTAAAATGGACATGCATTAAAACGTTTAATCCCGCTGCAAATGTTTGCACCTGTCCTAAGTCAGGAATCTGATTACAGTAGTTGTCGTCTGTTTATGTAGTTTCTCGTTTTTATATAGATTAGAACGTTGGTTTTTCCGTTTGAATGGTTTTACACTAGTAATTTTTTGGGGCCCTTTATAGCTTGCTGTTCGGTGTGAGCCAATGCTCCGTTTTGAAGGCCCTACCTTGACCTATAATGGTTTACTTTTATAAATTGTAACTTGGATGGAGAGTTGTCTCATTTGCACTCATACCACATCTTCCTATATCTATGAAACAGAACTGTTAACTAAGAAATATTTGCTATACAATGTGAAATAAAAAGTTGCAAATTATTTGTACACAGCATTTCCTGAAATCATAATTATTCTCACAATTTATTTCCTTTGACCAACAATGTCAATTGAAAATGCATGCAGAAATTTCTGAATGTATATGCTTTATCACAGTAAGATTAAACTTTGAAAAGATGTTTTGTGTTGAGAAGAAGCAATACATCAGGCTTAACATTGTATGTTTATTTTTTTGTAAACTCTTCAGACTCATAACAGAACTGTTAACCCTGTAGTGTGCATGTCAGTCTACAATTTATATATATTGAGACAGAAAAATACTTATAATCAGTTAAAGCTGATATTTATATATTATCAATGCTATTTCAAACTAGAGGGTGTTTCTCAGCTGTATTCTCATCGAAAGGTACATTCCTGAGTTGAGATGTTGCAGGGACTCATCTTTGAGTTTGAAAGACTTTTGGTAATCTGTTTATCGCTGTTTTCCTAGGCAACATCAATGATGTACGCTTATGATATCATACATCCTTTTTCTACTTGACCCTGTCACCCATATCACTCTTAGTAACATAAAATGAAAACTTTATCACAAAAAAAAGATCAAAGAAAAATTAAAGAAAATAGTGATAATTTTCTTTTCCAAATTCATATATCATTTGTATGTTGAGAAAACACTTCTATTGTACTTTGATGGTAGTTTTTGTTAAGTCTATCTTTTGGTAATAAATGACATACTAAATTGAATTTTAAACATAGTAGAATAAAAATGAAAAGTGCTTTCTGGCACTCTGTCAGAACATTCAAATGCCTCATTGTCATATGAATTGAATTGGTGATGTACACTACAGCTCGGGTGGATTTTGCTTTGTCCACCGGCCCACCATGGGAGTGGGCACCGGGTGGGCAAAATTTGTACCTTGTCCACTCTGCCCACCTGTAGGAGTGGGCATTCAATTTCTTATGTTTCATCTAAAGACTTGCAAGTACAATCACTTGAAAAAAGCAGATAAGCATTTGTAATCAATATTTTTACAAAAAAGAGATTATAGCTAGAGTGGGCACGGGTGGACTGCCCACGGTAGGCCGGTGGAAAAAGCAAAATCCATACTGAAAGTTCAGGTTGAAATGAAAAAATATAATTACTGTTGGTTCTCTCTTCAGATGAAGTAGCTAATACAAAGAGAGATAAAGATAGTCTAAATGACCAGCTTACAAAATTACAAGCAGATTTAGATGTCAGTCAGGTTAGTTATATATATTAATATATACATTGAGGAGTCTATCGTGTTGAAGTGCCAATCTGCCTAAGAATCAGGCAGTGGTGAAAACATGACAAACAAAAACCCACTCAAGTTGACGTTAATTAATGTTCAAAATGTATAATGGTGCACCAATATAACATTCGTTTCCTTGTCCTGTTCTGGTAATTCAAGATATAATTTGGTTGAAGTGCACTAGAAATTAACAATTAAGGGGAGCTAACTCCATAATTTGCTATCATTCTAACCAAAATTTAGAGATTTATCAAATTTCCAGATTCGCTTAAAAGAAAAACCTACCATTTCTAACTCAGGATGAGGGTAACTTCAAAATAGGATGGTAAGGTTGATGGATTTTTTCGGCCATGTTTGGATTTTTTTCAAAATTGCCTGATTCTTACAAAGACTGGCACTTAAAAAAAGAAAAAGAAAATAAAACAAGTCAGAAAGACATCTAGAGGTCAACACACCCTCTTCAACAATAAATAAGTGTCTATACCACATGTCATGCACTTTATTGTCTGAAGATAAGACAAGTAGGTAATAAATTCATCTGAGACTACCAAAGACCAGGGAACAATACCAAATTATGTAAAGGTAGAACACACTAAATGTTTTGTCACTAACATTAATCAATCATTCATGTCTTGTCTCTTATAAGTGGTTCCTCTGTTTACAATGTCCTTTTCTGTGTTACTGGCATGTTTTTACTGAATAACTTATAATATTCCAAAGCTTTCCTTAAATGGTCTGCTTTGTAGTTCATTTAGTATTTAAGAATATTAAGTTTGATAAATAAAAGAAATGATCATAGTTTTCATACTTTCTGCTTACATGATTTTACATTGAAATTGTGAACAATTTTTTTTTATCAGACACTTAATTCACAAATATTTTGCATACATGTACATATAAAAAAAATTAATACTATTTTCAAATTACAATCAGTCTCCACACTTTATTGAATTGATAATTTAAAAATTATGTTCAACACAGAGAAAGCAAATAAGAAATGTTTATTCCATTTAAACATGCTCACAAACAAGACACTTTGAAATCAATTCAATGCCTGTTACCGTTTCAATATTTTTCAAATACTTTATAAACAAAATTCTGTTCAGTTTTGAAAATTACTTCTGTTGCTAGTTGTTAATTAGGGCTATTCCATTAAAATGTATGTGGGAGGGTAGGAAGGGAAGTTTCATTATTGAATGTGGGTCATGGGTCTTTTTTTCAGTATGCGTCTATTACCATTATGCAAAATTATCTAAAAAATGGTTCTTGGTTGTAGGGATATTTTGAAAGTCCCTTCCTACCCTCCAACATACATTTTAATGGAATAGCCCTTACCTTCCTTTCTTGGGACCAAAGTTATGTTGAAATAGAATAACCTTATATAAATGGTGTCATTAGTAAATGTAGAATAGATTAGAGTAGAAGTAGATATATCAGATTTTTTGTTGCTTATTAGAAAAAAAAAAGTTTAGAAAGGAAGGAGCGTTTACATCTGGAGATACAAGTGGGCAGCTTGAAGGTTATATATTTCTATATTGGTGATTGCTAGGTCAGGGATGCATGTTTTCAACAGATTTCAAATATGCAGACAACCTATGATTTATTGTTCAAGTCAACTGCTCAGCTGATAAAAGTGTTTAATCAACATTGATTGATGCTATTTTAATGTTATTGAAAACAATTTTGCTTGCTGGGTACATGCTTTCAGATGCTTGTTTTACCAAGAGTTGGTCTTAAATTGAATATATAGCCATTATTAAATTTCTAAATGAAGAAGTATATATTGCCTCCCTTTTTGTATGTTCATTTTTCGATTTCTACGTCAGTTAATTTTAATATAAACTAGGTTCAGATTTACTAGAAGGAAACAAACATTTTACTTTGTAGCTTAACAGAATGTGCATGCATGTACCAAGAATTTGTTTTTTATTACTTGTTTTCCAGTAATTTGAAATGTCAGAAATCATGTACTGATTTTGTGTCATGGATACCCCATATCCTTTGCTTTTCTATTATATTATGTAAGGATATTTTGGTGCAGTTTGTACAAGTTCAGTTTTCATGTTAAGTCAGAAGGCTTTTATTCCTGTAAAACAGTTCATGGCCTTGAATGAAGCCAAACTTGAATTACCATTCATCATGATGCACTAGCTACCAATATAAAAGTTAGGTTAATATCTATAGAAAATCAAAAAATAGTTGAAATTACATTAATACAGCTGAAAATGTCAAAATTCAACAACTGGGAGAAATCAGTTTGTAAATTCAAGAATGTTGGGTTAAAGAAAGAGTTTTATCATTGTTAATCTTGTTCTCATCATCCATTCTATGAATGGGGTATCTGGACTGTCATAATAGTTCAATGTTTCTGTCTAATTATTGTCCAGTGAATCATTTATTAGAAAACAAGGGTGAAATATATTGACCAAATACATACTGTATTCAAAATTTTGGGTCAAGTGTCTTTTCAAAAGGTAAAATATTCTTTAACAGAAGCACTTGCTGGTTATGAAAATAGCATCATAATAGTTATGGGTACTAGAGAAAGGATCATACAAACAATTTTTTTATATATAGCCATTATTAAATTTCTAAATGAAGAAGTATATATTGCCTCCCTTTTTGTATGTTCATTTTTCTTGAGTGGTTATGACATTAATATGTCAATTTCTGAAATGATCAGATTAAATACATTGAACAATTAAATACATTAAGAATTCTATAAATATTAAAACTAAAAAATGCATGTCAATGTTCCATGGTCATTGATGGTGAAGGAGTATTAATTTTGTTGATCTTTTTATACGACCGCAAAAAAATTTTGCAGTTGTACATTGGTATGACGCTGGCGTCGTTGTCGTCGTCGTCGTCGTCGTCCGAAGATACATTGGTTTTCGCACTCTGACTTTAGTTTAAGTGAATAGATCTCTATGAAATTTTACCATAAGGTTCAATACCACAAAAGGAAGGTTGGGATTGATTTTGGGGATTATGGTACCAACAGTTAAGGAATAAGGGGCCAAAAAGGGACCAAAAATAAGCATTTTTGTAACTTCCAGACATAACTTGTGTGTTAGTGTATGGATCTCTCTGACATTGTACCACAAGGTTCCATATCACAAAGGGAATGCTGGGATTGATTTTGGGGGTAATTGCCTCAAAATTTTAGGAATTAGGGGCCAAAAAAGGGGCAAAAAACAAGCATTTTTCTAGTTTCATGACAATAACTTGTGCGTAAGTGTATGGATCTTTCTGAAATTGTACTACAAGGTTCCATATCACAAAAGGAAAGCTGGAATTGAGTTTGGGGGTAATTCCCTAAAACGTTTAGGAATAAGGGGCCAAAAATAAGCATTTTTCTAGTGTCCAGAGAATAACTTGTGTTCAAGTGTATGGATCTCTCTGAAATTGAGTATACTGCAAGGTACCATACCACAAATGGAAGGCTGGGATTGATTTTGGGGGTAATTGCCTCAAAATTTTAGGAATAAGGGGCCAAAAAGGGGCAAAAAACAAGCATTTTTCTAGTTTCAGGACAATAACTTGTGTGTAAGTGTATGGATCTTTCTGAAATTGTACTACAAGGTTCCATATCACAAAGGTAAAGCTTGGTTTGAGTTTGGGGGGTAATTGCCCTAAATGTTTAGGAATTTGGGGCCAAAAAAACAAGCATTTTTCTAGTTTCCAGACAATAACTTGTGTTCAAGTGTATGGATCTCTCTGAAATTGTACTGCAAGGTACCATACCACAAAGGGAAGGCTGGGATTGAGTTTGGGGGTGATGAATCATAAGGAGGTTCAAAAAATTGGGGGGGGGGATTTTTTTTCCCTTTTTTTTCTTCAAAATTTTTCATTTAAAATTGGTTATTTCTGATTTATATATAAAAGCAAATAATAATGATATGGTTTGAATAGGTAAATCAAAATTTTTTAAGTTCTTAGACCGCATTCATTCTGTGTCAGAAACCTATGCTGTGTCAAAAATTTAATCACAATCCAAATTCAGTGCTGTATCAAGCTTGAATGTTGTGTCCATACTTGCCCCAACTGTTCAGGGTTAGACCTCTGCATTTGTATCAAGCTGTGCCCAGCAGAGCATTTTATTTTGTATTAAAAAGATTATTTGAAATGTATTAAATATCAATCAAGTGATAGTGTGATGCAGATTTATTGTACAGAATGTACGGAAAAGTTTGTCAACAGTCAAATTTGCTTTTTAAAGATTCTGTCAACATCACCTTTATACTGACATATGTAAAGTTATTTTCAGTGTAGAAATTCTTTTACATAGTGCTGTAAATAACAAAATTTGTGTATTTTATGTTTTGAATCTATTAGATAAGGCTTATTTTGCTTGGTGTGTAACATAATGACCTTTAAATGAAATATTGTAAATTTCCTTTTCTTTTTTTCACATAATATCCTGCATTTATTTCATATTATGAAGCTTGTTGCCATTAGTGAAAACTTCTTGAATAATTTCACTATCAATTTAAACAGCTTCCACGAATTCTCATATTTCATGAAAATTAAGAAAATTGCTTTCATTTCATCACCTTCATTTAAACAGTGACATAGGTCAGAGATATTTAGATATTCAGTCCAAATTTTAAATAACAGAAATACTGATATTTCAAAAGCATCATAATAATTATGGGTAATGTAGTAAGGAAAAAAAATATTCAATAAAATCATTCCAAATCACAATTAAAATGTCTGTGCAAATAGAAATTAAAGATTTATAGTGGTATTTTAGATATTTAAACAAGTACAACCCTACTTACAAACTAACATAATGTTTATTTTTTCTGTTTACAGAAGCAGGTTAACAGTTACCAGATGTCGGTTAATACTTTACAAGAACAGAATAAAGCATTAGAGGTAGGCATTTAATAGATAAAAGTCACGCAGAAAAACTTAAGTCATGCATTAGAGCATACATGTTCCATTATTTGGCTTAAAGAAGTTGAAGGGACCTTTGGAGTTGTACTCTCTTCTTCCATGACAATATTCATATATGTAAGCACATCAAGAGCCCTGTCATAGCCACAGAAATACAAATAAGCATATAAATTTTTGAAGGATATGTGCTTTGAAGAGAAGATATGTTTCATTTCATTAGTAGCTATAGGCTTGCGAGACATATATTTTATAGCTGAAATACTTAAATTGATTGTTGAAAAGTTTGTTTTTAGACGCTGTAGGTTATAGGACCATCAGAGCCTGCATTTAATTAGATATAGGAAGATGTGGTATGAGTGCCAATGAGACAACTCTCCATCCAAGTTACAATTTATAAAAGTAAACCATTATAGGTCAAGGTACGGTCTTCAACACGGAGCATTGGCTCACACCGAACAGCAAGCTATAAAGGGCCCCAAAAAATTACTAGTGTAAAACCATTCAAACTGAAAAATTAGTTCTTTTAAACAGGTCAGCATTGTATCTATTTGCAATAAAGTCAATTTGACTTATATTTTTGGGGTCGTATATTGGTATGACGTTGGCGTTGTCGTCCGAAGACACATTGGTTTTCGGACTCTAACTTTAGTTTAATTGAATGGATCTTTCTGAAATTTTACAATAAGGTTCAATACCACAAAAGGAAGGTTGGGAATGATTTTGTGGGTTATGGTACCAACAGTTAAGGAATTAGGGGCCAAAAAGGGGCCAAAAATAAGCATTTTTGTAACTTCCAGCCATAACTTGTGTGTTAGTGTATGGATCTCTCTGACATTGTACCACAAGGTTCCATATCACAAAGGGAATGCTGGGATTGATTTTGGGGCTAATTGCCTCAAAATATTAGGAATTAGGGGCCAAATAAGGGGCAAAAAACAAGCATTTTTTTAGTTTCATGACAATAACTTGTGTGTAAGTGTATGGATCTTTCTGAAATTGTACTACAAGGTTCCATATCACAAAGGGAAAGCTGGAATTGAGTTTGGTGGTAATTGCCCAAAATGTTTAGGAATAAGGGGCCAAAAAGGGGCTCAAAATTAGGCATTTTTCTAGTTTCCAGACAATAACCTGTGTTCAAGTGTATGGATCTCTCTCTGAAATTGTACTGCAAGGTACCGTACCACAAAGGGAAGGATGGGATTGATTTTGGGGGTAATTGCTTCAAAATTTTAGGAATTAAGGGCAAAGAAAGGGGCAAAAAACAAGCATTTTTCTAGTTTCAGGACAATAACTTGTGTTTAAGTGTATGGATCTTTATGAAATTGTACTACAAGGTTCCATATCACAAAAGGAAAGCTGGGTTTGAGTTTGGGGGTAATTGCCTTAAATGTTTAGGAATTTGGGGCCAAAAAACAAGCATGTTTCTAGTTTCCAGACAATAACTTGTGTTCAAGTGTATGGATCTCTCTGAAATTGTACTGCAGGTACCATACCACAAAGGGAAGGCTGGGATTGAGTTTGGGGGTGATGAATCATAAGGGGGTTCAAAAAAATTGGGGGGGGGGATTTTTTTTTCTTTAAAATTTTCCATTTTAAATTGATTTATTTCTGATTTATATATAAAAGCAAATAATAATGATATGGTTTGAATAGGTAAATTAAAATTTTTTTTATGTCTTAGACCACATTCATTCTGTGACAGAAACATGTGCTGTGTCAAATATTTAATCACAATCCAAATTCAGTGCTGTATCGAGCTTGAATGTTGTGTCCATACTTGCCCCAACTGTTCAGGGTTCGACCTCTGCGGTCGTATCAAGCTGCGCCAAGTGGAGCATTTTATTTTGAAAATTAATTTGTGTCACTTCTAGTTTCTTATTAGTAGGGATACCGCTGACTCTTTCAGATCCTCTGTTTAACACCATCTCAGTTTTAAGACCTGTTCATTTTGTCCAAGTATTACCTTGTAATACCAAATAATAACTGGGGTTTCCCAGTATTTCCTACTGGGCTGGGCAATACTTATAAAACCCAGCTTTTTGCAAACCCTGAAACCAATACATGAAATAAATACTTCTACACCTAAAATGTATCACATAGTTTATGATTCTTCATACATATATAATTTTTTTCAAAACTCTGAATAAAACAATTTTTCTAGGACTTGAACACACATGGTAATAAGGTACATGTATAATTATTTCCTCTTGAACAATTTCCTGGATGATCAATCATAAAACCATTTGCTTTTGTTTTTTTTTTTTAAATGTGGAAAGATATAACTAGCCTCAAGGTTTTTTTTCTTCTTATTTACTCTTGCATGTGACTATAAACATTTGATATCTGTATACCTGGTACGTATTAAATGCCAATATATATATATATATATTTATATCAGTTTTTGCATACATTATAGTAGGAGAAAACAATATGTTTATTTATTAGTTGATGCTCCATGATAGTATTTGGGTTAGAAACAAGTTTCGATATATTTTTTAAACAACCGCAAAAAATTTTGCAATATATTGGTATCACGTCGTAGTCGTTGTTGTCAGCGTCGTCCGAAGACATTTGGTTTTCGGACAATAACTTTAGTAAATGTAAATAGAAATCTATGAAATTTAAACACAAGGTTTATAACCACAAAAGGAAGGTTGAGATTGATTTTGAGGGTTATAGTCCTAACAGTTTAGGAATTAGGGGCCAAAATGAGCATTTTTCTAGTTTCCAGACAATAACTTGTGGAACGGTGTATGGATCTCTCTGAAATTATACCACAAGTTTCCATACCACAAAGGGGTGGTTAGGGATTGGCTTTGGGGGGTTATGGCTCAAACTGTTTAGGATTAGGGGCAAAAAAGGGGGAAAAACAAGGGTTTCGTGGTTAATGGACAATTAAAAAAAAAGTACAATGTTATGTTTGGATTACCTCCCTTACGCTGCTTTTAAATTATGTTTAAAGAAATGTATTGTCTTGAGGTGATTAGCTGTCAATTTATTTTTAGAAGTTACTATTTAAAAATGCTGATTAGGGAATATTAATTTTAGCCATGATTATGTATGTCATTTTGTATTTAAGACTTTTATAATGTATTTAAATGGGTAATTATGGTTGCAAACTCCATTGGAAATTTGAATTGAGATTATGATCATATCTTGAGGGAAAGAATTTTTTTTGGGGAAAAAGGGGTAGGGGTGGGGGGGGGGGGGGGGGGGGGGAGGTTAAAAAAGAAATTGGGGGGGGGGGGAGGGGTAAAAAGAAATTGTGAGAGGGGGACAATTTTTTCTCATTTCAGATTTCAGAAATTTAAAAGAAAATTTCTTCAAATATTTTTTTTTTGATGGGGGTGTCAATTCGCAACAGCATAGTGTATTGCACAAAAGCAAAAAATTGAATATAAATTCAAATCATATAACCAATTCTAAGTTCTTTGACTACAGATATTCTGTGTCAGAAACCTATTATGTGTCAAATTTTTAATTACAATCCAAATTCAGACCTGTATCAAGTGCGAATATTGTGTCCATTTTTGCCCCAACTGTTCAGGGTTGGACCTCTGCGGTCGTATCCAGCTGTGCTCGACGAAGCAATTTATTTATTATTGATTTTAGAAATTCTTATCTGACCAATACTTACTTCTTATATAAAATCTGAAGTTATTTTTCTCTTATTTAATGATCCTTTTATAGGAAAAGAGGAGGTAAAATGCTTTTACGCTAGTTCACATTTCCCAACTTACCATAAAAATTCTATTGTGAATTGTAGCTGAATTATAACTATATCAGCATGATCAGTATGGAAAATCATGATAATGAGTACTTTTAATTCCTAATTTGAAATAATTAATATTTGTTTCAAAAAAATTATTAAAGCTGAATTCTTGATTAACACTTTAGTTAATGTGAATATTTTATGCAGTGAAGTTTGTAGTCAAAGACAGTTACAATTTATTTATCAAATAAAGCAAAGACATGTTAGACCCTTGAAATCACCACTTTATAAAAAAAACCTACATATGACAGCAATGATGTACATATGACAGCAATGAAGATTAGTATTGTAGTTTCACTTGATTAGGAGTGACATTAAAAAGCTGTACATATTAGGGAAATTCTATTTGAGAAAAGTAAATAGTGATTTTTTTTAAGTATTATAATTATCATCATGCATGTATACAGATGTAATACACTTGTAAGAATTACGTTTTCTTAATAGAATATGCCCTAGCTATATAGCTATTTAAGCCATTCCATGCCAGGTGAAATTTGTGAAGTAAAATTGAGAATGGACACGGGGAATGCGTCAAACAGCCCAAGGCCACCAATGGCCACAGTGAGAAAATTCTGCACCCAGAGGCGGGCTTCAGCTGGCCCCTAAATAACAATGTATACTCAGCTAAAATGAACACTAACCTCCGAAACATACAAATGAACCAAAATTTAAAAAAACATACAAGACTTACAGAGGCCAGAGGTTCCCAACTTGGGACAGGCGCTAAAATGCAGCGGGGTTAAACATGTTTTGTGAGATCTCAACCCTTCCCCTATACCTCTAGCCAATGTGGAATAAACAAACACACAGCAATACGCACAGTAAAATTCTATTTAAAAGAAGTCCTAGTCCAATGTTAGAATAGGTAACAGAAGAAACTAAGCAAAATGACAATAATCAACATAAATTAACAAAGGAATACCAGCAGTTACTGACATGCCAGCTCCAGACCTAAATTTAACGATTGAAAGATTATGTCTTCATCATATGAAAATCAAGCACAATCCCTCCCATTAGGGGTAGAGTATCATACCATCATAAAATATAAGATATAAGAACATAATCCGTATCATGCCAACATCTGGTTTTAGAATAAATGTGTTTACTTTTTTATCATGGTAATAGTAGAATACAAAATACTCTATTTTAGACACAGTTCGGATTATTGAAGCAAAGTTTTGAACAACAGAAGTTACAACAGCAGCAAAACTTACAACAACAGAATTTACAGCAACAAAACCTACAACAACAGAATTTACAACAACAAAACCTACACCAACAACAGAATCAACAACATCCTGTTGTTGATGGAAACCCTGTCAGCAACCTTAAAAATATAGCCAATCAAGCCATAGGAAATCTTCCAAATGCAGCCAATCAACTTGCAGGAAATATCAAAGAGGCAGCCAATAGCTTAGGTGGAGGACAGGTTGGAGACTTTATGAAAAATTTAGGAGAACAAGCACAAAAACTGATGGAAAAACACGAGGTTTTCTGATTTATTTTTTTTTTATGTTGATTCAAGCAACAAAGTAACAATTAATGTAATAGTATAAAACAAGAATATGCAACACAGTAGTAATTATATGATTTTAATTCTGCAACAAAATTTAATTGTTTTGAGTTATATTAGAACATTTTAAACATTTTTGTTTTGGAAATATGTTCATGTGCCATAATATTATTTAATCAAGTATTATATTTTATAACCATCTCTCATAATTATTAATTGTGTGAAGAACAGAATGTATTAATGTTTTGAAATACAAGAAATCATTGATTGTGAGGTAAAATGGTTAAAAATTCACATAGAAATTGTTCTGTTGTAAGAAATTCATGCTAGCATTCTTTAATATGGTATAATACTGTGTATTATTCCACTGTATGTAACTATTAATAGTTTAACATATTTTGTTGTCCTAAATCATGACACTTAGATTGAGTACAAACAGTCCATTTCTAGGAAAACCATGAAAACTTTACTGGTATGGATTTTGCTTGAGAAGTATAAATTATTCCAAAGGAATTAATTCACATTTACAAAGTCCATTCTTAATGCTCACTTGGATTGGTTAAGAACTTTTAAAAAGTTCTTCAAGTTCTTCTCTGACATCTAGCCTGAGACGTTACAATACAGCCTTCTGTTTTGGACAAGTGGCTATTCAATTGCTAGGAGAATAAATAAGATGTGAATGACTGGAACAGAAACAATGAAAATCTTACATGAAAACCAAGTTTCTTAGATGAACAAAAATTAGATTTATGGTTTTACACAATATCCTTATTCAAGCAAGAATTTTTTCACATGATGTTCTTTTTTGTAATTACAGAATGTAGAAGAGATGGAACAGAACAAATTACAGCAACAGAAAGATAAAGAAAGTAAGATTCTACATTTGATTCTTATTTGTAAAAGGTCTGATCTTCTTGTCAAGACCAATTTGTCTCTTTCAAGCCTTTAACATGGTCAAATTCTGCATAAAATTTGTACCCCTGGTCTTAAAACAGAGGGATATAATGCTCCTTTGTCCATAACTCATTTCTGTCCTATTCATCTTGGCAACTTGAAGTTTAGTATCTTGATAAATGGGAACAAGTGTTATAACTGATGATCCTATACTGTGTAACTTGCATTACCTTTGATGTTCTACTTCCTGTTTGCCTGAAAACATTTATTCTTAAAATTTCATACTGAAATATTAAATTTTAGTCAACATTTTTCTCAGCAGCTGAAATTTATAGCTACTTAATATATGTTAACATGAATTCTAACTGGTATGTTCCTTAAATTTCATTATTGAGTCTGGGATTGTTTTAACTCTTAATACTTAATCACAATTGAAAAATGAATTATAAAAAAATGTTTTTATTTCTTGATCTGCTTCAATGAAGGATTGAATTGTTAAACCTGGGGATATATTGAGAAATTTTTTTTGAATCAATAGTTTTAGAGAGAGACCTACAAATTTCAGTACACCTCTAACTCTATTCTCTTTAGAAAAATCTTTTTATATATCTAAACGAATTGTTTTTATTTTGTAAGCAATTACAGAAAATTGTACAAAGTATACAACATTTTCATTCTGTCGATAGATTTATTAAAATTCACATTGGATAGAATTTTCAGAAAAATGTATTTGCTTTTATCAAAATGAAAAATAAAGCCAAAATTTGTATAATAATGATAGGAAAATTTCCTTTGATATTGAAGGGTACAAACAAACAAAAGTTACAAACAGAATAAGAAAAAATAAAGCCCTCAAATCAACAAGAAAAAGAAATTTCAGATATTAATGATAAACCAACACTGATTACTATTACGAAATATTGACAAAAATATTTTGTAGAAGACCAAGAAGCTAAAAATAAACTGATAGAAGAACAGCAACAACAACACCAGGTGGCGCCACCAAATAAACATGAAAATGATGATGATAAGGTAAGGAATTATGAATGGTTGTTTTTCTGTTTTATAAAACTGTAAATTCAGAAATTATTGCATGCATTTATTATTAGGATTTTAAAAGAATGGACCAAAATGCCAAATTAATTATTGTGAATAATGGAAAATCTGGATACAGTTATATGTATCAGATATCAGAATATGAGTTCTTATTATTGCGATACTTACCCAGTCCAATTATTCACATTCATAAAAACCTTGTAATAATTTCTGAATTTACAGTATTTGGACTTGTGACTAGGTTAGATATATGTTTCTGTTATAAATGTAGATTAACATATTTCTTCTTAGAGACAGAAAATGGAGTTTGTTAGTTGAAAAAAAATTGAAGTCTTCACAAAAATGAATCATTGAAAAAAGTAAAACAGTGCAAAATTGCATTAATATTTTCAATGATTTTAATCAGCAAAATAAAAAAAAGAGATAAAAAATAATTTGACCAAAATCTGTAAAATGTACTATAAACCCTGTCTCAATTAATAACATAACAGTCTTTGCTTTCTACTAACTTTACAAATATCCAAATATAGACTACCTTTATAGAATAGACATGTCTAACACTACAGATGCATACATGTGATTAAAATCAGATTACAAAATATTTAGCAAATGAATTTGTTTTTGCATGGCTTTTAATGTTATATATGGCTATTCTTTTAAATTTATCCGTGATGGAAGCATATGACTTTTGATAAAGGATGAAACCTGTATTTAAAAAAAAAGAATTATTTAAATTGGTTGGAAATAAGAATTATTTGAACTATCTTGCATAAATCTTAAGTGGAATAGCTGTCACATGACATTGTTTTGTACTGCATGTAAACACGGAATTTTAGTTGAGAATTAAAAATACTTCACATACGAGCTTGCTATCTGCCTCCCTCACAAAATCTGTAATAGTAGTTCTTTGAACTATAAGAGAGCCACAAGATACAAAAAAAGTCCAGAGAATTTCAAAATTAACACTTCATGTAATTATTCCATGCTTACATGTATAGTAGCATGTTTTTAGTTGTGTATGCATGTAAATGTGTGTATTACCCAAATGTCTATACATATTTTGTATCACAAATCTGCAGCTGGATCACAAACTCCAACTTCAACCTGGAAAAACGAGTAAAGAAACACCAAAACCAGTTTCCCACGGACCTAATATCAAACCACCAAATTTTAAAAGAGATGGAGAAAAATCTGAAGAAAAACCTGATGTACCGAAAGTGAATGACCGAATGAGTGACAAGGATTCAGTAAATCATAATCAAATGCCTCCACCAGGGGGCCTTCTTGATATTTTAAAGAAGGATAAAATAAGTGGCAAAAACAGTGAAAAATTGGCATCAAACACTTACAATAAAGGAGAATTACATCCAAACGAACTTAATCAACAACAAAATATTCCTCCACCAAATGTTGGTGATGGTGTTCATGAAAAACGACCAGTAGTTGATGGTAATGTACAAGAGCTAAATATACCTCCACCAGATAAAATGATTGTACCTAATAAAAAAGTGGTAGATGTTCCGAAACTTTTTGACGATTCAAAGGAAGACTTTAAAAAACAGCCAGCATTGCCTCAGATGTAACAATTCTATAATCACAGCTACTTGAAATAGATATGTGTCTTTCAGATATTCTGAAGTTCAAAAAAAATTTCATGGTTATAGGTCCTGAGCTTCCTGGTTTCACAACTTTGAGGTGCTCTCATGTTCTGGAGAAACATTTCTTTAAATAATATTTGTTAAGAAGTTCAAAGTATATTTTTTTATATTTATTACTTTATAGATACATGAGATAACTGTATTAATTTCTTTTTCCCAACACCATATTATTTGAGACTATTCTTCATTTACGAAATCATCCTTTATTTTACACATTTATGAAATCCAGTATGTTTTGCAGTATAGTAAGAGTTCCATGTAAGCTTTTCATCCCTTCCTATAGAAGATGAGTTTCCAATTTTAGTAAGAGTTTCTTGTAAGCTTTTCATCCATTCCTCCATTACAAATCATTGACATTTTTATCACTTTTCATTGTTCCAAATGGAGACAAATATGTAAGACTTAGACTTTGTGAAGGCCTTATCAAAATTTAAATTTTTTGTACCAAGCCAAGGGGATGACCATTATAAAACCTTTTTGAATTGTTTGAATGGGTTATGGGATATATTGTGACTATAAACTTTTTCTAATAAGAATCTTATTTACATATTCTTATAAAAGTCCTAATAAAAATGAGCTTCTTTACTTACACTTCACTTGAAATACAATATGGAGGTTTGTTTAATAGATATAGTACCAAACTAAGGATATAGTGTAGTTGTACATTAGATAGAACCCATATTACATCTATCACCAAACAGTCAATCAGAGGGGGGTAGGAGGGGGTGTCATTCCGAATTGTGAGGTTCAATTCCCGAAAAAAATAAAGCATACTTTCCAGGATCCTGAAAAATAAATTTTCAATTCCAGAGTCCAGATAGGTTTAAGTCCAGAATTTCTACAAAAATAAAGGTCCAATCCTGAAGTCCTAAAAAGGGCCTTTCGCCCCTCTCATCACATTTCACATAAATTCATATCAAATTAAGTACCAGATAAATGATTTTGTCTTGCCTTTGATGAAAATTACATAAGTAAGACTTATGCAGCTTTTTATGACATCTGTGTCATCAGCTGCTTAAGTTTGTGATAAGGTCACACAGGTTAAATATAGCTCTGATTGATTAATTGATTGTTGGTGTTTAACTCCACTTTCATTATCACTTGGTTATATCATAGGGGTCAGGTTAAATTGGTGGAGGAAGGCAGAGTACCTTAACTGAACCACTGGCCTTCTGTCAATTAACAACGGAGTCATACAGCTGCCATAAGCAGGTTTCAAACTCACAGCCTCAGAGTTGACAGCCATGTGATCACTATAAATGAACTACATAGATCACGATGCCACAAAGGACCCAAGTATTTCTCAGTGTTCACAGTTTATTAATATGTATAATCGAACCCTGCATGTGACAGTTGCATTAGACTCCTGACTTAACTGACTAGGCCTGCCAAACGTTGGTTTTCTTCAGGCTCTCTGGCTTCTTCCACCAATAAAACCTGAAAACCACGATATAGCCAGTAGTGCTATAAGTGGCGTTAAAACAACAGTAATTAATCATGGCTGTGTTAATGTAAAAGAAGAATGTTTGTCACTGAAAATGTGCATCAATTTCGAATATGCTCTGTATGGCATTTCATTAATAGATCATGGAAAGCTTTTGCTGATGATGTAGATGATTTATTAACATTGTGATCGTATAGTGCTTCATTATATTGTGATATTATTTTATTTATCATGTATAAGTTCACACCATACAACCAACCCCTATCATCTTGTTTGAAACCTGATGGATACAATTATGTACCGCTGTTGTCATTTAGCACAAGGAAGGAATTTTTGTATATTTCTTTTTATATCTTCACTTCTTGAAAGTAATAAGCTATTAATTGTTTCAGTTTAATGAATACTATCGAAATAGCTCACCACAATTTTGAGAAAATAGAAAGAAATTCTGACTTCCTGACACACTCTTCAAGTATACAGAAGTGTGTGATCGTATTTATCAGGTTTTGAAAATATGTTACCAGTCCATTGTACGGTGTGAACTTTGTTTATATTGTACATTCAACACAGTATATTATGTAAAAATGTCAGTAAGGATTTAAAGGGGATGTCTTCTTCATTGGTGAAGGTCATAATTACGCTATTGATAATGGCATCATAGTTTATGTTTTCAATGTTGTACATTGTATTTAGCTTGATATATTATGATCTCTATAGCATTTTTTATAACCATTCTATGTGTAATTGCTTGTGTCTGTGTCTTTAACCATGCAGTCAAGGAATGCATTTTTTTTTTCTTTTTGTTTGATTGATTTGTCTTGTAAACTGTACTTAAATTTTAGGCGCTTAATGGCAAATCTTACCTTTAATATAGAAAAGTGAGGTTTCAAATTTAGCCCTTTCAATCTAAAGACATAGACATATTAGGTATGATAAATTTTGTACAAGCATACAATTTCCGTTGTCCATTTTGGATCTAGCCTTCAACATTTTTTACAAGTAGGTAATTTTAACAGTGGCTAAATCTTTTTAAGATATGCTATGTTTATCTTGAAATCAAAGTCAAACAAATTCATTCTCAAAGCACACAGGAGTGTGTTTCATTTTTTTATTCAAGTTCAGTTGGCCACAGATATGTTCCACTTATTGTAGCCACAATCCTGTCCTCTTTTTCTTGTTTGTGACATAGGGGCTATAGAAGAGCAGGATCTGCTTACCCTAGAGAAGTCTGAGTCCACCAACAGTTAGTTGGATTTTTCTTGCTCAAACTTTAGTTTTCTGTATAGTGTTTTATGGTCTTGTGATTGTCTTATTTTTGTAGTATCTGTCATATATATCCATTATTTTTTGGGGATTTGTTAATCTTATATATTTTAGTGCAAATTTCATGCCCTACATAACTTATGATGCCGTTTTAAGGTTTTGGAGATGCATCCACTTTCTCGACCATTTTTAGCTCACCTTCCCCAAAGGGTCATGTGAGCGTATTGCCATCACATGGATACTTAATCGTTGATGCCAGATCTAAAAAAAAATTCCGGGAGAGCAAATCAGGCTCTTTTATAGGAGAATTTTGTTTTAACAGGATAATGATGTAAACTTATCTGTTTTTGTCTGTATGTAATTTATATAAATATTAAGTGGGACAGTACATTTAGATGTATGCTGGTGCTAATTAGTATGATATATGTAGTATCAATAGTATATGTAGAAATAACTAACGTGAAAATATAACCATAAAAAACTTACTATAACAATAAATAAAACCCTTCTCACAGTCTTAAATCATTTTATTAATGCTTTATTATTCCCCAAATGTTTGAGGGGAACTTTTATAAAATATCTTATGTCTTTATACATTGTTCAGATTACTGAACTAAAATAGCTATAGTCAAATGTTCAAGTACAATTGCCTCTGAAGACTATGTTGGAAATTCCATCAACCAAAAATCATTAAAGACCTATTTTCACAATGAAGAACCATATAACTTTTTCCACAATTTTTTAAAAATTCTATAGATATGCAAATATCATAACCATTTTTAGTTTGAATTAGGTACCTGCAGCCCTTTTTAAGTGACAGACTTCAGCTTATAATAATGTCAAAGATAATTAGAATAATGAACTGCTTGAAAATTTTCACCTGAGTCACATGACACTAGCGTAGCATACTGTTCTTAAAATACAACTTATAAAGACGTACGGTCAATAAAATGAATCATTTGCTGGTATATCCAATAAAATGACCACCAGTATTTTGGCTGGTATATATATCACTTAAAACTTTGGTCCTTAAATGAATTTAGTGCCTTGTGCTTAAGTTGGCTGTAGATTTTATGAAATCTTTTAGTACAATAGTTCCATGTTTCTATGGTAACAGTTTTATCAGTATAATGGAGATGTATACTTAAAATGTGTTTTTGAGATGTTATTGTATGAAGAATGTTATTTAATTGTATAATGTGTGTTATGTTTTGTGTATACTTGCGTAATGATAGTGCATGTATTGAAACAAGTTTTCAACTAAAAATAAAAATAACAATTGACGGTTTCTTATTTACTTATATTTATAGAATGTCTCTATCTGTCAATGTTTGATAATATGTTCTGATTCAAATTGTCCTTGAAGAAATCAAAGTTGATTTTGGTGCATTTTTTTTAAGAGATTTTACAGCCTTGTTTTTTCTAATTAAGAACATTGACATTGCGTGGTAATAATTAAATCACAAAATTATACTGAAATTGTCATGAAACCTGGCAGAGTTATGAAGATAAATGACAACTGGTAGATGATCAGATCCAATATTTTTCAAGTCATACTGTTTGGTTGTTTTCTGACACAGTTGGTGTAGTTTAACTGATTAATAAAACTGAAATATCTGACCCCAGTAAGTAACTGACAATCATTTTTTATATACTGGTACATTGAGTTATGTATTTAAGGAATCAATTTTATACTGTTGTGTGCTGGTTGTAGGCAATAGTTCTCACACACAAATTTCATACTAAAAGGAGAACACATAGGAGAATCTCTATTCAAATATGACTGTTGGCACAGAAATTGAGCGTAGATTGATGTCTAAGGATTATTATCATAAACATCTATAGTAAACTCAGTGGTCTTGCATCGGCATCTGCACTTTGAGATTGATAGTTTCTGGGTTTGATCATCCAGACTTTAAAATTGGTGTTTGATGCTTAAATTTCATTCATGTCACATTTAGGACTTAGGACAAAGACAAACTGGCTCAGAGTCAGAATAATGTGTTATGGTATGTTCAGATGATTTCATAGACTGTCAAACTGTCACCTTGTAAACTAGCATGTTAGAAATCTTAACTCAGTATGTCAATCTAATACAGTACAGTATGTTCTATTTTATGACATGAACATGTTATCATTTAATCTGCATGAAATATTTGCCGCATGGTGCTAAGAATTTATCATTTAATTATTAGCATTATAATCTGTTGTCTGGTGATTGCCTCATCGATTTTTACCTAACTTTTATCATTGTTTATTGATATGGTTCTTTATTTTTGTGCTCATGATAAAAAAACACAATATACATATCAATTTTAATAATACATAGAGAATGACAAACATAATATTAATAATAAGTTTTACCCTTGTCCGTCTGTACGTCTGTCTGTACATCTGTATGTCTAGAAATTGGATTCCGCTCTTTAACTTTAGTTTGCCTCAACCAAACATTATGAAACTTATGCATAATGCGGATTACCACAAAACACAGATCAAGTGTGAACTTTGGTGGCGTCACTTCTACCGTTCTAGAAATGTGCCCCTTTTCAAATTGAAAAATGCTGAATTTTTCGTTTCTGTTCTCTAACTTAAGTTTGCCTCAACCAAATGATATGAAACTTATACACAATGCTTATTACAACAAAACTCAGATCAAGTTCAAATTTGGGTAGCATCACCTTTACTGTTCTTTAGTTATGTCCGTTTAAGGCTTTATAACGTTAAAAGCAAGCGGCGCCATCATCTGTGTCCCATGGACACATTCCCTTTTTTTATTTTTTTTGATGAAGCAAACTCCTTTAAAAACTAAGCTTATATTGTCTGTTTATAAACATTTATTTAGATTTTTGATTTTGGGCCCAGTTTTCAAGTTGATCCAAATCAGGGTCCAAAATTAAACTTTGATTTCAACAAACATTGAATTTATGGGGTTCTCTGAAATACTGAATCTAACCATGTAATGTATATAGATTTTGGATTTTGGGCTCCGTTATCAAATTGGTGCACCTTGAGGTCCAAAGGGTCCTAAATTTCATCAAAAATTGAATTCTTGGAGTTCTTTGATATGCTGATTCTAACCATGTACTTATTTTTTGGATATTGGACCATAATAGGTAAATGTCCAATTTCAAATTTTTCAGTTCTTTAACCACATTCAGTTTGTGTCACAAACCTATGCTGTGTCAAATATTCAATCACAATCCAAATTCAGAGCTGTTTTAAGCTTAATTGTTGTGTCCATACTTGCCCCAATCAGGGTTCGACCTCTGCAGTTGTATCAAGCTGCAACCAGCGGAGCATTTTATTTGTGGATAAAATTTAAATTGAACTGACCAGTGGCAAGATGCATGATAAACATGATAAAGGTTGTGGTTATTTTTCTTTTACTTTTGTAACCATAAGGTAAAATGGTTACTTTTTCTTTCCTGGCTAGTATTGATTAATTACCCTGGTTGTGACGGCTACATTCTTTAGTGTATATTATCACATCCTACATCACCTTTCTAATTCACTATTTCTTTTTTTATTTGAATTTTGTAATTATCAGGTTTTTGGATGTTTATTTTACAGACAATAATTAAACCAAATTTGCATTTATTTATTTTTTAGTTGATTTTTTTTCTGTAAATTATTCATTGAATGAAATGTTTCATTTGTATGATTTTAATAACTTGACTTGAACCATAAGCTTTGTGCTGATGCAACTCTTGTCAACAATTAGTTACTGTGCTGTCATGCTGCTTGCATTCTTTCAAAATGATTATTTAATTTATATTTGGTTCCTTGATATCAAATTATTTGCCTTGACTAAATGCTTACATAAATATCAAATAGCTAAAAGAATGTTGCTCCTGATAAAAAATGGTATCTCTATGTCTATGTAAAAAAATCTTAAAAACAAAATTGTTCAGAAATTATTCTGATATTTTCATGACTAACAATTCCTTTTTCTATTAAGATTTTTTTGTGTAAACAGTGCTTAGTAATTGATAAAAGTAGTAAATTATTTATCATTTTATGTAATAAACACCAAATATTATCCAGGATTAAGTAACTATCGTAACAGTGTTATTTTTTTTTGGATTTGCATAAATTATTTGGTTCAATACTTCAAAAAACTTACAAATAAAAGCTATACATTGGGCATAATTAAAGGTACATAGTTTGGTAAATGTATGTGAAAAAACAATGTGTGCATCTACTTTCCAAGAAGAAACCTTCAACACATCCTTATGTTATTCATTTCACTAGTTGTTAATGGTCTTCAGATGTATTGCACTCAATGTATATGAGCCCTGCTTTCAAGTACCTGCATATTCAACCTGGTAATTCTTGCATAGACATTTATTTTTAGCTAGTTCATAAAGCTGGTGTTTTGTGATTCTTTTGGTGTACTTTTTGATGTATTTTTTGCTCTTTTTCTGATACAAGTTTTTATTTTTAAATTATACACAGTGCATGTCATCTTTTTTTTTTAAGGAAGGGCATTTTCAGATAAGAGGAGCAATTGATGTGGTGAATAATTTCAAAAACATTATTCCATATAAAAGATGACGACAACAAATCAGAAATAGTGTGATTCTGTACACCACGGAATATCTTCTCACATTTGCAAAGCATATAAAGTATTTGACAAGGAAATCATGCTTTAACAGCAGCCATGATACATCTACATAGATTTCATAATACAATGTTTTGAAAAATCTGATATTTTGTAATACCCATATGCATATTAATTGTGTGCAAAGAATCTAAAAGAAAAGAAAAAGGGTAGTTATGTTTCATCCTTCCTGTTCATTAGTGAATTGTTTTTTGTCTGAATAAAGACAAGACGTAAGAATTTAACTACAAAAGGAAAAGTAGTTCCTGTGAAAGTTATCAATACAGATATTTCAAACAAACAAAAAAAAGAAAGTTTTATACCTAGCATACTAAGATAACTGATGTATAAACACTAACTACACTTGTCATGTATATTACTGTCTTAAAAAAGACAATTAGTCTAAAATGACAAAATCGCAATAATAAATGCACGCAATAATTTCTGAATTTACAGTATTTGAAATTCAATCATCATATTTGAAATACTTTTTTATTCATTAATTTCTGCCAAAAAGCAGACTTAAAATTAATAGAATTCATTTCTATTGCAATTCTGAATAGGAAAAAAAGCCTGATGTATTAAAAAATATTTGATTCTCACAAAGAGTACACAAAAAATACTCTTTCAGATTTCAATAAAAGTGTATCTTATTTGTTCAAACAGGCAGCAGAATTTGATAAAGAATTAGAGAAATATAAAAAAGAAAAAGCTAATCAGAGACAAGAAATTAAGAATGACCATGATAATAGAATTCAAAACCAGGGACCAGTTGGCCTTCAGGTGCAGGAACCAGTTATACCAAAGCAAGTTCAATTTAAGGACGACAATAAGAAGTTGGATAATAATCCTAATGTTGATGCTCAGGTTGGTACTTTTATGCACTGCCTACTATAATAGAGGGGTATTACATTTTTGGTCAGGTGTCAATTCCATATCAGGTTAAAGTTTTGGTCACAGACAGTCTTGATTAAAAATAGGTTAAAGTTTAGGGTAGCATAGTTTTGGTCAAATTAGATTTAAAATTTATTACATGCATTCATTATGGAGTGAAATGCTGATTTTAAAAGACATCTGTATAGATGTTGACTTGGGGGTCGATTATGGGGGGCACCACCCTAATGGATCTTCATACATGTCATATATGATAAATGCATAGACTTTTTATGACTATCACTCCAAACGTTGGCTTTCCAGGGCTCAAGAAGGATATAATGTTTTTGACCCATCTTTCAGTCTGTCTGTCATTTTGGAGGTTAACTTGAAAACCCATATTCATTATCATCAACGGGATAGGGGCTTCATATTTTATCAGATCCTCTACAAATTTGTATAAAGGTTTCCACTAATCAAAAGGGCCTCTGTGGCCAGGTGGTCTAAGTAGTCAAACTACTGTATCACTAGCCAGTCAACACTGAGGTTGTGAGTTCAAATCCCGCACGGGGCAGGTGCACTCGACTCAAATCTTAATTGACTAGGATTGTCAGTTTTCCTGCTGAAGGTCGTGGTTCTCTCCGGGCAGTCCGGCTTCCTCCACCAATAAAAACTGACAGCCACGAATTGCACAATAGTGTTGAAAGTGGTGTTAAACACCAATCAATCACTCCACTAATCAAAAACCTCAGATGCCTTTTTCACTACATATAAAATCCTGACATCTTATTTCAGGAAGACCAAAAAGACCTAAATAATGCAGAGGAAGTAAATGATGATGGTCATCAAGTAGAAGGTATGTAGTTGGTACAAAATTTAGAATATTGGTCTGGGTCCAATTTTTATACGACCGCAAAAAAATTTTGTGGTCGTATATTGGTATGACGTTGGCGTCGTCGTCGTCCGAATACATATTGGTTTTCGCACTCTAACTTTAGTTTAAGTGAATGGATCTTTTTGAAATTTGACCATAAGGTTAAATACCACAAAAGGAAGGTTGGGATTGATTTTGGGGGTTATGGTACCAACAGTTAAGGAATTAGGGGCCAAAAAGGGGCCAAAAATGAGCATTTTCTAGTTTCCAGACAATAACTGTGGAACGGTGTATGGATCTCTCTGAAATTATACTACAAGTTTTCATACCACAAAGGGATGGTTAGGATTTGCTTTGGGGGGTTATGGCTCAAACCGTTTAGGAATTAGGGGCAAAAAAGGGGGAAAAACAAGGTTGTCCTGGTTAATGGACAAATACTTTAGTACAAAACATAATTTAAAGCAGTGTAAGGGAGATAAATCAAATACATCATTGAAATTATCTCCCTTACACTGCTTTTAAATTATGTATAAAGTAATGGTTAATGAACAATAAAGATAATCTAAAACAGTGTAAGGGAGGTAATCCAAATACAACGTTTTGGTTACTTCCCTTACACTGCTTTTAAATTATGTTTAAAGAAATGCATATTTATAAAGGAAGACCAGTAAAAATATCTGCAAATGTTTTCATCTTTTTTTTTTACAAAAAAATCCATATGAAAGATTTGACACTATATTTTTATTAATTCTATTATAAAATAGATTAAGTTAGCACTATGGTAAATTTAAATGGGTTATTATGGTTGCCAACTCCATTGGAAATTTGAATTGAGATTATGACCATATCTTGAGGGAAAGAATTTTTTTGGGGAAAAAAGGGGGGGGGGGATAAAAAGAAATTGTGGGGGGTCAATTTTTTCTCATTTCAGATTTCAGAAATTAAAAAGAATTATTCTTCAAATATTATTTTTTTTTCAAATTTCAAATATTGAAAAATTTCAAGAAGTAATCTTTAATTGCACAGTATGGCGCATTAGATTTGTAAAATCTTTGATCACATTTATTTATTTGTTATGCCGAATCTAACAGTGTATTTAGATTTTTAATTTTGGGTCCAGTTTTCAAATTGGTCTACATTAATGTCCAAAGGGTCCAAAATTAAACTTTGTTTGATTTTAGCAAAAATTGAATATATGAGGTTCTTTGATATGCTGAATCTAAAAATGTATTTAGATTTTTGATTTTTGGCCCAGTTTTCAAGTTGGTCCAAATTGGGGTCCAAAATTAAACTTTGTTTGATTTCAACAAAAATTGAATATATGGGGTTCTTTGATATGCTGAATCTAACCATGTATTTAGATTTTTTATTTGTGGACCCCGTTATCTAATTGGTTCATATTGAGGTCAAAAGGGTCCAAAATTAAACTTTGTTTGATTTCATCTAAAATTGAATTATTGGGGTTCTTTGATATTCCAAATCTAACCGTGTATTTAGGTTTTTAATTTTGGGTCCTGTTTTTTAAATTGGTCTACATTGAGGTCCAAAGGGTCCAAAATTAAACTTAGTTTGATTTTGACAAAAATTGAATTCTTGGGGTTCTTTGATTTGCTGAATCTAAACATGTGTTTAGATTTTTGATTATAAGCCCAGTTTTCAAGTTGGTCCAAGATAGGGTCCAGTATTTAAACTTTGTTTGATTTCAACAAAAATTGAATATATGGGGTTCTTTGATATGCTGAATCTTAACATGTATTTAGATTTTTGATTATGGGCCCAGTTTTCAAGTTGGTCCAAATTGGGGTCCAAAATTAAACTTTGTTTGATTTCAACAAAAATTGAATATATGAGGTTCTTTGATATGCTGAATCTAACCATGTATTTAGATTTTTTATTTGTAGGCCCCGCTATCAAATTGGTTCATATTGAGGTCAAAAGGGTCCAAAATTAAACTTTGTTTGATTTCATCGAAAATTGAATTATTGGGGTTCTTTGATATGCCAAATCTAACCGTGTTTTTAGATTTTTAATTTGGGTCCCGTTTTTTAAATTGGTCTTCATTGAGGTCCAAAGGGTCCAAAATTAAACTTAGTTTGATTTTAGCAAAAATTGAATTATTGGGGTTCTTTGATATGCTGAATCTAAACATGTGTTTAGATTTTTGATTATGGGCCCAGTTTTCAAGTTGGTCCAAGTTGGGGTCCAAAATTAAACTTTTTTTGATTTCAACAAAAATTGAATATATGGGGTTCTTTGATATGCTGAATCTAACCATGAATTTAGATTTTTTATTTGTGGGCCCCGCTATCAAATTGGTTCATATTGAGGTCAAAAGGGTCCAAAATTAAACTTTGTTTGATTTCATCAAAAATTGAATTATTGGGGTTCTTTGATATTCCAAATCTAACCGTGTATTTAGATTTTTAATTTTAAGTCCCGTTTTTTAAATTGGTCTACATTAAGGTCCAAAGGGTCCAAAATTAAACTTAGTTTGATTTTAGCAAAAATTGAATTCTTGGGGTTCTTTGATATGCTGAATCTAAACATGTGTTTAGATTTTTGATTATGTGCCCATTTTATAAGTTTGTCCAAGTTGGGGTCCAAAATTAAACTTTGTTTGATTTTAACAAAAATTGAATATATGGGGTTCTTTGATATGCTGAATCTAACCATGTATTTTGATTTTGGACATTGGACCATAATAGGTAAATTAAAAAAATTCAAGTTTTTAGACCACATTCTTTCTGTGTCAGAAACCTATGCTGTGTCAAATATTTAATAACAATCCAAATTCAGAGCTGTATCAAGCTTGAATGTTGTGTCCATACTTGCCCCAACTGTTCAGGGTTCGACCTCTGCGGTCGTATCAAGCTGCGCCCCAGCGAAGCATTTTATTTATATCAGTTTAAGGGGAACTGCTAGTGGTAGTCCAATGATATTTGATATGCAGTAGTATTAGCATTGGTATTTCTCATTTCAATGGAGGTTATTTGGCCCTACACCTTCAACCATGGTGAATTGTCTTTGAATGTTTTGCATGGTTTACATGTTAGTTTCAACATTTTCATAATTGATACTATCAAAAAATACACAAGACACATCACTGTATCAACAATTTTTTACAATATTGCTATTTTACCATTTGTATCCTCTAATTTTCCTCTTTAATTTTTTTTTTCATAGTATAATTCCAAAAAGTTTTGTTTTAATCCTTTTCTAGTTACAGGTAGTCAGGTACACTTAAAATTATTTTTTCCAAGGATTCAGTCAAACTGTACTACCTTGTCTATATCTAGCTCTGAAGCAGATTTGAAGAAGAAAAAGAAATAACCATTTATCAATAAAATTCAATTAAAATATCTTATTCTGTTTATTTATATTATTGCTTCTAATTAAAGAATGTATAAATTTAACAAATTTAAGTAACTTAAGTCAATGAATGCATTAATACATGTATATTGTAAATTCAGAAATTTTTGTGTGCATTATTGCGATTATTCAATAAACGAACAAAACTGTGAGAATAATTATTGCAACATTTAATAGGAAATGCTGCATACAAATACAATGTAATGCTGACAAAATTTAAAACTTGGTAGTGTTAGTATAGTCTTCTACTGCAAAAAGTTTTGTTTAGATCTCTTTAAATACCTGCATCTGTGAAATATAGGTCACCTGCTATATATAAGATGTTATATGTGTTGTAGATGCCAGAGATGTAAAATACTATGACGAAGATGATAATGATGATGCTAAAGGAAATAAAGAAGATAAAAATCATATAAATGATATAAAAAATAATGATTTTGAAAGATGAAAAGTTTTTATATAATCTAGTCTCAGGTGAGTTAGAAGTATGAACTTAAGGTCAGATGTCCAATGTTAATAGGTTTGAGATATAATAAAAAGTAATTTTAGTAGACAAGGCTACAAAAGATGCAGCTTCTCTTTCTGTTGCCTGTAGTTCAGTCATTCTTACATTAGAGAAAATAAAGCTTGATTGTGTTTGTGGGATGTGGAAAGCAAGTTTAAATCAAGGTTGATTTTAAAAACTTTTATAAGAATCTTTAAAACTGAATATATGCTGTCCCTTTTAATAGATTGAACAATTTTTTTAAGTGTGTTGTTTTCATGTCAATGGATTTTTTATTAAAAAACATAAACGCTTATTTATAACATTATTTTTCTGGATCTGAAGTTAATGAAATTGTTTTGTAGTAGATATACTGGCACTGCTATAAGATTGACTAATTGTTCCTTGCTTCTTTTTTTTTTTTTTGGTTTTACATAAATCTTGTGATTATAAAAGCCAAACTTTTAAAAAGTTTTATCGATATTTTAAACTTTTTTCAGGTAATTTTGTTACCAGAATTGACGAAAAAAATACACAAAAGTCAGCTGTGATATCTTCTACAATTCCAGAATAGTTTGTGCCTAAGAGATGTATAATATATTTAGGTGACTCTATCATCATCATATTTATACAATATATTGTGAGGATAATATTATATAATGATACAATATATTGTGAGGATAATATTATATAATGATACAATATATTGTGAGGATTATATTTTATCATGTGGGGTGTTGGTATTAAATTGTGATGGGAAGAACAGAGAATAACATTGTGTATTATTTCTGTGTCAGGGTTCAATCTAGAACAGGTTTTCAGGAATTTCATGATATTCAGAGGTTTTACTTCTTATCATTTATATTCAGTGGAAATGAACTCAAAATAAAATATTACTTTATCTAGAATGTTCATCTTAAAAGATTAATGAATCATCAGCTTTATAATTAATATCATCCTAAAATTGCTTAAGTAACTTTTTGATTGAAGAATTTATTTTGCCTGCAGTACTGACAAATGATTTATGTCATGCACAATGTAAACCACTCTTTTAAAAAAAAGGCCATTAGTGGTGGATTTTGACAAAATTGCACAGTCACTGATCTACTAGATCCTAGATCAATTTTACTATTTTACAATTTTCATGGATCCATTATGCAACATCATATTTATATCAAAACATTTGACAAAACCATGTGGGTGCTTTTGATCATTGATTTAAAAAAAAAATAGATTAGATATCAAGTGTTTAAATGAACTTATTTATATATACGAACCCTTGATTAGTAGTAAAAAATGTGTGTTTTTTAAGTATTTTTTTTGGATCTGAATAATGTTTTCAAACACAGATCTAAGAACAATATGAATAACCTGAAGGAAACAGATTGAAATGATTTCAAAATTTTACTTAAAAGTGCTTAATACTCTTATTTCAAAATATTCAAAGTTAATTTTGCCATTGATTGTTGTATTTCAAGAGAATTATATATTATTAATCATTTTCCTTAATACTTTTTAATTCATTGCCTTGTCATAATGCAATTGATGTTTACCTATTAATATATGAATTTTAAAGGAATTGAGTGAGAATAAACAGGGAATATATACTTCAATATACTATTGCTTTACACAGCAGTGAACAAATGAAGGAAGGGAAATAACTCCAATTATTATTTCAAATTTCAACTTTGTGGAATGACATTCAGGCCAGGACTAATGCGTAAAATTTATGTCCACATTTTATTTTTATTTGAAAAATTACACAAATCAGATCTGACCAATAACATACAAAAATATTTCATAGAAATCTATTTGTCTTTCTGCTCTGTTTTAGGAGTAAATAGCGACACTGAACACAGACAGTGTCTGTTGTAGTTTCTTCACAGGTGCTATAAATGTGAGATTGGAAATAGCAATGTGTTTGAAGTAAAGCTTGGGAGTTTATAAGCTGATTAAAATGAAATTGTATGTTGTTTTTTTTATGAATCTTTCCAAGTTACAGATTTTATTACTCATGAAATTTTGTCAGACTGTAACATTAATGATTATGAATATTGTATGATGTTGGCTCATTGTTGAAGGCTGTAGGGTGACCTATAGTTGTTTATATCTTTGTCCTTTTGTCTTAGACACACAGTTGTCTCTTTGGCAATCATACCCCATCTAATTGTATACTGATCAAAGTGATGGAAACATGATTGAGAAAATTACTGGGCCAATTAACATCGAAACTGAATTCAGTTAATCTAATAATTTATTTCTTAAAGAAAGTGTTTATACCAAGTCGAGAATATAGCTGTCGTGTGACCTTTTTTTTTTCTCAATGAAATTTTGACTTTCAATTATTTATATATCTTTGCAGTTCAGTAAGTTGTGATAACAAAAAAAAAAAAAAAACATCAAATAAAGGGAGGTAATTAGATACCATTAATAAACCACTTAGTTTGTAACACTGCTAGAAGTAGCCAGTGCTTGAGTACTTTTGTTATTTACATTATACATCAAAAGACATCAGTCCTATGCTCAAAACCATAGAAATTATATACTCTGGATTCATTATTATTCTTGCGTAATTAATTTTCATGAACTTCGTAGGATAAGGTAAACCCCCATTTTCAAATGTTCACGGAAATACAAATTTCCTAAAGGCTTGTATGCAGTTTTGTTAAAGCCATGAAACCAAGTATCCATGAAAAAACAATTTTTCCTCAATCCAATAAAATTTGTACCCATAAAAAAATGAGTCCACAGTTAGCCTAGTATTAATATTAGTATATGAACATAAGTAAATCTTTTTTACTTCATATTTTATGAAATTATGATAAATTCTATAATTTTCTATAGCATACATATGTTTTATAATTATGTAATAAGACTTTAGACAATGAACCTCTGATTCCAATAATCGAACCATTTGAATAAATATAGTAATTATGTGAACTGTTATCACTCCATAGCTATGAGTTGAATGGAAAAATTGTCCATAGATATAGTCATAACAAGTTCAATATCAGTACATTGTAATCTTTAAGAACTTTTGTTTTACTTTATATATAACTTGCATAAGAATTGTAGTGGGTACCAGCTTTCGAAAAAAACTTAAATATAATGTTTTTTTACTGTGGAAGATTGGGCATTTCATCATGTGTTGTGATTTTTATCAATAGCTCATCTTGTTCAATTGTTATGCAAATTGATCTGTCTAAATGTATCATTTTGATATTGGATAGTAAAATTGTCATATCCAAACCAGAAATGTGTATTTGTAGTTTAGGAATCTAGATTTTGAACCATTAATGTGTTCTTTCTTTATTGTGTACTGTAACAAGTGCATTTATATTATATACAGATACAATTTAAGGACTAGAACACTAGTCATTTTACTAATTCAAATTAGTTACTAAGTTGTAAAACTTGTGTCTGATCCATTTGTCATTTTGAACGATAAAATATGTTTAAACTAAACTAAACTAATTCAAATTCACCAGCCTGTATGAGCATCATTTTTTAACACCTCAGAGTTCTCACATTTTGTTATTCAAAATTCATCTTTCTTTGTCACTGTTTTGTTTAAAAATGAAGTGATAATTTAAATGTAATAAAAAAAAAAATGCCATCAGAAATACAGTTGTTAATTGGATTCTATTAAATCAATGTTATTTTACTGACCATTGAATTTATTACAATTATTGCTGAATTGTAATCTGCCAAAACATGTAACATAAATTGACAAGCCCGAAATGTAGTTAGATTTTTTTGTCTTCATGATAAAATACTTTTGACTCAGTTATTTCTCCAATTATTAACTTTCATTGTCTGAGAACAAAAAGTCTGTTATGGTGTTACTGTGGATTCATTTATTTTCGTGGATACAAATTTTCATAATTTGAGGAAAACTGACGTGGATATATTAATTTGTGTTTTTTTTAAAATCAGCGTACACAGAAACTACAGAAATGTTTAATTTATTGAATTTTTGGCGTATAATCAATATATATCCTTGAAGTTCCGTAATTTGTGCTAACAAAAAAAAAATCAAATAAGGGGAGGTAATAAAATATGAATTTTTTTTCCTATGCCCATGAAATCCACTAAAATTGGTATCCCATGAACAATTATGAATTCACAGTAATTGGCTTTTCTTTTCAGTATTTGCTCCTTTCATTGCAAAAGAGTATATTTTTGTTATATTTTGTTATATTTTTTTTATTTTTTCTCTTCTATCCCAGAAAAGCTTTAAAACTGGTATATCACATTATTGAATCATCATGGGCTATTGTTTTGGCCTTCATGTTAAAATAAATACATTTTACATACCTTCTCATATTATAAAAAAGATGAGACTACTATAACGTATGTGTTATAGTAGTCTCAGAAAAAAACTCAGTATGTGTTCTCAAAATTGAAAACAAAATTATTGTATGTACACATATATATATATATATATAGATATTGTAGTGTACATTTTAAACATGTTAAACATGTGATTTATGTACATAGTGTGGAGTGTTTTATTTGTTTCATGTCTATTGGTTTAAAGGTGACTTGTGTCCCTTGTTTGATACTCTTCTATAATTGGTATGACTTGTTTTCATTCTGGGTGTTCTTTTTTTAAAATTACTTGGAGCTAGATTAATTTTATATAACATTTAGGTTCTGTGAAATGGACAATCATAACATAAGTTTTTTGGGAAATCTTGAATTTTATGCTTGTAGGAAAAATGTTTATGAATTTTGTGTTTTATGGGCAGTTCATTTGTTGCTTGCAGTCATTTATTAAACTGAAAATTGTACAGAATAATAGTCTTCACCAGTTGAAACTTCATATGTACCGTATATCAGGTTTTTTATCGCGTCAGCTTTTTTTGCGATTTGATGACAAAAAGGACAGGTTAAATTTTCACTGTGTATAATTTTCGCTGATTGGGAAAATACATGTGAAAAAATAACTATCATATTGTTAAAGATGTAAACAACATATTTTAATGGCTGGCAGGTAATCAATTACAAATAAATATGAGTACTTCAAACCTTAATACACATAATTTAGAGAACTTTCAAGGAACGTTAATTATGTACATTGGGACATGCTAAAAATTGAAGTTTTTGATCATTACAGATATACAGATATCCATGTAAATCTGATTTATTTTTATTTTATTTTGACATTATATGCAATTTTTTCGGGTTATGACAGTAATCAATAGATCGTCGCTAATTAATATTTTTTAACATGTCACTGATTGCTGTGTTGTCAAAAGGTGTGACACGTACGATAAGCCAATTGAACTATTATGAAAACAGAGATCTTAATCAAGTCTGCTCATTCTTGTGGTTTGTCGTGGAACAACATAAAAGACCTCATAATCAACAGTTAAATGTTTGAAACTTTCCAACAATGGTAAATGTTGAAATATACACGGAAATTTACGCAAGGTCAAATTTTCACGTTTCTTTAGCTGCCGCGAACAAAGCAAAAATTAAACACGCACCAAAAAAAACATATACGGTATTGTATACTACAAGAAGTTATTTTTTTGTAAACTAAGTTTCTACAAGCATTTATTGAGATTTTAATTGTGAAAGACTAGTATTTTAAGGTTTGTTTGCATTTAAAAGCTCAAATATATATTCTCTGAGGTAAAGAAATTGTAATACATGCGTTATATTGATCGAAATTTGTAACTTTTAAAGCTTTGTATAAATGCAATCCTCATGCATGTTCTAATGAAAAGTGATTGACGTAATGGAAGAGATAATTGGATGCAGATCTAGTCACATCTCTTTTTCTTGAATGAAAACAATGCAGTGTATTCTGAATGTATATATTAATGTACATGTAAATTGTTATACATGCACCATCTAAATGATTTATAGTGTAAAAAGCTTAAACATCATTTTCTAGCTTGTGATTTGTTACTCAGATGCATATCGTCATGTAATAATGTTAAGGTTGTTTTGTGCAGTTATGTTATTGATGCTTTGTTTATTAGCTGTCCAACTTGTTTCAACTTTTATATTTTAATGCTTTCTTATCACAGTGATGATTTCTATGCAATATACACCTTTTTTTAAAGCTGAAAAATGATAACCTGTGTTAATTGAATAAGTGCAATGAACATAACATATTTCTAGACACAAGCCAAACTTCTTGGTAATTGACACTTTTATCTTTTGTGGGTATTGAATGAAAATGGTTTTATAAGACTGTTTGTAGATTTATATGTGTTTATTTGATAATAGTGAACTTTTTTCTTAACCCCTCACATATATTAAAGGTACTCAATATCTGTTTTTGAAAATCTGTGTTTTAAAACTGCATATTCTACTTTGAAATACAAGTATCAATTCATAGAAATATATTTACCAGTTGGATTCTGCACTTTAATAAGGAAAATGATAGGACATGTTTTAAAGTATTAGCAGTGATGATGATAATCTACAGTTTGATGAGATTGAAGGGCATTTTTTAATCAGACACTTTTTTACATTCCAGGACTCTACCAAATCTGACCTTTTTTTCTCCATTTGACCTAATGACATCTGAAAAATAGAGATTTGTGTAAGCATTGTCAATTGAAAATACTATGTGAAATATTTGTATTTTCTGTAAGGAAGACAGACCATGAATTGCCTCTCCTATTTTCGAGATTAAAATGAACCACAGCCCATTAGATCAAACTCTTGTAATTAACTTTAATGATGAGATTGGTACAGCTGTTTCACCTTTTTCTTGTATAAGTATGGAAGACTGAGACTGACTTTTTCTCATACTCACTAATGGAGTAGGAACTGCTGCCCTTCTGGAATGCTGAGTTCACTTGGATTTTTTTTGGTTAACTTTTAGTTCAAAAGTGTATGTTTTGTAAACTGCTTGTCTCTTCATTGTTTTTCTTTTTGGCCGTGGTATTGTCTGTTTTTCTTCAACTCATGGTTTGTTATTGCACTCATGGTATTTGCCCTTAATATTCTTCGGACATTTAAGAAAGTTGAAAATTCTCATGGATGTGGCAAGAGAAACAGATTTAAGATTGATAATTAAACATGTAGGCCTAACTTGTTCAAAGCTAAATCATACATATGCCAGACATCTTTTCTAAACTGAAATGTGGTATCAGAACGTTCTTCAGTAATTTAATACATGAGAATTTAACACTACCCTAATCCTCCAAAGTCTTGCTGTAGTTGAGCTTTACTGTAGAACTATATGCTAAGTTATAGTTGATTTGATAGATTGTTTTTACCCTTGTCCATCTGTCCGTACATCCCAAAATTGGTTTCCGTTTTCTAACTAAAGTTTGCCTCAACCAAATGTTATCAAACTTATACACAATGCTTATTACCACAAAACACAGATCAAGTTTGAATTTTGGTGGCGTCACTTCAACTGTTCTAGAGTTATGCCCCTTTATAAATGGAAAAAATTTTGCATTTTTCATTTCCGTTCTCTAACTTAAGTTTGCCTCAACCAAATGTTATGAAACTTATACACAATGCTTATTACCACGTCACAATACACAGATCAAGTTTGAATTTTGGTGGCGTCACTTTTACTGTTCTAGAGTTATGCCCCTTTACAAATGGAAAAATTGCTAAATTTTTCTTTTTTCTTAAAATATCAATGATGTCATTGTTCAAGTAATTTTTAAAATTGGAGTTATCTTCCTTTGTCTATGATTATAATTGAATCAACTACAATCAATGCTTTATAGAATGCAATGTTTAATTTTGCCTTCCACTGATAAAACCCAGATCAAGTTGAATTTCGGTAGTGTCACTTTAACCATTATTGAGTTATGCCCTTTATAAATCGAAAAATTGCAAAATTTTAAGTTTCCATTCTGTAACTTAAGTTTGCCCCAACCAAACATGAAACCTATACACAATACTTATTACCACAAAATTAAGATCAAGTACAAATTTGGGTAGCGTCACTTTTATTGTTCTTGAGTTATGTCCCTTTATAATGTTGTATGCAAAAGGGGGGGCATCATCTGTGTCCATGGGGACACATTCTCCATTTATTTGCTTAACATTCAGTGGCAAATATTATATGCATGAATAGGACCAGCTAAGATATAGTAGTACCTTTGTAAATCAAATGCATGATTTGAAGCATTCCAGTTTTATAAGTTGCCTTTTAGTATTTATTTTTGTGGGGTAAAAGACCTAAGAATGTACATATACTGTATGCTTAGAAGCAAAGGTAGGATTTAGTACCCCAGTATGTGTAAATACTCCAATTTGTCAGGTAACTTACATTTTTTCACTGTAAATTAAACCATTTATTACAATATACAGATAATGTTTATATTGGTGGTTTGTATGGATTATAATTGTGGTGTCTCCGAAATGTGATTTTGTTTTGCAATTTTATGTTTTTGTAAGAAATGTTATGAAGGCCGTCATTTATGAAAGGCAACTTTGTTTGATTGTTTCCTCCTGGATCTTTTTAAATGTATTCACAACACACATCCTTCTCACAAAATGGTGATTCATTATAATAAGGAATTGATAAATCATCAATATATGGTCTCCTTTTACAGAGGAGACAGTTTATACACTGATGTATTAAAATTCAATATATTGCTGTAAAACCATTGATGATCTGCTTACAATATCAAAAGTCAACATTTGTTAAGAATTCCTCTTTAACACAAAGCCTGCTCATGTACTTATTATGTCAGCATTGTAAAGTTAATAGACAATTTGTCTTCAAATTGAATGTACTTGGCTCATAGGTAGGGTCAAACTGTCAACAGATTGCAAAACAGCTTTAGTACCATTGATGTGCTAAAAATGTACAATGTAGTTTTCTTTGTCTAAACCTATGCATATTCAGTTTTTTATAGGGGCATAAGCTACGCGTAAGAAAAAAAATAAAATATGATTTTTATTTTGTTTAATCATTAATGAAAGTGAAATAGTGAAATAATAATTCGCTTTTAGCAACCAGTTTTGTTCAATTTTGTCAAAATAGGCTAAGAAACATCGCTGATGAATTATTCACTTGCAAGTGAATAATTTTCCCTCGTTGAATCCGTATTCATGTGACCTTCAATTTAACCTTTTAGCGAGAAATGGGTTACGTATAAACTAGGCGTGTTTGGCTATTAAAAGGAAAAAAATATCAACATTGAAAGTGAAACAAGGGTAAACCTTTTGGTTGACTGATTCGATCCACTAAGACTCATTCTTATACAGGTAAAAACAATGATTAACATATTTGTTTAACCTATGATATGAAATCAAACAGACTTAGAAAAATCAAAATGCACGTGTTATCTATTTATATCTATATTTATGTTTATATTGGTTATATGACCATCAACAGTCTTTGGAGGTCACCTTGATGGTTAATTGACTAAAATGGCATTTAGACAAAAATACACACAAAATGCTGATACATATTATCGAATCCAAGCATCAAAAATTGTTTATTTTAGAGTCAAATTGGTGAACTCTAATTTTCCCCTGCCTAACCCGTTGCGAGGGACATGGAAATACAGGGAGTCCATCCGTCCGTCCAGTCTTTGTTAACACTCTCACAGGAACAATTCTTGCCAGATTTTTATAAAACTTATACTATAGGTTAATATCAGCAATATCTTGGACAAGTTTTATAGTGGTGGCCGATCTACTTTTTTTAAAAGAGTTATTCCACTTGGAAATATTAAATTTATGGAAAATGGCCTTGTTAGCGCTCTGACGGGTACAATTCTTGCCAGATTTTTATAAAACTTATACTACAGGTTAATATCAGCAATATCTCGGACAAGTTTTATAATGGTGGCCAATCAACTTTTTTAAAAGAGTTATGCCCCTTGGAAATATAAAATATGTGCAACGTTCTTTTATTTGACAGCTAATGCCCCTTTATTTAGGAATGAGATATTATGGTCTATTATTTAGCAAATTACTCATTTGTTATGCTTTTCATCCATGATTAAGCCAAAAGTGCTTAAAATGGCGGTAAACACCAGCAAACACAGAAACAATTTTTTGAATCATTTACACTGCACATAAGGTTATTTTCAGTTTTTGGTCAAAACAATTAGCTTTTTTCATTTATATACATTGAACTTCTGTTCCTGCTTTTTGACTGATTTTACAATTATTTCAGTATTGTGTTTTTATTTTGATGTTCAACAATTTTGTTATGACAATTCTCAATGATAAGCAAAATTAATGCTTTAATAATGATCGTAAATGTAATTGTTAATGAAAGAGAGATTTGTACTAAGTTGTGATCTTTAGTCTATGTTTGTATGATTTCACATTAAATGATATATTTTATAATTTGTTTGCTATTATTAAAGCCCTTATCCATACTTAAAAGAGCTATAACTAGAAAACACATGGACAGTCGGGATATAGTTTTAGAAAAGTATATATGCGTTTTAAGATTTGTCTGTCCCAAGCATTTAAAGCATTAATGATTGTTCTTCATGGTATAAGTCATAATTTTTATTTCTAGGAATTTTAAAAATTGGTGCATAATTTTATTAGGAGACATATCGGTAGGTCATACCATGATGAGACAGCCACCCAACTTCTTGAAGGTATTGGATGATCGCATAGTCTTCAATGATAGGCAAGGGTCTGTACTAATTTGGTATAGCTTGACATTGCACGATCTAGACCTGTACTATTTAAAGATAACTGTATCGTATTTGAAGCTTTGCGGATGTCCATCGGTAGTTTTACTGTCGCAAATTTAGTTTACCTGGCCACGCGTAGCCGAGACAGGTAAACGGATATTTGCGACAGTAAAACTTCCAATGGACATCCGCAAAGCTTCAAATACGATACAGTTATCTCTATTCTAATGCAAAATAAACAAATCATTCAATTTTAGTCATTAGTTTAGTGTAAATTTTCATTAAATGAAAATTCTGCGAAATGATGTTATCTTCTTTGGTGCCTTAACTAGGTGACGTCATAGGTATGCTTCCGGCATCAAACGTAAACAATGGGCGTTTTCTGGATTCTTGTCCACTTCAGAATGTAATAAAATTTGATAAAAAGAAGATTTCTCGGTGCAAAATGTAAGTTTTTTTGCTTATCATTGGAGAAATTACGTCAATACATTCCGGAATTCAAAATGTCGGCTTCCTTAGTTACAAACAGGGAGATAAAGAATTTCACGCTTATTGTCATCCAATCAGAACCATTGATACAAAATAATTGCATTAGAATTGTGAATACAACTAATCTGCCATAAATACCCAATTACTTATTTCCATAAAACCATGGTGAACAGGATGACAAGAACTGATTAGGTTCCAGACTTGGAACAGTCATATAAACATGAGGCAGGGTTAAACTAGTTTCATAAGTCAACACACACTTTTTCATCTGCATCCTTGGAATAAAAAAGTTCCACTAAATGTACAACAAGAATCAGTTCAAAGAAGCCTTTAATGAATCAAAATCCAATCCATGGTTCTCTCCCATTCTTTACTGAATGCGAAATATCACTGAAGTTTTTTTCACTTCAATGAGCAACACAAAAAATGCCTTTAATGGAACAGGACCTGCCTACCCTTCGGGAGCAACGGATCTCACCCCTAATTTTATTTTAAAGGAGTTTGAATTGCTCTTAAGTTTTCAGGGTTTTATTCTGTGCTATTTTATTTTTCAATGCATGTGTTTTTTCTCCCAATAACATTCATCTATCCTTTATCCTGTATAAACATGTTTTTATTTTAAACATTCACAATCAGTCAAGTTTAAGGGATAAACATATAACAAGGTTTACAAATTTGACGATGTTATTGCGTTAAAAAAAAAGAATTTTCGTGAATATTTGATTTTGTGGTTTCTCCAAAGTCTGCATACAAGGCTAGATAATATGTACTTTGATGAACATTTAAATATGTGGTTTGCCTACATCCACTCAAATTGTTATCCCACAAATTACCCAGTATAATAAATCCACAGTACCACATACCCTTATTTTATATCATTATCCAATTCATTAGTGTAGGATGTCTAATCAAAAGTAACACAGAGGGGGGAGGGTAGTTGTGGAACAGGAACTGTTCAACCTTCCCAAGCAAATGAGTTCACCCAGAGTTTTTTATGGGGTTTCTTCTTGCTCAACTCAAGTTTTCTGTGTAGTGTTTTGTGGGCTTGTTTATTTGTCTGTTGACAATGATGGTGTTTGATGGTGTTGTCTGTTGACAATGATGGTGTTGTATGTTGTTGTCTGTTGACAATGATGGTGTTGTCTGTTGACAATGATGGTGTTGTCTGTTGACAATGATGGTGTTGTCTGTTGACAATGATAGTGTTGTCTGTTGACAATGATAGTGCTGTCTGTTGACAATGATGGTGTTGTCTGTTGACAATGATGGTGTTGTCTGTTGACAATGATGGTGTTGTCTGTTGACAATGATGGTGTTGTCTGTTGACAATGATAGTGTTGTCTGTTGACAATGATGGTGTTGTCTGTTGACAATGATAGTGTTGTCTGTTGACAATGATGGTGTTGTATGTTGACAATGATGGTGTTGTCTGTTGACAATGATGGTGTTGTTTGTTGACAATGATGGTGTTGTCTGTTGACAATGATGGTGTTGTCTGTTGACAAAGATGGTGTTGTCTGTTGAAAATGATGGTGTTGTCTGTTGACAATGATGGTGTTGTATGTTGACAATGATGGTGTTGTATGTTGACAATGATGGTGTTGTCTGTTGACAATGATGGTGTTGTATGTTGACAATAATGGTGTTGTCTGTTATATTTCAACGTATGGTTTTATTGTCTTCCTTTGGATATTCTGACCATTAATTTCATAAAAAAATTATATTTCACTCAGTAAGATCCTAATTTGATGCAGATTAAGTTTATAATTTTGATTTTGCTGTAATTTTTTGTACTGATTATTAACCTTAGACTCACTTAATTACATTCATATGATTGAAAAGGTGGGACCAAAACTTCTCCATGAACATGAGATGTCCTATTGCTTCTGCAACTGCATACCAAATTTCATTGACTTACCATTATTTAGGTATTCCCATTTCTTTGACTTAATCAAAAACTTAAAACAAATTGTTAAAGCACATCCAAGAAACAGCACGCCTTAGACATGTTAGACTTGCCTCTGCAAATTTATAACTTAACACTGCTGATGAATGACTAATGAAATAAGATCAAGGTCAAATGAAATCGGTCATACAGACATTTACAGTCATTGAATCATAAAAAAGAAGATGCAAACATGTCAGATTTAAAACTTAAGAACACTAGGCCTCTAAATACAAGCTATGCCATATTTGACATTCCTACCTTATAAATATAAAAGAACAGAGTTCCATTGTCCCCCACATTGCACATATTTTATCTATCCAAGGTACACTGGTAATAACTAAAAAAAGCACTCTTTTTTTTTTTTTTTGTTCTTTAAAACTTTTTATTAATATCTTAAGAGAAATAGTCCCCAAGGGTGATTGGGGAATAGAAATATGGTCACTACAGGTCTTCTTCCGACTGGTAGTAAAACCTTTGCCAAAGTGGGGCATCCGTTTGACTGCGGGATGTATCAAGTACGCAGCAATGTCCGGTCAGAATGGGGATGTTAAATCTGATGTCTTGTATGGAGAGAATGCAACGTTGTCTGCACTTTAAGAACCCTTGCAACAACTCTCTGTCTCTATCCAATATACCCTCATTTTCCAGTGGCAGTCAAAATTTTCCCGACCTTATCCCGGATGGCCTCAATTACAACACTTACCCATTAAATATATTGTTAATTTGTTCTCGTCCTGAACATGCATGAAATATTTGCCACTGGACGTTAAGCAACTAACAATCAATCAATCAATCTTAGAGAAATAAAGGCTTTAGAGCAAATGCAATGAGATTTCCATTCTAATTAATATTTCCAAGGGCATTTACTGGTTAAAAATATTTGATCAGAACTTATTTTCGAAAGTGTCAAAGACCTTGCTGATATAAACCTATGATATAAGTTTCATAAAATTCCGGCAGGAATTGAACACATGAGAGCGCTAACAATGCAATTTTCCATATAATCAATATTTCCAAGGGGCATAACTCTTTTAAAAAAAGTTGATCGGCACTGATTTTCGAATGATAACATAAACCTATAATATAAATTTCATAAAAATCTGGCAAGAATTGCACACATTAGAGCACTCATAAGGCAATTTTCCATATGATTAATATTTCCAAGGGGAATAACTCTTTTAAAATTATTGATCTGCACTGATTTTTAAATTCTTCAAAAACATTGCTGCTATAAACCTATCATTTAAATTTCATAAAATTCTGGCAAGAATTGTACACATGAAAGCGCTAACAATGCAATTTTCCATATAATTAATGTTTTCAAGGGGCATAACTCTTTTAAAAATAATTAATCGGCACTGATTTTCAAACCCATCCAAGACATTGCTAATATAAACCTATAATATAAGTTTCATAAAAATCTGCCAAGAATTGAACACATTAGAGCGCTAAAGATGCAATTTTCCATATAATTAAGGTTTCCAAAGGGCATAACTATTTTAAAAATAATTGATCAGCACTGATTTGGACATTGCTAATATAAACCTATGATATAAGTTTCATAAAAATCTGGCAAGAATTGTTCAAACGAGAGCGCTAACGATGCAATTTTCCATATAATTAATGTTTCCAAGGGGCAAAACTCTTTTAAAAATGATTGATCGGCACTGATTTTTGAACTCGTCCAAGACATTGCTGATATAAACCTACGCTATAAGTTTCATAAAAACCTGGCAAGAATTGTACTCTCAAGAGCGCTAACAAGACTGGACGGACGGACGCCTGGTATTTTTATGTCCCCCACAAATCGTTTCTGGGGGGACAATAATAGTTAATCATAATGCCATCCATTATCACAGACCATCTAGTATCCCCACACATAGCAATCCAAATATTTGTTGCAGATAGGACAAAAATCAGGGGTGAACTCTGGGGCTCTAGAAAATTAATCAGTCTGATTGCATCCCTTTTATCTATAAGATCAATGTTAACCCTTACTATGCGGTGACCGTCATAGGAAGGGATTACCCAAACTACCGTTATTTGGCTCCAATTGCTCTCCATACTTTTAGAGGTCAACTTTATGACATTAATTTCGAAGTTGATGCATGTTTCCTCAACCTGAGGCTATTTATTGTCATGTTTCTCAAGTTTAACGTGCATTTTCAGCTCAAATACCAATTTGGAAAATTGAAATCGAAAAAAAAATGTTTTTTCTGGAGGGGTGGGCTTCCCTTCGGTGTCAGACACGTACACGCAGATCAGAGGCCTAAAACTTTAAAAATTAGTGTAAACCTGCGGGAATATAACTACTGATCGTGTTTATTATTGAAATCCACTTAGTGAAATACTACTTCAGGTTGCAGGTCCAGTTGAAGCCAAAAATCGGGAAAAATTAAAATTCCAGATTTTTGGTGCAAATGACCTTCTTTAGACTGCTGTACCAAGAACAGTTTAACCCGACTTAGGCTATGTTGTGATTAATGTGTTCACTGTGGTCCACTCTACATGCAGGCTACAGTAAGATACATCTATCAGCATCCCTCAGTCTTCCTGGTCAAGAAATAGGACTTGCACTGATGACCAACTTTGGAGCTAATTCCCACGCACCCCACCCTGTGATCCCCTATCTTAGATTTAAAGGAATCAATATGCATCAGCAGCAGGGTAAAACTCATTTGCATGTAATTTGCATATTTTTGCAAATAAACGAAAATTAGATATTTTCTGAAAATAATTCAACATGGTAAGTGTTAAATTTATAACATAAGCAGTGATATTTATCATTCATTATATTTTTAATCATAAACAATTATTACCTACAATAGATTACAAATAAAGCACTGGTATCGTTTGAATGAAGATATTTAACAATATCACAATTTTGTATAAAAAATTTTGAAATACAATTCAAAACAACAAATATTAAACAGTTTTCTGTTTAGTTTGTAAATTGAGATATTTTGGCAGTTTTTACCTCTAAAGAAGTGGCTACTGTTGATAATTGAGAAGTGTCAAATGTTGGCACTTTGTGCCAAGACCATTTTTTATTTATGTCATAATAAAATTCATAGTTCAATTAGTTTTGGACAACTAGTAATTAAAATAGGTAAACTAGTGATTCATCATATGACCAAGTAAGAAGGATCATTAACTGTTCAGACATTTCATGTTTTGACAAAGAGTTTTACATACGACTATTAAAAATCATGCAGTTATCTTTTTGGTAAATGTTAATACTTCTGTCTTAAATTTTGGTAAAAAATGTACTTTTATCTAAGGCACCAAATAAGTTAAAATATGACAAGAGCCAAACTATTCCAATTTACAGTTTATATCAACTAAATCATTATTTGCTCAACACATGAAGACACAATTGGTTTTATGGTAGTACCTATAGTCTTATTACAGTAGATTGTTTAATCCTTATAGAAATTATGTCTTAAAATTTCACCTTAATAAGGTAGATGGCAGTTTTAAATTAAAATAGACAGAATTTTTAAATAATTTTCCAAAATGTAGTTTATATCATGCTATTTTCAAAAATATAATAAAAAGTATGGGTCACAGAGCTTTTTTTCCAAGTTGTGCAAATTTGTCAGATTTTGTTAATATTATACAAGGAAAAACCAATTTTGTGTGATAAAAAGAAAATGGTCCACAGAATTTTAAGATAGAATATGAGAGGATAGCTCTTATAATGTGCTTTCAGAAAATAAAATTAAAACTTAGGGTCATGTGACTTGTTTTCTTGCTATAAAACAAGAGAGGTAGATTAACTACACATTCCTTAATAAAAATAATGTTATCTGAGTTATCTCCCCTTATATGACAAAGTCGAAAAAAAATTAAATCAAACAAAACCATTAACAGTAGAAATAATAAGATAAAACTATATTTTTCTTCATTGTAATTAATAGTCTTACAAATGAATTACATTCCTACCTAAAAAAAAATGCATATTTCAATAAAGATCTAGACAGATTGTATTCTGCTATTTTTCAATTCCAAATGACAAAAATTCAGTTCTAAAATTAATTAAGTTCAGTCTCAGATGAAACTGCTTCATTTGGGTGATATTGCCTTAAATAGATTCACCAGAGTTCCACTAGAACATTACATTGTGATATTGATTCGATAGATTTACCAGAAGTACAATCAAACACTTGCGATTTCAATATCTAACACATGTTTAGAATATGTCTTGGTAGAATCAAAGTTCAACTGATCTCTTGCAATTAAAATTGGTCAACATTTGAATGGTTTATGTTGTAATTTAAATAAAAAGAGTATATTGAAAGCAATAAAATTATGCATCGACAATAAGTTCAAATTACAGATTTAGAAAGCCTAGTTGTGATTCCATGAAGAGAATTAAAAATCTAAAAATTTTAAGATGAGATTGGCAATTTCAGAATGAATCTCTCTTTTTATGTATTGAAAACATGAAAAACACATTTCACATCAGCGTCAAGTTATTTTGGAAATTGATTTAATTAGCATAGTACATGTTTAATATACATAGTATAATATTTATACAATTTTACAGAGATAAAAATAATTTCTACCTTTCTTTTTTACATACAAATGTTGTTAAAACCTTTCTATATACATAAATTATCGACATTAAAGACAACACCACTTATAAATTACTTTGTGGTAATTAACAAGTGTTTTTGTCTTTAATGTCTATAATTTCTTACTTTTTCAAAGACAATTGTGAATACCTATAGGTATCTACTTGTTTATTACCCTACCACACAATCACCACTCCAGGTGTGGGTTCACCCTATACAACTACATATATACAAAAAGGTTAAGGAAATGTTGATTTTCTCTTTGTTAGCTCTGTTAATCAAAGGCTTGAGCCATACATACATAAAATCTTAGACAAATTTGTGCAATAAAATCAAGATGTATTCATTGCTTTCATTACATTAAAAATATTAAATCACTTTAAACATAAATAATAGCACTCTTTAAAATCAAATTCAATGTTTTATAATCTGGATGTACATACATACACATGTTAACACAAACACATGTTAAAATGTACATATTAACACAAACACATGTTTAAATGTACATTTTAATACAAACGTAAGTTCAGAAGCTGTTACTGACTAATTAATTGATGCATATATGTACTGGTTAAGTACAAGTCACTGTAAAAAATTCACACTCTTTCTTTAATATTGTTTATCAAACAGAAAGTCTGTTTAGGAATATTAAAAAATACGTTTCTAGTGTTTAAAAACCAAGATATGTTTTTTTTCCCCATTTATTGACTGCTTTTTCACTTTGCTAATAATCTTATTGTGTGCACACAGCAGAAGGCATATATCATGCTGTAAATATTACTTAAAAATGGAACTCCTTTTTAGTCAAATATGTCATTTGGGTATAAATTAAAAGTGATCATGTGCTCATTTGTCTAATCCATACACAAAATAGATTTTACAATATATATTTGGCACATTTCGTCAGCTAAAATTCACAAAATTATAGCACAATCTTTTTTGCTATAATTTGACTTTCTGCAACTATCAATCTATCAATCAACCTTATACAATATACTATAAGGTAGATTTGTTCTGGAACAAATACATATATTGTAAATTATTTGGCATAGTTTTGATTTGCTTAATCTAACATAATTAAGTGATAAATGGATATGTATTTGTTAATAATGGAAGCAGCAAATTATGATAAGACCATATACATGTAGATTAATGAAATATTGTAACAAAATTGATATATAAGTAATATACTTTGAATGGATGTGTTAGTATTCACATGAAAGCTCCCAACAACATGATGTGAAATGTTGGCATTAAAAACCTTCAATCAGCTAAAAACATGCAGCTCCTCATTAGACAATTACTTATAAAAAGCCTGCTCAATATCTACTTCCACAAAACAAAATTGACAAGAATTAATTTCTCGGTCTAAAAGAAACCATTGATTCTGTCAAATATAAGCGCACTGGAGAAAAAGTTAATTGATTGATTTGCAAAAATCACAGCACTATCTGCAAACAAGATAAAACTTACATCAGAAGAAAAGTCATCAGGATAAAAAACTAGAGGCTCTAAAGAGCCTGTGTCGCTCACCTTGGTCTATGTGAATATTAAACAAAGGACGCAGATGGATTCATGACAAAATTGTGTTTTGGTGATGGTGATGTGTTTGTACATCTTAATTTACTGAACATTTTTCCTGCTTACAATTATCTCTATCTATAATTAACTTGGCCCAGTAGTTTCAGAGGAGAAGATTTTTGTAAAAGATTACTAAGATTTACGAAAAAATGGTTAAAAATTGACTATAAAGGGCAATAACTCCTAAAGGGGTCAACTGACAATTTCGGTCATGTTGACTTATTTGTAGATCTTACTTTGCCGACATTTATTGTTTTTTACAGTTTATCTCTATCTATAATAATATTCAAGATAATAACCAAAAACAGCAAAATCACCTTAAAATGACCAATTCAGGGGCAGCAACCCAACAACGGGTTGTCAGATTCATCTGAAAATTTCAGGGCAGATAGATCTTGACCTGATAAACAATTTTACTTCATGTCAGATTTGCTTTAAATGCTTTGGTTTTTGAGTTAAAAGCCAAAAACTGAATTTTACCCCTATGTTCTATTTTTAGCCGTGGCGGCCATCTTGGTTGGTTGACCAGGTCACGCCACACATTTTCAAAACTAGATAACCAAATGATGATTGTGGCCAAGTTTGGTTTAATTTGGCCCAGTTGTTTCAGAGGAGAAGATTTTTGTAAAAGATTACTAAGATTTACGAAAAATGGTTAAAAATTGACTATAAAGGGCAATTACTCCTAAAGGGGTCAACTGACCATTTCGGTTATATTGACTTATTTGTAAATCTTACTTTGCTGAACATTATTGCTGTTTACAGTTTATCTCTATCTATAATAATATTCAAGATAATAACCAAAAACAGCAAAATTTCCTTAAAATTACCAATTCAGGGGCAGCAACCCAATAACGGGTTGTCCGATTCATCTGAAAATTTCAGGGCAGATAGATCTTGACCTGATAAACAATTTTACTTCATGTCAGATTTGCTTTAAATGCTTTGGTTTTTGAGTTAAAAGCCAAAAACTGAATTTTACCCCTATGTTCTATTTTTAGCCGTGGCGGCCATCCTGGTTGGTTGACCAGGTCACGCCACACATTTTTAAAACTAGATAACCAAATGATGATTGTGGCCAAGTTTGGTTTAATTTGGCCACGGAGTTTCAGAGGAGAAGATTTTTGTAAAAGATTACTAAGATTTACGAAAAATGGTTAAAAATTGACTATAAAGGGCAATTACTCCTAAAGGGGTCAACTGACCATTTCGGTTATATTGACTTATTTGTAAATCTTACTTTGCTGAACATTATTGCTGTTTACAGTTTATCTCTATCTATAATAATATTCAAGATAATAACCAAAAACAGCAAAATTTCCTTAAAATTACCAATTCAGGGGCAGCAACCCAATAACGGGTTGTCCGATTCATCTGAAAATTTCAGGGCAGATAGATCTTGACCTGATGAACAATTTTACCCCATGTCAGATTTGCTCTAAATGCTTTGGTTTTTGAGTTATAAGCTAAAAACTGCATTTTACCCCTATGTTCTATTTTAAGCCGTGGCGGCCATCTTGGTTGGTTGACCGGGTCACGCCACACATTTTCAAAACTAGATACCCCAATGATGATTGTGGCCAAGTTTGGTTAAATTTGGCCCAGTAGTTTCAGAGGAGAAGATTTTTGTAAAAGTTTACGGACGACGGACGACGGACGCAGGACGACGGACGCAGGACGACGGACGCAGGACGACGGAGGACGGACGCAAAGTGATGAGAAAAGCTCACTTGACCTTTCAGGTCAGGTGAGCTAAAAATGATATTATTATGCAACTTTACTTAAAATAAAAATTAGGCCAATAATTCTAAACAAGACAAAACATTTTGGTAAATTAACTATCATGAAATTAGTGCATGGGTCATAATTTCCAAAAAAGTATGTCCACTTGAACAGAAGACAAAATATACCTGTAATTCTTCATTATGCTACACCATTTTCAAAAGATTTGTTAAAATCAGCAAGAAAAACCAATAAAAAATGGACTATTTGGGTAATTTTGGAAATACTGAATTGAGTAATAACAACTTAATCCTTACAATGTAAACTAAATTGAATTATAAGACTTCTTCGCATCATGATAAGCTTCAGAATAGTCTCTATACAACAAGAGGATAATATAATTAGTTTTGAACTAGTCTGGATAATCAAGGACTGTTTCAAATCATGATTAATTTTGAACTAGTGTGAATAATATAGGACTGTTTCAAATCATGATTAGTTTTAAACTAGTCTGAATAATATAGGACTGTTTCAAATCATGATTAGTTTTAAACTAGTCTGAATAATACGGGACTATTTCAAATCATGATTAATTTTGAACTAGTCTGAATAATATAGGACTGTTTCAAATGATTAGCTATAAACTAGCCTGAGTTTAAAATGATCACAGATATAACATTTCATAAGTTTATGCATGTCTATAATACATCGTAGAAGTTTTTCACATGAAACATCTTTCAACACTTTACCAGACAAAATGGAACATTTAACAAGGTGGTGGAAGCAGATAGAAGTCTTTTGTTAGATCATCTGTTATTATCATATCAGGGTCTGGCTTGCCATCAGGGATAATTGCATCTTGTATCATCAACTGTACCTATAAAGATTGAACAAAACAAAATTCAAATTCATATTATGCAGAAAATATAAAATAATAAAAATAAAACTATGTGAACTGGTATAAAAACAACAAACAAATGCACAAAATAAAACAAGTCTTCACCATGTTTTTATCTAGCATAGCTACAGATCAATAACAATGTCCAGTCTCCTAAAACATTTTTATCATATCAAAACTTTTTGTTCATTGACAAATATATTGGCTCATTTGACTACCCTGGTTGAATCCATCAGAAGTGTAATCAGGGTATTCTGGTGTAAGCACATTTTTCGCAATATTTTTATATAAGCAGTAGTGAATAAATTTTGATGTGCAAAATTTTTGGCACTTTGTGTCAATAATATGTTTTAATTTTGGCTTAATGATATTCATTGTTCATTTATTCAATATCATAATACCTGTATCATCATCTGTTTGAATGTCATGTTGTTGGCAGCCTTACACATCACAGACATCAGGGCACCAATGACCCACGATCCCTTCACTACTGAATCATTTCTTCCTACAAAATGTAAAATAAGTCATAATTCGATGCTTAAAAGTGACAGTATTTTTATCTCATTTTGTATCTTTATTACCATACATAACATATTTAGTAAATATGAATGGAATAAATAGTCATTTCCAAAAGTATATGAATAATATTGTGTTTAAATTGTTTCACATTTTGTCATGTTTAGGCCTTTTATAGCTTGCTAAGCAGTAATGATTTTGTTCATTGTTTAAGATTGTACCCATGCAAGGGTCTGGAAGTGGTCATATTTGCCAGTCATGACCTAAACTGAAAGTTATTTGTCCTAAACAGCAGATTGGAATTTAGGACAAATTAATTTTTTTACAGAAATAATTTCGGTCATTTCATTGAGATGGGGTTTCTTAATCACCATTATGCACTTGTAATTGTTTTGTAATTCCTTTCCTGTAATAAAACTGCCACTCAAGTATAGTATGATAATCCTGAGGGCCCTCTTATAACTGATTAATGCCTCTGGGAAATATAGGCTAATGATGGCTAATCACTTTTAACCTGCATTTTTAATTCACACCTCACAGTGATCACAAGCTCAGAACTAATATCATAAAGAAATTAAAATTCCATAACAACTTTCTTCATTATTTAATTACTTTTCAGCAAAGACAATCATCAATTCTAATTTAAAAATTAAAACTAAAACTAATTTATGTTGAAAAAAAGAAAGAGTCAAACGTGTGCTTTATTTACTATGTAATAGGCATGTGTGAATTTGTTTTCACCAGATTAGGCACTTAATCGTAAAATGCAAAATGATTTCATGCTTAATTAAACGAGTGTGACTATTATCTGTTATATTCCAACACTTTTGAAGGTAATAAAATTAAAAGTCCGGTGATTTCCTGTCAATTTGATAAACAGAACAAATCCCGGAAAAAACCCTGAATCATGTGAATTACTTGTACTTTATTATAATTTTTTTACTTGAAACATTCAGTTTCTATGTCGTCTTCTAAATCGAAAGAACGTTAGTGATTCCGGAGAAACTTACCATTTTGAGTTATGAGTTATTAAAATCACTTCAATTTTAAACTGTTGCATTCCATAAATTGTTCTTGAACTTTTTTAGAATAACGATAAGAAAATTCATGAAGTAAATGCAATGAACAGTCATTACAAGTTCGCTGATGCTATGAATTATGACAGTTTGAAAAAAGGGCCCCAACTTTTAAGTCATCTCAAAATGACCGAAATTGTGTGAAAATTTTTCGGATCCTTGTACCCATGTCATTTGGACTCTGGTGGATAGTTATCTCATTGGCAATAATACCAATCGTGTACTTCTAAGATGTTGGCCGGTAATCTAGTTCTTCCTATTCCATTTATTGTTATGTTGACAAAATGAACAGACTTTATATACAGGATGAATAACTACAGTATTACCAGACTTAGGTTATATATGTATAAGATATCTCCTCCCTCCTTAGGAGCAGAGGTATAATAAGTTTTTTTTATAAACATACCTATAAATAGTTATGAGGCATGATTTTGGGGGCAGACCCTCATATTCTCTTCCCAATTTGAAATACAAGAAAGAAAATTCAATAGTATACTTATCAATGTTATATCATAAATTTTGCTTCATGAATTCATACCATAAGATAAATGACAAAACATTGCATGCTTTATCAAATTATTTTCATGTTGAGGACATATTACATTTAGAAGATTGTATCATACTTCCAATCTACAATCCCTTCTCCTTTTCCCTGAATGTGACCTACCGATTTAGACTTATTACCAGGTTTGTACTAACATGAGCAACACCACCGGTGCCACATGTGAAGCAGGATCTGCTTACCCCTTACCGAGCATCTGCGATCACCCCCAGTTTTTTGTGGGGTTCGTTTTGCTCGGTTTAAAGTTTTCTATGTTGTGTTTTCTGTACTGTGTACTATTGTGTGTCTGTTGGTCTTTTTCTTTTTAAGTCATGGCTTTGTCAATATAAAAAAGTTGTGGTATGATCGCCAATGAGACAACAACTCTCCACAAGAGACCACATGACACAGAAATTAACAGCTATAGGTCACCATACGGCCTTCAACAATGAGCAAAGCCCATACCGCATAGTCAGCTATAAAAGGCCCCGAAATCACAAATGTATAAAAACAATTCAATTGAGAAAACTAATGGCCTAATTAATGAACAAAAAAATGAACGAAAAACAAATATGTAACACAGCAACAAACAACAACCACTGAATTACAGGCTCCTGACTTGGGACAGGCACATCATACAGAATGCGGCGGGGTTAAACATGTTAGCAGTTTATTTTGACTTATGAGTTTGAATGTCCCTTATCTTTCCCCTCTCTTTTCCAAACAGAAATGTAACAATGGCATCAGATGATTCAAACTTGGTTGGTTGGAAGGAAGTTGAAATGTCAGAATTTTTATGAGGTTTCAGTTTAAAAATTGTAAAACATTCTGACTTACATGACAACTTTGTCTGAATTATAAAGAATTACGACGACATCAATTTTAGTAAATATTATTTTCTGTCAGTATTTCAAGGAGAAAGGAATCATCTACATATATTTAATTCAATATATGTTAGAATATATAAGTATTCAGTAAACAGGAAGTTAACAATCAATGAATCTGAAACCACATGACACAGCATGTTCATTTAAAGACTGATAATAAATTACAGGAAGATCTGATTTATAGTTCCTGAGGAAATACCAATGGAATATCATGTGATTGACAGACGGAATATCTACATCCTAATTTGATACATACCCAGTGTTGAAGCTTTACAGATATATGTATCTAGTTTCTTGTTTGGGAGAGCTACAGAATCTCTCTGATCTGCCAGGACCTCTCTACCACTCACTGTCCTTATCAGTTGTTTAGGATTTGTTGGTGTTTCTTCTTGCACCCCTCTTGAATATACTTCATCATGGATATCACTTCCTGTATCAAAATATATTCATATAAATTTTATTATAAACTGTTGACACAGAGATATGCCTCTTCTGTCGGCATAAATTTCAGAAAAGGACAATCTGATGGACAGCAACATTGCTAATCAATTCAAAGTCGCTGGACAAACTAGTGGGCAGGGCTTGGAAATGGTTGTCAAACTGAGATGTACAAACAGCAGTGTAACTTTATAGAAAATATTGTCTATTGTAAGTAATTCCTATCAAACTAACTTAATCATAAAACTTAACATTGAAAGTCACTGGACCATGACCTAGGGGGGCAGGGCCTTAAAATAGTCGTCAAACTGATATGTACTGATAGTAATGCAACTTTATAGAAAATATCATTGATCTATCGCAAGTAGTTCATATCAAACTAACTTATGCAGAAAACTTATCATGGAAAATTGCAAATTAATTGAAAGTCACTGAACCATGAACTAGGGAGCAGGTCCTCAAAATAGTCATCAAACTGATATGTACTGATAGTAATGCATCTTCATACAAAATATCAATGATCTATCACTAGTAGTTCCTATCAAACTAACTTAAGCAGAAAACTTGACAATTGTTGACGCCATCATAGCAGCCGTCGCCGCAGCCATCGTCTGAAAATCAATCCCTATGTCTCGCAGGCGAGACAAAAACTGTATACTGTGGATTCATTTATTTTCGTGGGTATAAATTTTCGTGGATTGAGAAAAACTTGCATTTTCATGGATATTTGATTTCGTGGTTTTACCAATTTCTGCATAAAAAGCCAATAGAAAATTTGTAATTCGTTGAACATTTGAATTCGTGGTTCACCTGTACCCACGAAACCCACGAAAATTGGTATCCAACGAATAATAATGAATCAACAGTATGTAAATTTGCAATTCTATGTAGGATTGATTTATTGTTGGTGTTTAATATAAAATAAGATGTGGTATGATTGCTAATGAGACAAATATCCACCAGAGTTCAAATGAAGTAAATGTAAGCAATTATCATGATTATAGGCAACCTTACATCCTTCAACAATAAGAAAAACCCATATTGTATGGTTGCCTATAAAAGGCTCTGACATGAAAAATGAGAAACAATTCAAATGAGAAAACTAACAGCCTAATTTAAAACAAAACAATTTACGATAAACAAATATGACATGTACACGAACCAACAACAACCACTGAACTACAGGCTCCAGACTTGGCACAGGCACATAAAGAATTTGGCAGGTTAAACATTTTTGTGGACGCCCAACCCTCCCCTAACCTGGGACAGCGGTGTAACAGCACAACATAAAAACAAACTTTAATAAAATGCTCCGCAGGGCGCAGCTTGATACTACCGCAGAGGTCGAACCCTGAACAGTTGGGGCAAGTATGGACACAATATTCAAGCTTGATACAGCTCTGAATTTGGATTGTGATTAAATATTTGACACAGCATAGGTTTCTGACACAGAATGAATGTGGTCTAAGAACTTAAAAATTTTAAACTGGACATTCACCTATTATGGTCCAATATCCAAAATCTAAATACATGGTTAGATTCAGCATATCAAAGAACCCCAAGAATTCAATTTTTGATGAAATCAAACAAAGTTTAATTTTGGACCCTTATGACCTCAATGTGGACAAAGTTGATAACGGGGACCAAAAATCAAAAATCTAAATGCATGGTTAGATTCAGCATATCAAAGAACCCCATATATTCAATTTTTGTTGAAATCAAACAAAGTTTAGTTTTGGACCCCGATTTGGACCAACTTGAAAACTGGGCCCATAATCAAAAATCTAAATACATGTTTAGATTCAGCATATCAAAGAACCCTAAAAATTCAATTTTTGTTAAAATCAAACTAAGTTTAATTTTGGACCCTTTGGACCTTAATGTAGACCAATTTGAAAACGGAACCAAAAATTAAGAATCTAAATACACGGTTAGATTCGGCATATCAAAGAACCCCAATAATTAAATTTTTGATGAAATCAAACAAAGTTAAATTTTGGACCCTTTGGACCTCAATGTGGACCAATTTAAAAACGGGGCCCAAAATCCAAAAACTTAATACACGATTAGATTCAGCATATTAAAGAATCCCAAGAATTCAAGAATAAAACCCCATTGAAATTGATCAAGAAATAAGCAATTTATACGAAGTATCTTCTTTTGCACAATACTGTGCAATTGAATATTTCTTGCTATTGCGCAATACTGTACAATTGACAATTTCTTGCTATTGCGCAATATTGTGCTATTGGATATTTCTTGCTATTGCGCAATACTGTGCAATTGAAGATTTCTTGTTATTGCGCAATACTGTGCAATTGAAGATTTCTTGCTATTGTGCAATACTGTGCAATTGAAAATTTCTTGCTATTGCACAATACTTATTATATAATAATTTACACATCCTGTTTGGTGTGTATCTCCTACCATATCATTATTATTTGCTTTTAAATATTAATCAGAAATAACCAACTTAAAATGGAAAATTTTAAAAGAAAAAAAAAAAGGAAAAAAAGAAAAAAAAAGAAAAAAAAAAATCCCCCCCCCCCCAAATTTTTTGAACCCCCTTATGATTCATCACCCCCAAACTCAATCCCAGCCTTCCCTTTGTGGTATGGTACCTTGCAGTACAATTTCAGAGAGATCCATACACTTGAACACAAGTTATTGTCTGGAAAATAGAAAAATGCTTATTTTTGGCCCCTTTTTGGCCCCCAATTCCTAAACGTTTCGGGCAATTACCCCCAAACTCAATTCCAGCTTTCCCTTTGTGATATGGAACCTTGTAGTACAATTTCAGAAATATCCAAACACTTACACACAAGTTATTGTCATGAAACTAGAAAAATGCTTGTTTTTTGCCCCTTTTTTGGCCCCTAATTCCTAAAATTTTGAGGCAATTACCCCCAAAATCAATTACAGCCTTCCCTTTGTGATAAGGAACCTTGTGGTACAATGTCAGAGAGATCCATACACTTACACACAAGTTATTGTCTGGAAGTTACAAAAATGCTTATTTTTGGCCCCTTTTTTGGCCCCTAATTCCTTAACTGTTGGTACCATAACCCCCAAAAGCAATCCCAACCTTCCTTTTGTGGTATTGAACCTTATGGTAAAATTTCATGGAGATCCATTTACTTAAACTAAAGTTAGAGTGCGAAAACCAATGTGTCTTCGGACGACGCAGGATGACGACGACGACGACGACGACGCCAACGTCATACCAATATACGACCAAAAAATTTTTAATTTTTGCGGTCGTATAAAAAACACCACTTTTAGCACTATTGGCTATGTAGTGGTGGCCACCCTTGTGGTGGAGGAAGCCTGAGTTTTCCGGAGAGAACCATTTCCTTCAGCAGGAAAGTTGGAAATCCTAGTCAATTAAGATTGCAGTGAACACACCTGTCACTTGCGTGGTTTGAACTCACCTCACCATTGACGGGCTAGTGAAACAGTAGACAAACTACTTAGATTGCTTTGCCACTACAGCCCCTTTTTAGGAAGCATGGCTTCCAAAAGGGTTGTATTTTCTGGATTGTTCTGCAAATTTTATTTGTGTCCTAGTGACAGTTAGCTGAAATGGACACTTAATAAGGGTTTGCCATTTTAAACAAGAATGTGTACATAGTACACTGATGCCCCACTCGCACTATCATTTTCTTTGTTCGGTGGACTGTGAAATTGGGGTCAAAACTCTAATTTGGCATTAAAATTAGAAAGATCATATCATAGGGAACATGTGTACTAAGTTTCAAGTTGATTGGACTTCAACTTCATCAAAAACTACCTTGACCAAAAACTTTAACCTGAACAGGCACTATCATTTTCTATGTTCAGTGGACCGTAAAATTCGAGTCAAAACTCTTATTTGGCATACAAATTAGAAAGATCATATCATAGGAAACATGTGTACTAAGTTTCAAGTTGATTGGACTTCAACTTCATCAAAAACTACCTTGACCAAAAACTTAAACCTGAAGCGGGACAGACGGACGAAAGGACGTACTGACGGACAGACGAACAGACGAACGAACGAACCCACAGACCGAAAAACATAATAATTGATAATGCTCCTAGGTGGGGCATAAAAAACCTGTATTAAAGAATTAATTTGAGTGACTGCAAATTCTGAAAGTTTCAATGATGTTGACTGTGCATCATATAGATTTGATCTATTTTCTTTTGAATTAAATGAAACAATATTTTGTCTTGTTAAAGGTGGATCATTGGTATATATTTCCTCAGATAGAATTTCCTTATACTTTGCCAGAATGTAGATTTTTCAATGCTTTTTTCAAAAATATAATAAAAAGTATGGGTCACTGTGCTATTTTTCAAGCTACAAGTCAAGCAAAATTGCACAAATTTGCACAGATTGTTCATGAAAAAACACTTTTTTTGTTAATAAAAAGAAAACTATGAAATAGAATTTTGAAATGAAATATGAGAAGATATGTATTGAAATATGCTTTAAGAAAATAAAAAGAAAAAATGATGTCACCGACCTTGTTTTCTTGCTACAAGTCAAAATTGAAATTTCTCTATCATTCCTTTAAAAAAATTTAGCCATTTGAGTTATCTCCCCTTAAATGGCTAAGTTGACCATTTGATTCAAACAAACACAAATATTTGGTATTTGATAAATCAGTCAAAATAATGCAATAAATCGTTTATTTTTCTTTATTCCAATGAACAGTCTAACCAATTAATTTATTCCAATGAACAGTCTAACCCATTAATTGCAAATCTGTCTCAAAATTTGCAAATTTAATCAAAAAGCACACACACAATACAATGCAACTCATCACAGTTAAGCTGCTGACCCAATATGAAGATATTCTGTTTACTAGCTTATGAGAAAAATATTTATTGGACAGACGAACAGACAGACAAGGTTATTGTAATATATTCACCACTTTTAGAGTTGCGATATAATTACTATTGATTAATTTGAGCTTACCAATTTCACAGTCATCTAGTATAAATATCTTTGGTTTTCCCTTTAGATCTGAGACTTCATCAAACCTAGTTGTGATGCCCCAATACTCAATCCGCTCTCCATTGGTACCATACATACCATACTGATCACCCCTCGATATAATTATCACAAATAATGAATGATTTACACTAAAATCACGATTCCTTTCATTTTCCAGTATGTCACAGATTTCCTAAAAGAAAAACTCAAAAGTAACATATATATCATTGTTATTCTGTTTATTTTATAAGCTCTTACAAATAATTTCATATTTTCCTACAATGTACAAAAGCTGTGATTTGTAAGTTCTATTATAAAATAATTGAATTGATGGTGTTTTACTAAAATTAGGTACTTTTTAAACAGATACATGTATACTAGGTTTAAATACTTAATATTTCAGTCATGCATTAACACTAACATTCAATTTAAAACATGTTTTCTCGCTTGAACTGTTTTACATTTGTCATTTCGGGGTTTTTTAAAGCTTACTATGCCCTTGGGTTTTGCTCATTGTTGAAGACCTTACAGTGACCTATAGTTCTTAACTTCAAGGTTATTTGGTCTCTGGTGGTGAGTTGTCTGATTGGCAAGCACATCTTCTTTTTTATGTACATTTCATGGAAGGTAGTGATGTTGCTAAGTAATACAGTTTTTCTCAGAAGCTGACTGGAGTTATCATCTGGAAACATTTTCTTTAAGGTATAGGTATTAGAAAAGCTTTATAATCATGATATTGTACTGTTTGAAAGTGTTTTAAAGGACCAACAATTTAAAGGGATAATCCTGGACTGTTATTGCTGAAACTTTAAATCATTTCAATGTACTTTTGATCTTTTACATCAAATGACTATAAGACAGAAATGTGTGAACAAATGGTAAACTTATATCCTTTAGCAAAAATAGACTACAAATAAATAATGATAACTTAATCAAGGAAAGGAAATCCTTGTTTTACAAAACACATTAAGCAACACAACAGGTGCCACATATGGAGCAGCATCTATTTTAATACCCTTTCAGAGCTCCAGTATCTTTCACTTTTTCTTTATACATTTTATATGTAGATTTTTATGAACTGGAAAAGACTTTTCGGAAAAACTCTTCAAACAAAAGTTGAAATACACTCACAGCTGATGTTTTATCTTTATGTATCTGTAAGTCCCATTTGAACTGCTTTTTCATCTGCTGAAGCCATGTACATTCAACGTCTATACCATTTCCTTGATATAAAGCTTTATCTCTACTCTGTTTGTTTAGTATACACAAAACTCTACACTGCTTTCCTGGGTCTGTATCATATGTCTGTAATGAAAAAGAAAAAAAATTACTGAATATTTGAGAAACAATTTATTAATATATAAATAGGTGTACAAAACTGGAAAATTAACAATAGGTAACAAAACTTATCTCTTTCGTGGTAGATTTATGCATAGTGTTTCCAAAATCAAGAAAAAGCATATGGGGTTGCTTTTAGTATAAGATTTATTTAAGGTAAATTTCTGCTGCAGTTGTACTCCCCTGGATGCATCCATATTATACAGACGACTTTCGAATTCATGCACTTTCCCGTAAATTCCTATGTCACAATGTTATTACTTCACAGTTTGAACCAATGTTCGATGACGTAATTTACACCTTTGACCCGGGATCAATCGTTGTAACTCATTCATAAATAAACTGCTTCGCCAACCACAGCTGGATACGACCGCAGAGGTCCAATCCTGAACAGTTGGGGCAAAAAAGGACACAATTTTCAAGCTTGATACAGGTCTGAATTTGGATTGTAATTAAATATTTGACATATTTTAGGTTTCTGACACAGAATAAATGTAGTCAAAGAACTTAAAATTGGTTATATGATTTGATTTTATATTCAATTTTTGGTTTTTTGCAATACACTTTGCATCACCCCCAAAAACAATCCCAACCTTTCTTTAGTGGTATTGAACCTTTTGGTAAAATGTCATAGAGATCCATACACTTAAACTTAAGTTATTGTACGGAAACCAAATGTCTTCAGACGATGATGACGCAGACAACTACACCGATGACGACATGATAGCAATATACTACCCCATGCTGTCGTATAAAAACAACTCGAGATTGGTGTATTATTTTATAATTCTAATCCATTAAGTAACTGAGAAACTAAGAAAAACTTCTTGGAGTAGTTTAGCAGTTCCAGGAAAATATCAGATTCTATAATAGTGTATAGACTTTATATATAAAAATATATATATTAAAATCCATCATAGGTTTGAACGTTGTTTTCAATTTAGACTTGTTTATATTTTTTCGTTTGGGCTTGTATTATATTTGCCTTCAGGTTTATATGATCCGTTCATCCTATTTTGACTCCTCAAAATTCAAGAGTCTATCCTAAACTGAGGTAAATTGTATGACTTTCCAAATACCATTTCGATTCCTAACATCAATGAAGAGACTGGTATTTCTTAATCATAAGAAATCAGATGGACAAGGTATAATTTACATTTGTCATTACACATAGGTAGACATATATACATATATATTTTAACAAGTCTAAATTGAAAACAACTTGGATAAGGAAGTTAAGGACAGTTTTCCCAGAGGGCATAAATAAAATTATTTGTTGTAAGAAGATCAATTCGTCGTTACAGAACCTAAAGTACTACAGATAATGTCTTTGCTTGTATCCCAAAATGAAAACACCGGCAAACCATTGTTAGCTCATCACAACGTTTTGGTTTATGCTTTACAAAATATTACCCAGAATGCATTAGTTTCTGCAACAGTGAATTTGTAATGTAGAATATTGTTTCTTACCCTGTTTGACAGGAAATTCTCATCTAAATATTTCTTTCCTTTCTTTATCATATTCAGAGAATATGTCTCTGATGAAGGCCATCCTGTAATTATAAAGTACAATAAACATCTTTGTTTTTAATATTGTGGAATACATAAATTCAGATTAAACGCATCATTTAATATTGCAAACCAACAATGATAATAATATAAAAGATTAGCAATCCATTGTCCCCAGCTGAGGCACATAGTTTATATGTCCAAGGCCAAAAACTCCAGTAAATGTTTGTTTAGTATCTTTTAAACTTTTTCATAAGCATCTGATTAGAATTTTAGGAGTATAAAACTATGATTGATAACAATGTAATTTTCCACATAATTTCTATTTCCAAATAGTTGATCAATGCTTACTTTCAAATCAATCACAGACATTGCTAATAATAACAATCCTGTAAGCAAAGTAGGTTTGAAAGAGCTTACATACAATTTTCCATATAATTTATATTTCCAAGGGGCATTACTCCTTTTCGTTGATTTTCTGACTCGAACAGACATTGCTTGTATAATCTTTAATACAAATTTTATTTGTTTTTCCCTTTTTGTCGAGCCTTCGACTTTTGTCGAAAAAGCGAGACATAGCGATCCTACATTCCGTCGGCGGCGGCGGCGTCCACAAATATTCACTCTGTGGTTAAAGTTTTTGAAATTTTAATAACTTTCTTAAACTATCCTGGATTTCTACCAAACTTGGACAGAAGCTTGTTTATGATCATAAGATAGTATCCAGAAGTAAATTTTGTAAAAAAAAAATTCCATTTTTTCCGTATTTAACTTATAAATGGACTTAGTTTTTCTGCCAGGAAACATTACATTCACTCTGTGGTTAAAGTTTTTGAAATTTTGATAACTATCTTTAACTATCCTGGATTTCTACCAAACTTGGAAAGAAGCTTGTTTATGATCATAAGATAGTATCCAGAAGTAAATTTTGTAAAAAAAAAAAATCATTTTTTCAGTATTTTACTTATAAATGGACTTAGTTTTTCTTCCAGTTAACATTACATACAGTCTGCAGTTTAAGTTTTTAAAACATTTATTAGATTCATAAACTATCTTGGATTTTTACCAAACTTGGACAGAAGCTACTTACAATCAAAGGATAGTATAGAGAGGAATATTTTTATTAATTTTTTTCCTCATTTTTGTTGAGCCTGCGATTAACAGCAAAAGTAGGCGAGACACTGGGTTCCGCGTAACCCTTACAAATTTTTTTGCCCATAATTCCTAAATGGTTTGAGCCATAACCCCCCAAAGTCAATCCTAACCATCCCTTTGTAGTATGGAAACTTGTGGTATAATTTCAGAGAGATTCATACACTTTAACACAAGTTATTGTCTGGAAACTACAAAAATGCTTATTTGGGCCCCTTTTTTGGCCCCTATTTCCTAAACAGTTGGACCATAACCCCAAAATCAATCCCAACCTTCCTTTAGTGGTTATAAACCTTGTGTTAAAATTTTATTGATTTCTATTACTTATACTAAAGTTATTATCCGGAAACCATCTGTCTTCAGACGACGCTGACGACGTTAATTTTTCACTGTGTATAATTTTCGCAAAATAGAATAAAATGCTCCGCTGGGCGCAGCTTGATACGACCGCAGAGGTCTAACCCTGAACAGTTGGGGCAAGTATGGACACAACATTCAAGCTTGATACAGCACTGAATTTGGATTGTGATTAAATATTTGACACAGCATAGGTTTCTGACACAGAATGAATGTGGTCTAAGAACTTAAAAATTTTTAATTTACCTATTCAAACCATATCATTATTATTTGCTTTTATAAAATTGTTATAATATTCGAATTAGCTCTCGCCGCGATATAGCCTTTCTGTGCTAATGCGACGTAAAGCAAACAACAATCAATCAATCAATTTGCTTTTATATATAAATAAGAAATAACCAATTTAAAATGGAAAATTTTAAAGAAAAAAAATCTCCCCCCCCAAATTTTTTGAACCCCCTTATGATTCATCACCCCCAAACTCAATCCCAGCCTTCCCTTTGTGGTATGGAACCTTGCAGTACAATTTCAGAGAGATCCATACACTTGAACACAATTTATTGTCTGGAAACTAGAAAAATGCTTGTTTTTAGGCCCCTTTTTGGCCCCAAATTCCAAAATGTTTAGGGTAATTACCCCCAAACTCAAACCCAGCTTTCCCTTTGTGATATGGAACCTTGTAGTACAATTTCATAAAGATCCATACACTTACACACAAGTTATTGTCCTGAAATTAGAAAAATGCTTGTTTTTTTCCCCTTTTTGGCCCCTAATTCCTAAAATTTTGAGGCAATTACCCCCAAAATCAATCCCAGCCTTCCCTTTGTGGTATGGTACCTTGCAGTACAATTTCAGAGAGATCCATACACTTGAACACAAGTTATTGTCTGGAAACTAGAAAAATGCTTATTTTTGGCCCCTTATTCCAAAACGTTTTGGGCAATTACACCCAAACTCAATTCCAGCTTTCCCTTCGTGATATGGAACCTTGTAGTACAATTTCAGAAAGATCCATACACTTACACACAAGTTATTGTCATGAAACTAGAAAAATGCTTGTTTTTTGCCCCTTTTTTGGCCCCTAATTCCTAAAGTTTTGAGGCAATTACCCCCAAAATCAATCCCAGCATTTCCTTTGTGATATAGTACCTTGTGGTACAATGTCAGAGAGATCAATACACTAACACACAAGTTATGTCTGGAAGTTACAAAAATGCTTATTTTTGGCCCCTTTTGGGCCCCTAATTCCTTAACTGTTGGTACCATAACCCCCAAAATCAATCCCAACCTTCCTTTTGTGGTATTGAACCTTATGGTAAAATTTCATAGAGATCCATTCACTTAAATTAAAGTTAGAGTGCGAAAACCAATGTGTCTTCAAACGACGACGACGACGCCAACGTCATACCAATATACGACCACAAAATTTTTTTTTGCGGTCGTATAAAAATACATGCGAAAAAATCCCTGTCTTGTGTTGTTAAAATGATGTAAACAACATTAAATTGATTGACTGACAGATAATTGATTACAAATAAATATAAGTACTACAAACTAAGTACAAGTTATACCTTTGAACTACACAGAAATCAGACATCGGGTTATGACAACAATCAATAGTTCATCGCTAATTAACATCTTTGAACATATCACTGATTGCTGTATAGTTCAAAGGTATAACTTGTTCATGTATGTTATTATTATTATAAAATAGAGATCCTAATTAAATATGCACATTCTTGTGATCTGTCGATCAACACAAAAGACTCATTTTATATATAATGTTATTTCACTTTTAGGATGGAAAGAGTTTACTGGTCAATTTCATGTATATTTGACAATTAAACTGCTAATAGTTTTATGCATATAAATGTATGAAACACTTAAGCAGCAATAAATCTGGTAATATACAGGGAAATTTTTGCGGTGTCAAAATTTTCGAGTTTCCTAAGCCATTTTTGTAAGCTACTGCAAACAAAGCGAATAATTAAACACACAAAAAAAACTGATATACAGTATATCAAAACGCTTCTAAGCAAGGGTATAATTAATACAAGAGTTGAGACAGGATGGGACCCTGAAGCTCAACATACAATTTTCTTTCAGACATAGGGAAATAAATATGCCAACTTGAATAAAGTTTTCTTCATTCTGTACATTAACTTGAAATGGATCCCTTTTTACCAGGTTTGGGTGAAAAAAACTATCCAAGGTTACATTTGTACTATGGCTAGTTTTCATTGTCAGTAATCAGTAACAATTTCACCAGAATGCAGACACATAAGTATTTTGAATAAATTGTAAAGACAGAGGGGTACATTTTTGTGCTTCAAAAAGCAGATGAACAAGTTAAGGTAAGCCCTGGTAAGTACATTAAGGGTATGCCACCCAACATAAGACAGATTCTATCTTTTAATAAGTGCCCACTAATTACCTATTTGCCGACATATAAGAACGTACATATATTGACTTTAATACATTAGAGTGGGGATTGCAGACCTGACTACCTCTTCACAATATATAAAACACTTCCTTTAATACATTACAGTGCAGAGTTGTCCAAACATTTATTTTTAGTTCTTTGTGAGTATGAATTTGTTATAACTTTTTGGCGTATGAAATTTATTTTTTCCTGGAACTATTTGTCCCTATATCTTACATGAGTAGTATTTGGTCAGCTGGAAACATTGATACCTTCACCTCCTATTTCAATGAATTTTTTTCAAAGATGTATAATTCTAAAGGAAACTATTTTTACCGTCAAGTAATAGTGTATTGTGATCCACTGGGATATCTAGTACATCAGACCGATCCCTTGGAGGTTCTGATGCTGAACTTGTTTGTCTGGGAATTGATTCATGTACACCACTACTTGCTGAATCTTGGTGGGATATACTACGTGATGTGGTCTCCACTAGACTAGCTAGAGGAGGATATCTTGCACTGTATTGGGCTTCTAGTTCTGCCTGTGTTTTCTCAGCTGCTTTTTGACTTAATTCCCTTTCAGCTATGTTGTCAACTAAAAGAAATACTTTCAACTTAATTACTTATTATCGGTACAAGTTATATTAAAAATGAGGCACTTTTAAATATTACTTATATAAGTTAATTTTATTAATATCATTTACAGAGGTGTGCAACATGTCCATTATATTTGAAAGCTGATTCCAAATGTAGATTTGAGATCAAATGTCCTCTTGACTTTAGGCCAGTAAAATTATGACTTATGTCAATTGTTATGGTAAAATCGAAAGGAACTGATTTCATGAATATCTTTCATATTTATGAAGTATCTTCATGATCTTTATTATATACTTAGTAGTAAATACTAGTAATGTCAACGAGTACTCGAGTATTCGAGTATCGCTCAGTAGTACCCAGTATCGAATACCAAAACGATACTCAACTACTCGGTTTCCTGTTAGAATATTGCTGTCTTCTTTATATAAAATTGATCTTCTTGAGAACCTCTTTCGGAAAATTAAATAGACATCACTGGTTAATCATACTAGTAAATAAAATACATTTTGTTTCGAATTCTTGTGCTAAATTGTCATTTAAAATGCCTCCAAAAATATGTGGCCTATACCTATAGGCTAACACTTTAAACTAAACATGTCTAAGCCATTCTGTCACATCGGTACCGTCAGAGCAAATTTTTTGTCTGCAAGACTGTGTAAGTTACAAAATTGCGAAACCGACTGTCCCCAATAATAGTTGACAAGAAAATGTTTCCAAATAAAATGAATTCTTTGCATCCTCTGGTGACCCTCAGTGAAAAGTTAAACTTCTAATCAGGTTACATCCTGGTTTGCCCACTTTTAATTACCGCAATTATCAAATGGTTATATAAACAAAAAAGACAAAAGGTTTACTGATTGGAAAATGGTATAGTCTTTTCCAGTTAACTTATTTTGCTATTCTATATGTAGATATATCTCTGTAAAATTCTATAGGATAAGTTTGTATGCAATTGATGCGTATTATAACGTATTTTTTTCTTCATACATTTGGTTGTGAAATTTTCATTGAAAAAAATAAAATAAAAAAAAAACGAACTCCAAGGAAAATTAAAATCGAAAAGTCCTTATCAAATGGCAAAATCAAAAGCTCATGAGCATCAAACAAATGGAAAACAACTGTCATATTCCTGACTTGATACAGGCATTCCCTTATGTAGAAAATGGTGGATTAAAATTGGTTTTGTAGCTAGATAAACCTCTCACTTGTATGACAGTCACATAAAATTCCATTATATTGACAACACTGATTTGATTCTTTGAAGCAGAAAAATGAAAATGAATAATAAATTGATTTTGATATATATTTTTAAAAGCACTAAAACAATTAACATTGTCAATATTACATACATATCATTAGCACTGAAATTTATCATTCATAATGCATTTAAAGCATCAAATATGATATGCAAACATAACATTGGAAACAATTACAAATTTCATGTACAAGAATGTCTTTAATTTAAGTGCAGAACTGTAACCTAAAATAATGTGTTAAAATGAATTAAGATAAAGATGAATAGATAGAAATCTGATTACAATTATTTTTTTTATTAGTTTATGAATATATTTTTATTTTATAATCTCATTTGTAATTCTTATGACATTAGTTTTTGTTATAATATTTTTCCTTTTTAAATCTCACTATTGAATCAATTTTCAATAATAAATATGTATTCTTTATAAGATTTTACGCCTTTGTAAACATTAAATGTGTTTTCTTAATGATTACCAAATACTATTGTTTGATATGGTTTTTCCTTGTTGCAATTTTTAAATAGGTGTTCATTAAATTATATTGATTAGATAATTGTTTTTTTTACTTAATTAGTACTTATAGGTAATGAGCTATTAATGGTGTGTAATTCTTTATACCAGATACTTATAAATTAGATGGATTTTCGTCCGTTAAACAACAAACCACAGAATGTAAAATACTTATTTTTGTGTTTCCGTGTTGTAGATATATTCCCGAGCGAGAACTCAAGTATCACTCGATAAAATCAATGAGTACTCGATTAGTTATTGTTCACCGAGTTGACATCCCTAGTAAATACAGATAAATTGTATGCGTAATATAGTCAACGGCAATCGTGCTGTATCAGCCATCCGCGATGATATCAATATCAGTCATGGTTGCAAAGGCTTTATCACACCTTTAATCTGTATGACGTCATGTCATCGATATCAGTCACTGTTGCAAAGGCTTTACTAAACCCCTAATCTGTATAACATCATGTCATATAAAAAAACATCTACTTGAGGTATATAATAAAGTGTATATGATATGGCTTTTTCAATATCACAAACCGTATCAACCCTCAACCAATATAATTCCTCTAACAGAGCTCTTAGGATTATATTGGTGTCTCGGATTGATGCAGGTGTGATATTGGAAAAGCCATATGATATTCTCTATGTATTGCATATCTTATTCCAAAATTATGAGCATAGCTATTAGTAAAGTCCAAATTACACAAGAGTGTTTCAGATAATAAATTATTAATCTTATTTTTGTATTTTTAACTACCAAGGGGCAATCTTGTTAAAATAAATGGGGAATGTGTCCATGGGACACAAATGATGCCCCTGCTTGCATATAATGTTATTAAGGGACATAACTCAAGAACGGTAAAAGTGATGCCACCAAAATTCAAACTTGATCTGTGTTTTGTGGTAATGAGCATTGTGCATAAGATTCATAACATTTGGTAGAGGCAAACTTGAGTTAGAGAACAAAAACGAAAAATTCAGCCAATTTTCCAATTGTAAAGGGGCATAACTCTAGAAAGGTAAAAGTGGCACCACCCAAATTCAAAATTGATCTGTGTTTTGTAGTAATAAGCATTGCATATAAGTTTCATAACATTTGGTTGATGCAAACTAAAGTTAGAGAACGGAAACCAATTTATGGATGTATGGACTGATGGACAAGGGCAAAACTTAATGCCCCCTCCACTATGGCGGGGGCATAAAAAAAGGAAAGTTGATACTGCACTATAGACAAGATGTCTGTTTGAGAGGTCAATCAGCAATGTTCTTACCTTCTATTTCTAGTTGTAGTTTACCATCTGTTAAATTCAAAGCCTGAATCAGATCAGAATTTGTTGCCATAGAAATTTTGTCACCATATTCATCTGTAGATTATATTATTGTATAAAGGTATGAAAACTGACAAGAAATAAGACACAAGTTTACGAAATGAACATAAATCATGTTTAATCATCTGTTTCAAAATATTGTTTGTACACATTTTATGCAATTTCTAGAAAAATAGATTCTCCTTCTGGTGTGATCAATATTCTTTGACAAGATTTTAACAGGTGATTTAAATAAAAAGGCCTTCACATATATATATATATATACTGCTGCTGTGCTATTTGCGCATTCATATTGCATTGACCATGTTGACCATATAAGCATTTGTGATATACTGTCACTGACAGTATATTGCCTTGTTTATGAAGTTGGCAATCCGTTTCCGTAGAGTTTTATTTATGACGTCATTAAAAGGTACAGATTCGCAGAATTTTTATGTCGTTCGCTCCAAATTAAAAAATGATGGTTTTTACCCTAAATATTTCATTTGGAACAGTTATAGGTCCTTATAGGAGTTGCAGTATATAAAGATTAACCATACATTGTCTTGAAATATAAATTTTATTCCGCTCGGCTCAAAACAGGATAGAAATGCTCGGCAGAGCCTCGCTTTCTACCTGTTTCTAAGCCTTGTACAAATAAAATTTATATTTCGAGACAATGTAAGGTTATTCTATATATATTTTAATTTGTTCTTCCAGGGAAATGAGGGAGATCGATACGATCTACACATGCTACAATTAATATCAATGTTCTTTTCAAATATATTTGCTCAAAATGAGCTACATTTTGTATCAATATCAAAATTACCTTTCCAGAACAATTTTAAAAATACATTTGGTTGGTTAAGAAGTGGAAATTTTCTCCTGATATCGTTTTTTAAACTGTCTAATGATTGTTCTGTTCTTGATATCTGCAGCATCCGATGTTCCTTAATTGCCAATGTGACCTTCACCCCATTTACTTTATCAGCCATTGTGATTGAAATCAAATTTTCTCAATATCACATCATCTACAAAACATTATAAAATCATCATCATGATCATAAAATTTATTCAATGTAATTATACATTGTATGTATGAAGATTGTGCTACTTGTAAAAGATATACTTGTTATAGATATTTCCCCCCAATTTTACATGTATCCATTAATGTATAAAAATATATCATTTTCTGTTGATGCAAACAGGATGTATATTTATCTTACCTCTTATACATTTCTAGGAATATCATTGGTAAAAAGCGACCGGGTGGAAACAGTGTCACTGTGAATATTTAATATGGGGTTAGAAGGTGTGGTTTATTTTAAGACACGGTTAGTAGTGGTGTTAAGTCCCTTTAAACAAGGAATTATTTGGATCTGGAATAATTTTGAATTCTGGAAAAATGATGAGTAATTTATGATGAAAACTAACCCAACTAAATAGGGTCAGCCATGCGCGCATGGCTAAGGGGGGTTAGTTAGTTCATACTGAAATGATAGTGAAATTGCATGGCTAACCCTATTTAGTTGGGTTAGTTTTCATCATACATTTCTAATCAATTTTCCAGAATTCATAATTATTCCAGATTCAAATAATTCCTTGTTTTTAAAGAAACAACATGGCGTTGAGGAAAAATCTGAAACGTTTCGCCCCGACAATGATGAAGTAATTGATGATGAACTATATTGAAATAAATGCAGAAAACACATTAAAAGCTAAGTTGTTATCATGACTTATTGTTGGCATTTGTTTTTGTATAGACCAATGGAAGTAGGTTTTTTATATTAAAGACTTGATCACTTTGAAAGGCCACTAGACTAAATAATAAAATGCCACATGTTAAGATAGTCGATAAAATTAATTCGTTACACAGTGTGCTAGTGACCTAATATGATGTATACATGATATATGGGGTCAGTAAATTCTATATATATAATATATCGTATTAGGTCACTAGCACACTGTGTAACTAATAATATTATATCTAACAAGCATTCTGAGTGTTAAAACATTAATGGGCAATATAATGTCCCCTTCTGGTTGTTATGTTCACAATTGGATGTGTTTTCACTTATATTGGACAAACATCATGTTTCCAACTGATGTCATGGATGTACATGTACAAATGTAGAATACAGAATTGCAATATGTTCATGTTGATGGGCCAGATTTCCTGTAAATGTATTTAACATGTTTAAAGATGACAATACTGAAAATTAAACAACTACTGGCCCAAACCAATCCTTAAGGAATCTAACTTAAACAAATTGTCCATGACTTTATGGCCACAAGCTGCCAACAACGTCAGCAAAAATCATTTAAATGAAACAAAACTCAAACTCAATATGTAACTTTGTATTTTAGGACTCTATACTTGTATATATCTGCCTACCCTTCCAGAGCACCTCCCAGTTTTTGGTGAGGTTAATGTTGCTCAGTCTTTAGTTTTCTATGTTGTGTTTTATGTGCTGTTGTTTGTCTGTTGGTCTTTTTCTTATTTTAGCCATGGTGTTGTCAGTTTATTTTCGACTAATGAGTTTTTTTGTCCCTTTGATATCTTTTGCCTCTCTTTTGTACCTTATATTTAATTTACTGATTAAGGCATTACAGAAATAAGTACAGAAAACTGAGATTTTCAGGCACTTTTTAATTTCCATGGGCAAAAACTTTAGCAAAAAATGCTCAACCAGGACATAATTCAATATCAATCTGTAACTGTGTACAAAATATCTAATCAAAAGATTCATGAATTACAGAAAAAGAAAATACAGCAGACATTCTTGACATATGTAACTGATATTTCAAAGCAATTTTCTATTTCCATCATGTCCATGGGCCAAATGATGGCCCAAACTTCCGCAAAAATGCTCAAATAAAACAAATATCAAACTCAATCTGTAATTTCTTATAATAATAACTGAAAACCAAACATCTAATCAATTACTTTAGGCATTACAAAGATTAGTTAAAAAAACTTTTTTTCAAGCAATTTTTCTATTACCATGTATGCATGCTAGTGCAACAACTTGGATAAAATTAGCTACATTATCACTGAACTAGTATATATATTTGTTTAGGGGCCAGCTGAAGGATGCCTCCAGGTGCGGGAATTTCTCGCTGCATTGAAGACCTGTTGGTGACCTTCTGCTGTTGTCTGTTCTATGGTCGGGTTGTTGTCTCTTTGACACATTCCCCATTTCCATTCTCAATTTTATCATGGACATGCATGACCATGATGGCAGACCTCAAATCCATCTGTACCTTCTTATGTCAGATATATGACTGTATACAAAATATCCAAACAATTAAAGCAACAGGGAAAAGTTTGCTGAGGACTTATTGGGTTGTTATGAAGGACAGACAGTGCATGAGCTTCGTTGGTAGAGAAAATTGGATATGACTGTCTCATTGACAATCATACCACATCTCTTTATTTCTATGTTAATCATCAAAAAGAGAAAAACAAAGTGTTTTTGATACTGTGAGTCCCTAGAATGAAGAAAATGAAGATCATGTTTAGGATACTGATTAATTTATTTTGAAATCACAATCACAATCTGTCAACAGTTCCTGACACCCCTTATAGACACCCAAGTTTAACAGGTAGAAGAAGTTGGAGTTCAATCTTGTAGACCACCCTCATGACCCTGGCCCTGTGCTTCGATAAGTTAAGTGTAAAGACTGGGACATGTGAAATATACATGTAAAATACTTTACATAAGACCTTATTATAATAAATTTCAAAGCTATGAATTACTGAGATGGGTAAAATACTAGAGTTTTATGAAATGCATCACTTCGCCTTCGCCTTCGGAAAATGGGATTGTCATTTCGTGCAACTTTCATTTCTGTACATTTGCACTTCTTTAAAACGTAAAAGGTAATTTGAATTGTTTTTTCTTAGTTTAATCATGCTAATTACGTTTCTAAACAGTTTATTATTAAATAGTTCACAATTACAGTCGAACTTTTAGTTTGTAGCCATGTAGCTTAGGGAAATCCCCTATTGTAACCAGGATGATATATCGAAATAATGCCTTTATTACTTAAACTATGAACTTTCAGTTGTTTAACAGGTTTATTTCGAGGTTTTTCTATGAGAATGTAGGAGCAAAAGTGATAAACTAACTTTTAATATATGTATTCTTACTTTGACAAGATCATTCCTCCGGCTTTCTGCTTTGTTTTCTTTTCTGAGAATTAAATTTAGAAATTGTACAGCGACGGACAGGACATGTGATTATTTCCGATAAACAATATTTCATATTATATTTCCAGTTTTTATGCTCATTTCCATAAAAAAAAAAAATCTTCACGAGTCCGCAAAGGACTGGAAAATTTGTAAGAGTCAAACCCGCCAAAATCTAGTGGAATATGTAACGTAACAGTACTGTAAGTAACCAAATTGCAGCGACCCATTTAGAAAAAATAGCAGCGAAAACCAGAGACATATATACACATATATGTACAGACTGTATATATGTCTCTACGAAAACTTAGTCTTACAAGTTTTCTTGGAGACTAAACAATTTGCATTTCATGATTTGAAATTATGCACGTCTTTCAATATTGCCTAATATATTCAAATATACACACAGTATGTATCAACAGATGAAGTATTCTGTGAAAAGTAAAATCTGCAGAAACGTCGCCATGTGACGTCCACAAGTCAAGTTTTTAAAAATGAGCCATTAAAAAATGTCACAGGCATTCCGTGGAGCACTTGGAAGACACCGCAATGAAACGCTGCTTGTAAGGTCACTTATGCAATTTAGGTATCAAATTCACTGAAGAGGGGGGCCAACCCCCCCCCCCCCCTCCCACTGAAGGAAGATCCAATTCTTCATCTTTGGTTGAAATAAAACAGACCTGATATTCCTCTTTGCTAAATGTCGTAGACATGAGCAATTCAAATTTACAGGACCAACCTCTATAGAAGTGATTAGATTAATGATAAACCTATCACGGATTGAGATCACGGAATAGAGAACTTCGGGTTCATTCCAAATGAGTGAAAACAGCTACTGCTAATGTAAATCAACTCATCATAGACACCAGGATTAAACATGTTAAAGGTTTCAACGTATGCCAGACGCGCGTTTTGTCTAACTTGGGCTCAGAAGACTCGCATCACTCGAAAATCACCAAATTTAAAAAAAGCCAGTTGAAGAGCATTGCATGAGGATCCAAAATTCTGAAAGGTTTTGCCAAATACAGCTAGAGTAATCTATTCCTTGGGGTAAAAAAAAACCCTAGTATTTCGAAAAAAGTTTTGTAAACAGTTGATTTAAAGGGTGTCTTCCCGATTGTCCCACTTTTTGAATTTACAGGTAAAAAAGTAATGAAATTTTGTGGGACAATCGGGAATGTGTTTGTGGGACAATTGGGAATTGTTTTGATAGTGATTATAATTTGATTTTATAGTGTATAGCAGGTAGTTACAGGTAAATAATCAGTGTAAATCATAAAATATGAAATAAAAATAAACAAAAAATCATGAATATTTGCACAGAATATAGTATCATCAAACATAGAATATAATATTGAGTCAAAAAATATCACATATCAAGCACTTGTCTACTCAATTCTTCATAAAAGTGTACTGAAGAGTTACAATTCAATTCTTTATTACTTTGAACAATACAGTTCATCAGTATAGTATGCATAAATATACGATTTACAAGTTGTATAGCGTTAACAAACACATAAATAATAAACGTCAGAAATAAGTCACAAATTATACAGTTTGTGAGTTTCAGAATAGAATAGAATAGAATAGAATATTTTTATTTCCCAAATTACAGGGCCCATAAAGGGCATAAAATCAGATACAATTGATTTACATAATTGGTAACAACAACAATAATAGTCACTTGAAAATATATATTTAGTATATTAGCATTGGTCAGAATCAGAGCCAAAAACCACATATATATTGTGAATAAAAGAATAAAATTACATTATATGCATTCATTCTCAAATCATTTACTACATATAATATACATATGTCTTCATGCGTAAAATGTATCTCTTGTTTAGCTTGATCATATAGCCGTTGTCTTGTTAATTGTTAAAATGAACTATCCAAACAAAGTAACGATTGGTTGTCCCAATAATCATTCATACCAAGGTCATATAACAGTGTTTTAATACAAGTTGCCCAGTTTTTGCACTTGTTACTATTTGCTACTAATTCTTTGTAGCATGGCTTTATAATACAATTTCACTACCGGGAATTTTAGACCATAATTTGAGCATCCTAAAATTTCGCTCATATAACAATGGAAATCTTCCTAATTCATAATATACCATTACATATGGTATTTGCTGTTGGATCCGAATTTTCCAGGTCTTCTAGTGCATGGAACAGACGTACGCGTCTTCTTCTATTTATGCATGTGGTACCAGAAAAAGAACTGGTGTCCTGCGTATAAGTTGATGAATGTCTGGTTCTCCTTTATAGTCGGTCACGAGTCCTGTTGCCTGCACTTTACGCCAAATACATTGGTAATAGTGAAAAAACCCTTAAATAGTGATTCATGGAAAGGATTAACTGGCAGAATTCTGGAAAGCAGCTTTGTTATCAATGAAGCAAGTTGTTGGGTTTAGGTGAATCTGACTGTGGGTGTAAGCAGTCTTCAGTAGTGAGAATCTTGTGTAAATGACATCTGACTTCCCTGGTAAAAGTGCAAGGACTAGCGGAATCATCTCTTCATCAACCAGTGCGTGTAGAGTGTAGAGTGTAAAAAGTTTATACTTTTTTTTAATGTAATTACAGTTTTGATATTTGTTTTATAATTAAACGGAAGATTATAGATATATATTCCATAAATCATAAATGTTATATTATGTAATCAAAAGTGCATTAATCTGACGATTTACAAAAAAAAATCATGTTTTATAGAATATAGATATATATTCTATAAATCATAAATGTTATATTATTTAATCAAAAGTGCATTAATCTGACGATTTACAAAAAAAAATCATGTTTTATACTTTTATAAAATTTATATTAAATAATAGTTTGAACATGCAATAATTAATTCTTGTTTATTTAGCAAAACAAACAATAGCTTCAAAAATTGTTTATTTAAGAACATTTTACTTCATAAAATAATGTGGGACAATCAGAACTTTTCATGAGGGACAATCAAAACTTTAAAAATTTTAAAAGTGGGACAATCTGGAATTGACCATATCAATGATAATTAATGTCAACACAAAAGTTCTGCCTACTGGGCTGGTGATACCCTCGGGGAGGAAACCTCCACCAGCAGTGTCATCGACCCAATGGTTGTAAATCAACTCATCATAGATACATGTATCAGGATTAAAATTTTGTACCAGACGCGCGTTTCGTCTACAGAAGACTCATCTGTGACGCTAGAATAAAAAATGTGGATAGTGTCCACATGTGGACACAGATGATGCCCCCGCTTGTACATCATATAGTTATAAAGGGACATAACAGAAGAACTGTAAAAGTGACGCTACCCAAATTTGAATTTGATCTGAGTTTTGTGGTCATTATAGCATTGTGTGTAAGTCTCATAACATTTGGTTGAGGCTAACTTAAGTAGAGAACAGAAACTAAAAATTTACAAATTCAGCATTTTTTTCTATTTGTAAACACGCATAACTCTAGAACGATTGTGTATAAGTTTTATAACATTTGGTTGAGACAAACTAAAGTTAGAGAACGGAAACGAAAAATTCAGCAATTTTTATGTTTATAAAGGGACATAACTCAAGAATGGTAAAAGGGTCGCCACCAAATTTCGTACTTACTCTGTATTATGTAGTAATAAGCATTGTGTATAAGTTTTATAACATTTGGTTGAGGCAACTAAAGTTAGAAAACTGAAACAAAAATTAATTTATCAGTAGGAAGTAAAATTGAATATTGCATTGTATAAAGTATTGGTTGTAGTTGATTCAACTACCATTATGCACAAAGAAAGATAACTCCAATTTTCAAAGAAGACTTAAAAATATTTTTTAGAAATGAAGCTTTAATTTATCAGTGGAAGGCAAAATTAAACATTGCATTGTATAAAGCATTGATTGTAGTTGATTCCACTATAATCATGGACAAAGGAAGATAACTCCAATTTTAAAAATGACTTGATATTTAGAAAAAAAAGAAAAATTTAACAATTTTTATACGACCGCAAAACAATTTTGCGGTCGTATATTGGTATGACGTCGGCGTCGTCGTCCGAAGACACATTAGTTTTCGCACTCTAACTTTAGTTTAAGTGAATTGATCTCTATGAAATTTTACCATAAGGTTCAATACCACAAAAGGAAGGTTGGGATTGATTTTGGGGGTTGTGGTACCAACAGTTAAGGAATTAGGGGCCAAAAATAAGCATTTTTGTAACTTCCAGACATAACTTGTGTGTTAGTGTATGGATCTCTCTGACATTGTACCACAAGGTTCCATATCACAAAGGGAATGCTGGGATTGATTTTGGGGGTAATTGCTTCAAAATTTTAGGAATTAGGGGCCAAAAAGGGGCAAAAAAACAAGCATTTTTCTAATTCTATGACAATAACTTGTGTGTAAGTGTATTGATCTTTCTGAAATTGTACTACAAGGTTCCATATCACAAAGGGAAAGCTGGAATTGAGTTTGGGGGTAATTGCCCAAAGTTTTCAGGAATAAGGGGCCAAAAAGGGGCCAAAAATAAGCATTTTTCTAGTTTCCATACAATAACTTGTGTTTGATTTCATGGATCTCTCTGAAATTGTACTGCAAGGTACCATACCACAAAGGGAAGGCTGGGATAGAGTTTGGGAGTAATTGCCTCAAAATTTTAGGAATTAGGGGCCAAAAAGGGCCAAAAAACAAGCTTTTTTTCTAGTTTTATGACAATAACTTGTGTGTAAGTGTATTGATCTTTATGAAATTGTACAACAAGGTTCCATATCACAAAGGGAAAGCTGGAATTGAGTTTGGGGGTAATTGCCCAAAACGTTTAGGAATTTGGGGCCTAAAAACAAACATGTTTCTAGTTTCCAGACAATAACTTGTGTTCAAGTGTATGGATCTCTCTGAAATTGTACTGCAAGGTACCATACCACAAAGGGAAGGCTGGGATTGAGTTTGGGGGTGATGAATCATAAGGGGGTTCAAAAAATTTTGGGGAGGGATATTTTTTTCCTTTTTTTTCTTTAAAATTTTTCATTTTAAATTGGTTATTTCTGATTTATATATAAAAGCAAATAATAATGATATGGTTTGAATAGGTAAATTAAAATTTTTTAAGTTCTTAGACCACATTCATTCTGTGTCAGAAACCTATGCTGTGTCAAATATTTAATCACAATCCAAATTCAGTGCTGTATCAAGCTTGAATGTTGTGTCAATACTTGCCCCAACTGTTCAGGGTTCGACCTCTGCGGTCGTATCAAGCTGCGCCCAGCGGAGCATTTTATTCCATTTGTAAAGGGCATAACTCTAGAACAGTAAAAGTGACGGCACCAAAATTCAAACTTGATCTGTTTATTATGGTAATAAGCATTGTGTATAAGTTTCATAACATTTGGTAGAGGCAAACTTAAGTTAGAGAACGGAAACGAAAAAGTTAGCATTTTTTTCATTTGTAAAGGAGCATAACTCTAGAACGGTAAAAGTGACGCCACCAAAATTCAAACTTGATCTGTATTTAGTGATAATAAGCATTGTGTACAAGTTTCATAATATTTGGTTGAGACAAACTTAAGTTGGAGAACGGAAACCAACTCTGGGACGTACGGACGTACAGACGGACAAGGGTTAAACTTAATGCCCCTCCGCTACGGCGGGGGCATACAAAAGTTAAAAATGCCGAATATAAAGTACGATCTATTTTTTTAGAAAACAAGGAAAGACAAAATACTATTGTCTTTCTTCATATAAACCCATAAATCCATTAACATAACACTTGTGCAAACTAACAGACAGAATTAATTGTACAGAACAGATTAACAGCTTTTAAAGAAGGATGCAAAATTAATTATTGAAGAGAAACAAGAAGCCTTAAAAAAAGTACTGTGCCTCCTATTGTTAGATGATATTTGTACAAAATACAATAGAGAAATATAAAATATTATTCTGGCCTTCCTTATTGACCTACAAAATACATAGAGAAATATAAAATATTATTCTGGCCTTCCTTATTGACCTACAAAATACATAGAGAAATATAAAATATTATTCTGGCCTTCCTTATTGACCTACAAAATACATAGAGAAATATAAAATATTATTCTGGCCTTCTTTATTGACCTACAAAATACATAGAGAAATATAAAATATTATTCTGGCCTTCCTTATTGACCTACAAAATACATAGAGAAATATAAAATATTATTCTGGCCTTCCTTATTGACCTACAAAATACATAGAGAAATATAAAATATTATTCTGGCCTTCCTTATTGACTTACAAAATACATAGAGAAATATAAAATACTATTCTGGCCTTCCTTATTGACTTACAAAATACATAGAGAAATATAAAATATTATTCTGGCCTTCTTTATTGACCTACAAAATACATAGAGAAATATAAAATACTATTCTGGCCTTCCTTATTGACCTACAAAATACTTAGAGAAATATAAAATAATATTCTGGCCTTCCTTATTGACCTACAAAATACATAGAGAAATATAAAATATTATTCTGGCCTTCCTTATTGACCTACAAAATACATAGAGAAATATAAAATATTATTCTGGCCTTCCTTATTGACCTACAAAATACATAGAGAAATATAAAATACTATTCTGGCCTTCCTTATTGACTTACAAAATACATAGAGAAATATAGAATATTATTGTCCTTCCTTATTGACCTACAAAATACATAGAGAAATATAAAATACTATTCTGGCCTTCCTTATTGACTTACAAAATACATAGAGAAATATGAAATATTATTCTGGCCTTCCTTATTGACCTACAAAATACATAGAGAAATATAAAATATTATTCTGGCCTTCCTTATTGACTTACAAAATACATAGAGAAATATGAAATATTATTCTGGCCTTCCTTATTGACCTACAAAATACATAGAGAAATATAAAATATTATTCTGGCCTTCCTTATTGACTTACAAAATACATAGAGAAATATGAAATATTATTCTGGCCTTCCTTATTGACCTACAAAATACATAGAGAAATATAAAATATTATTCTGGCCTTCCTTATTGACTTACAAAATACATAGAGAAATATGAAATATTATTCTGGCCTTCCTTATTGACCTACAAAATACATAGAGAAATATAAAATATTATTCTGGCCTTCCTTATTGACTTACAAAATACATAGAGAAATATGAAATATTATTCTGGCCTTCCTTGTTGACCTACAAGGTACATAGAGAAATATAAAATATTATTCTGGCCTTCCTTATTGACTTACAAAATACATAAAGAAATATAAAATATTATTCTGGCCTTTCTTATTGACCTACAAAATACATAGAGAAATATAAAATACTATTCTGGCCTTCCTTATTGACTTACAAAATACATAGAGAAATATGAAATATTATTCTGGCCTTCCTTATTGACCTACAAAATACATAGAGAAATATAAAATATTATTCTGGCCTTCCTTATTGACTTACAAAATACATAGAGAAATATGAAATATTATTCTGGCCTTCCTTATTGACCTACAAAACACATAGAGAAATATAAAATATTATTCTGGCCTTCCTTATTGACTTACAAAATACATAGAGAAATAAAAAAATATTATTCTGGCCTTCCTTATTGACTTACAAAATACATAGAGAAATAACAAATATTATTCTGGCCTTCCTTATTGACTTACAAAAAGGCATTTGTTAAATTACACAATCTAGGTACTATTATAAAAGGCAAAACAGGAAAATAACTAAAAGATTTCCTGAACATGAAATTGGCAATTTGCGTTTTCAGTTAAGGTTCTGGTACAAATAAAACAACGACCAGTCTAGTTAATTTTTTTCAAAAATGTGGGATACAAAATACGACAGTATAATTATGCAAAAAATAACATCGATAATTCGTTATATAAAAATAAGAGGGTTTGGTATGATTCCCAATTCAATGAGACATCTCTCCACCGAATTCAAAATGACGTAGAAGTTAACAACTATAGGACATAGTACGGCCTTCTATAATGTGCAAACCCATACCGCATATCAAGCTATAAAAGCTTGAAATGACAAAATTTAATGTAAACCAAGAAAACTAATATATTTTCAGACGTAAAGTCAGAATTAAATTTACAGTTAAACTTCGCAAGTACAGAATATTTTGTTATAATTGTTAAAATGTTAAAAAGGACTTACATTAGCATGATCAATAAAACTTAGTTTTGCACTAATTAACAGGTGACTTCATTGATATATAATACTTCCTGCCATAGAGTAGTATTACCTTTAACTTGATGACGTGTATAAACAATCAAATCACACTTTCTGCAATAGGCTGTCCAGTAGTAGTATACCTAGGACCAATATATTTGGTGTTCATTTTTAGTGCATGTAGTGGTGTGTCTTATACTATGTTTACTTACCAAACGCCATTAACACAAATATATAAACATATTAGTCCCAGAGTATACTGAACTATTTAACTACGAAAGAACTTGAACTGTAAACTCTGTATTTGTTAAAACACTTTAAAACACAATTAAATCATCGTTCGATTTATTGACATTTCATTTTTATGCATCATTTCTTTTTTTATAAAATGTTATGCAAGAACAATGTTTTATATGTTGTTGTTGTCTTTTAGATTAAGAGAGCAGCCAAAATTTCGACTGTCTAGATTACAATAGCTCGCCCAGTAATGCAATAAAACTTTAAACGGAATAATACTGTCAACATTTTTATTTGGGTTTTTCACGTTGATGCGGCAACTAGCGAGTGTTTTTCATTTCTTTTTTATTATCTCACCCTGTTGTTGTTTTATGGTTATAATGGTTTGTCTGAAAAGAAAGTTCTGTGTAAAAAACAATACCATTAACCTGGACATTCTCAAACAGAACTAACAATCTAATGAAATTATTATATATCTTGACTTTCAGATACACATTGATTCATTTTGGTTCAAGATGTCCGTCCATGCAAAATTTAAAAATTTATACAATTGAGCCGTAATTCCCGAAGAGCACTTTGGACGCACGAAATTTATGATGTACGATATTTCATCGTCTTTACTAAAGTTATTAACAGCTTGTTTTAATCTTACGTTCCATGTCCATTCCAATTTTGGACCCAAGTTGTGACCCCAAGTTGCCCTTTGCGATTTACTACTGTTTTGGTGTTCATTTTTAGTGCATGAAGTGGTCTGTCTTATACTATGTTTACTTACCAAACGCCATTAACATAATTATTCGAGAGAGAAAAAATTATATCAGTTGAGAAATTGAAAAGCTTTGTACTGGAATCACTTGCAAAGATATAGCAATACTCTTCTTGAATGATCTGCAAAGTAACTTTGAAGGGAACTATCATGCAGATATACATCACATAATGGTTTATTTGTCTAGGTTTCTTTATTTTCGTCGTTTTATGAAATGTTAAGCGACGTGAAGAAAGACCAAACGGGTTTTTGTATTTCTTGTGAACAATACAACGAATCAAAATTTTGGTTTTTTTTTCTCTGGATAACTGTCTAATTTATCTTCTTCATGCCATGTCTAATTTATCTTCTTCATGCCATAGGCCAAGTGGTGATTCCAAATGTTTTAACAGAAGAGAAACGTAATGAGCATGCTTGAAGGTACTAGTATTTAAGATGGTATTTCATTTTAAAGGATTTATATAAAAAATGAGGACAGTTCTAGTACACGAATTTTTGTAAACAATAATATAGAACATTACCTAAATGGAGTACCGGTATATATACAATGTAGTTAAGATATCTATCTTATAAAATTAATAAGTGATCTTACAAAATAAATAAGATATCTTATTAAGCATTTGAGATATCTTATAAAAATAAGTAAGATATCTTAAAAAGTATTGAAAATGTCTAGTTTTCTTTATGAGATATCATAATTAACTTAGCTTGTAAATCGTATTCATCAATATAACCGGTGTCGAGAGTCGAAAGTTTTTATTTGGTAGATACAATAACACATCTGATTTTGTATTACACTTTTTACCGACGTTGTTAGTCTTATAGCAAATTCGAGTTATCTGCACTTTTTTCAATAGGTGGCAATATTGATTTTAAAATGGATATTGGACTGTAGTGTACTTGTACTAAATATAGATATTATTACTACATACTTTGAATTACCAATTGTTGTGAAATTTACCTTCTGTAAATATAAACAAATAACATGTACAGTAGGGATTGATTATATGAGATATTATTTCAAAATGAACAGGTAAAGTTGTGTGAACTTTTACAAAAGTAAACCGATTGAAACAATACAAAAAGTCATTTAGATTTATAGTACTAGCATAACAGTTTTTCGTGTAATAATTAAATTCATTGACGTAGCTTACGTTGAGGCAACCAAGACAGTTGCCTCGGTCCGGTAAAAAAAAAAAAAAAAAACTTTTCCTTTATAATCTTTAATCTTTTAAACGATTTCCACCTAATGCAGCAGACTAGTTACTTAACGCTAATATACCGACTTGTTTCGTCTTGTTGCCGCTATTGATTCATACCCTTTGCGAATTCAAGACTTATGGAAACATTTCCCTCCCCTAGTTGGAAATCCCCTTTGCGGTAGTTTTCTGTAATCTAAATTTGTCGGAGTAAAAAAAATCGACAACAGATTTATTTATTCCTACCCCATTGCAAGTAAAATCAGTAGAATAGATGATGATCCAACTCACGAGTCTTCCCCGATCGAATCATTTGACCATTGATCAGGTAAGTTATTTAATTTTGTGTGAGAATGATTTCTAGAATATGAGGGTCTGGATGAGGTTTTATAGAAAACAGAAAAATGCCATGAAATTAATTTAAAGTTAAAGAATAGAGATTTAAAATAGTGCTAAAATATAAAAGAAAGGAAAATCAAATTATGGGCGAAAATAATTTAAACCCTCATTTATAACCGTAACGTCTAAAATTAAAACATCGTTGTGTGTCGACATTTTCCCCTACATGTAGAACTTCAAATACACAGAGTTTCATTGACTATGGTACCAATCAAAATAAAATATACATCAATCAACATGCACAGAAAATAATTTATATGTTGCGGTTCTCAAGTTTTATTCTCGCTATTTGAAATTTATAGTTTTCACTAGCAGGGAATTTAAAATATTTAAAGGAGTCACTAATTCCAGAGAAATATTTATTATATGTCTGTTAGTTCATACATTATGTCAGTTTATATATAAAAATTTCAACCAAATACTGTTTTCATTCAGCTTGAAGACTTCAGAATAACGTAAATGTTAGTACTTCACCGGTAGTCCGAGATTACTCTGACGTCCAACGGCTGTTTTGCCAGACAAGCTGGGGCCGTGGGACGTCAGAGCTCGTCCCATATCAAAAAGTGGATATTTGCCCGTCCAAAATAGATGCGCTGCTTCGTCGCTTCTGGTGCCAACGGACGGCCTTGGAATTATATAAATCGGGTATCAATTTGTTCATTTTTCATTTATCTCTTCATTTATGTAAGTTTCACCTACCTGCCACCCTTTGTTTTCTCATATTTAGACAGTTTTCACAGTGACCCACCGATTCTGGCATTTTGACTTTCATTTTGAAAGATTGTCATGTGATCACGAGAAAAAAGTAAGGCACAATGGACTATGGGAAATGATGTATGCATATGACCCTAGGTCAATATGAATATATAATCTAACACCTCGCTCATTTACGATGCAAACAATGTAAATATCAGAGAGCTTCCGAATGTTATCGTGGTTGGCACTAAATGCTTAATACCGATCTCCTGTAAAGGAGGTGAAAAATCGTGGTTGGCTACTAAATGTTAAATATCGATCTCCTAAAAAGGAGGTGAAAAAAGTATAAATATTTGCATATTTGAGTCTCGAGGTCGCAAAATCTCTCGTAACTTGACGGCCATTTGAAAATAAAAGTAAAAATGTCTGAATCGATGGGTCACTGTGAAAACTGTCTAAATATGAGAAAATAAAGGATGGCAGGTAGGTGAAACTTACATAAATGAAGAGATAAATGAAAAATGAACAAATTGATACCCGATTTATATAATTCCAAGGCCGTCCGTTGGCACCAGAAGCGACGAAGCAGCGCATCTATTTTGGACGGGCAAATATCCACTTTTTGATATGGGACGAGCTCTGACGTCCCACGGCCCCAGCTTGTCTGGCAAAACAGCCGTTGGACGTCAGAGTAATCTCGGACTACTTCACCGGTTGTCATTTTCATCGTGAATGGAAAAAAGTTCAAAACCATTTAAGAATTAAAGACCTTCCAGGACGAAACACAACCAATACAAGTGCCGTGGTGCACTTTACTTGTAGCATGTGTTTATCTCCTAATTTATCAAGAAATTCTGCTGTTCAATCCGTCCGTCGTTTTGTGATGATTATCTATAATTCGTTGATTCGTGACCCACGACCAAGCGAGTAAATGATCAACACAAAAAGTATTTCAAATAAACCTTAATCGTTGCGTTTGTTTTTCTGTATTGAAAATTCTGTATAGGTTTCTTCTGGTCATCGAACAAGGTCATGTTTTCCTTCTGATATAACGTTAAATCTAATGTCACAGTGAGGTACAGCCACCTATATTAGAGTACGACGGCTTGGAAATATTTCGGCAGATTAGGCTTTTGAGCTAGATTTCAGTTACTGTTAGCAAGTCAGGAAAATAACTTGTCAGTGGTTGTCTTATGTGATATCTTCACGTGTTTTGTTATTTTTATAACTTTGAGTTGACCGTAGATTAGATAGTATCGGTTTAAATCATGCACAACTTTCTATAGACTCAGGACGATTTTGAACTTGACATATCCGTCTCCTGTATTCGTAAAGAATTTTAAATCTGGGAAGTTCACTGAAAGGATTCGATTTGAAAAAGTGGTAAATGTTTTCGAGAAGATTTATGTATTCATCTGAACATTGAAAATGATGCCGGTACCAGTAATCAACTAATAAATCGGTAGTATAACTTAGTGTAAGGCATATAAACATTATTATGATGAAATAAAAGTAAACAACAACTATTATTTTTAATAGATTCTTCTTGTTCAAATTGTAAAAACCTCGATAGCTTCTGGGGGGCACAGCCCCCAGACCCCCTGCCTCAGTAATAACAGAAGGCAAGCTACGCCACTAAATTATGAAAACTACGCTTGGTTGATAAGGTTCATGTGGACCCTTTGACTAAAATGTCTGCATTTTCACCTCAAAATTTACTCTGAATACAGACAAACCTGGGTATCTGGAAAAATTAAAGGCATAGCATGCATAAGATAAATAGAATTTAAATACATTTTATGTTTTAAAAAATTAAAAACTTTACTGGATTTTGCAGTGCACTTTTTTCATTCCCCCAGAAGGTGCCAAAATAGACAAAGTTGGGAAAGAGGTTTGAGAACTTCCCCACAGGTAATAATTAGAGTGAACTCTATTGATTGACATGGACAATAGAGGGACAATAATTGGTGATTTAAACTGTGTACCTGAGTGGACCATATCAAGTGAAACTCAACTGATGGTTAGTTTTATCATCTTCTGAAGGGACGAAAAAAAGTGCACAGGAAATCCAGTTAAGGTTAAATTTTCAACATAAAATGCATTTGAATTTTATTTATCTAGGGCATGCTATGCCTCAAAACTTTTCCAGATGCACAGGTTAGTCTGTACTCGGAGTAAATTTTGAGGTGAAAACGCAGCCATTTTAGCCAAAGGGTCCACATATAAGTAAAGTATTACAGTGCTACGCCAAGTGCTTCATAAGTTTATCTGATCTAGAACTCATTTGATGTATTTTGGATTACAATAAAAAAAAAAAAAAGTTGAAAATTTGAAAAGCTCTGTACTTGAATCACTTTTTGAAGCGAATTGTGTTTCGGATATATTTAACATAACAGTATCCTTATCTAATGTAATTCGAGTGTTGTTGTATTTTTATTTTCGTCTTTTAAAATGTGTGTACGACGAGAAGAAGACAACATATGCTTTTATATTTCTAATGATTAATAATAGAAGTTACTGAGATCATGACCTTTTTGGTTGTATTTCGTTTTGTCCCCTTGGGTTATCGCCTCATTGATCTACTTTGTTTTTTCCATTTGTTCATATTACATGATTTTTCAGAGACAAAATTCTAGAGAATTTAAAGACTAATGGCTATGTGGTAATTCCAAATGTTTTAACAGAAGAGGAATGTGATGAACATGCTGGTAGTTATAAAAGATGGTATTCCATTTTAAAGGACAATACAGCAAAAATGAAACAGCGAAGGTCCGTCATACAGTCATACAGAGTCGGTCATTTTAACACAACATGGAAAATAAGACTCCAGGTAAATGAATTTTGTAAACAATAATATAATGCATTCCCTACATTGAGTACAGTTTCTCCAATTTTCATGCTTTTTTCACATTTCTCGATCGGTGTGAGACAAATATTTTTGATCTCTTAAACTTTGTTCTCGGCAAATGATTCGTCAAAATCTAATTATGACGTCAAATTTTCTTGGTTTCTTCTGAATTTTCTAGTGTGACCTCATGGAGTACTGTATAAAAAATGCAGTTAAGATACCTATTAGCGCCTCTTGCCACTCTTATCATTCTACTTAAGACAAGAGGAACTTAAGTGATGGCTAAACTTATTTGTTAGAATTTTAACATATCGGTTTAGCTTGATATCATTGCATTACCGTTCACTTTTCACATATCTTTATTTTGTATTGCACATTTGGCTACATAAGGAAGGACTTTGTATCTTTGACTCGTGTTGCAATACTCATTTGTTTTTTAAATTCTATTCTATTATATTCTTGGTCTTAATTAATATTGAAAATTTCTTTAATTTAGGTCAAACCTGTTTTTGAAATGATATGGGGAACAAAGAAACTTCTGACAAGCGTAGATGGAATTGCAATTTCGATGCCTTCAGAAACAGGTAACTGAGAGTTGACTGAATTAATAAGTATACCTACTTAACCATATTCTTTCATTTTTATTACATGATTTTTGAAAGAAGTCCTTTCGGAAAATTCGCCTTGTTAATAAATAATATATTACAGTTACTGACGAGTTATGCAAAACAAACTTAAAAACTCACAGACATTTCTAATTAAAAATCATATGTTAGCGATTTTCATGCGCACGAAATTGTTTTTGAGGTAAACATTCGATAGGAACGTCAAAACTAAACGTTTCGTGGAAAGCAGGAAGACGTTTTAGAAGTTAAAACCAAAAGGTCATAGACATTGATTTCAGTCTGAAGTCAAATTTGAATTAGTGCTGTGTCACCTTAGTGTTAGTACAAATGTACTGTCAAGATCTTTTTGCAGTGCACTCTGCAATAATTCTATAGAGTCTATTAAATTCAAAATAAATAAATTAAAGAAAATGATACAAAAGTGATCATACCAAAAATAAAATAACTAAAAATTATAATTTAAAAGGTGAAGCTGATTTCCGCTCAAATAGTGATTGTTGGATGCATTTGGACCAAGGTGCAAAACGCAGGGGTCTCCATGCATACCAAGGAGCTGTTTACCTGGAAGAATCAACCGACAAAGACTATTGTTTCCGGGTAATGGATGGATCACATGATTTCCATTCAGAATTCTTCAGAGCTTTCCCTTATGCCTGCGAAAAATCAAAGCGTTGTGAATTTTACAAGTTCAATGAGGAAGAAAGAACATGGTATGAAAACAATGGTTGTCAGTTGATGTGCGTTCCTGTTCCAAAGGGTGGAATCGTTTTATGGGATTCTAGGACTGCGCATGATAATATAGCTCCACTCAGTGGACGACCAGATACGGACAGATGGCGCTGTGTCTGTTTTGTAAGCATGACACCTGCATTATGGGCAGGAAAAGACGATATCGAATTTAAAAACAAGGCATACGCTGATATTGCCATGACAACTCATTGGTCATCTCAAGGTCAAAAGCGTCACAAATCAGAAGAAAAATGCGATGATGTACTATCAATCAAAAAACTTCCTGCAACCTCACGAACGAAGGAGGCCAAATTACTAGTGGGCGTCGATAGTTACGATTTTAATGATGGCGAACCAAATGGTCCACCAGCCCCTTACTGGATGTAACATATCTCAGCTTAGATATATTTGTGATTGATTCGAAAAACTAGAATACTCGTTTTAATATGTTACATACATTGACCTTTTAGGTCTTTTATAATTAACTGGTGGTGACAGGTTCGATACAGTAATAAATAAAACAGGTCGCCAAAAGTTTGTATTGTTTTGTTCTTTTGTTTGTGGTGTTGTACGTAATTTCCCGGTTTTTGCTTGTTCCTTTGGTACGACTTTATAGAGAATGTTACTGTACAAAAATGAGTGAATAACCCTTTTTATTCAATTCCAGAAGATGAAATGATAGCTTTAAGAATACATCCCTGTAGTTGTGATAAGCCTTGTAATAGACTTGAAACTAAAAAAGAACAGACTGAAATTAAAAGCAGAATGCACAAAAATCAGCTTTCAAAATGTTGTCGATCAATTTTGTCCGTTGAAGTTTAGAAACCACCACGCTTTCGTAGTGCTCATGATTTCAAAAAGTACTCAATCGATTTGTATTATCACTGAGTTGATTACTAGATAATTCATAAAATTCCTGATTTAAAGTAAAACTGGGAATGTTAAATAAGTATATGTTATAAATCACGTCAGTACCGAATAATTGTCTTAATTGACTACTGAGAATGGACAGGTCATTATCAAGACAACAATAGATCAATTTAATCATTTTCCCTGTGATCACTTACTTTGCATAATGTCATATATTGAATGCTGTATATCTGAAACTGTTCAAAATGCATGAAAGCAAACCAATTATTGCTGAAAACCATATAATTTTCTATATTTTATACATGTTCTTCAACTTCGTACTTTAATTGGCCTTTTCACTTCTTTGATGTAAGCCTTACTGATGAGTCTTTTGTAGACGAAACGCGCGTCTGGCTTAAAAAAAATATTAGTCTGTATCTTGGATGAGATTTTAATTTGATTAATTGGATCTTTAATTTAGGTCAAAAATCATAAGTGAAAAAATACTTTTAATCTCTATGTATGATGCAATGTGGGGATGCGTCAAATCCTAAATTCCTTCGGGTAGGTTGATTTGCATATGATTCATAACTTTTTGTCAAGCAGTTAAACTATTTGCCATTTGTGATATACAAAATGTATCCTGTGTACTGCAATTTGTTTTTCATATTATTCGATTATTTATAATCACCCGTTTTTAAAACAAAATCTATAATGTCTGTTAAAAAAGGATAGTTCAACTATGTTATCTATACATGTATTAGAAAACATAAGTTTTAATTCATTCATGACATTTTTGTGATTAACAGCGAATTGGCGATTTTACAGTATCCTCAGCAATATTTTAAGTGTTTTTTTTTAGTGGAGGGGGCATTAAGTATACCCTTGTCCGTCCGTACGTCTCAAAGTTGGTTTTCATTCTCTAACTTAAGTTTGCCTCAACCAAATTTTATGAAACTTATACACAATGCTTATTATCATAAAACACAGATCAAGTTTGAATTTTGGTGGCGTCACTTAAACGGTTCTAGAGTTATACCCCTTTACAAATAGAAAAATTGCTGAATTTTTCGTTTTCTGTTTTCTAACTTAAGTTTGCCTCAACCAAATGTTATGAAACTGATACACAATACCAATTACCACAAAACTCAGATTAGTACAAATTTGGGTAGCGTCACTTTTACCGTTCTTCAGTTATGTCCCTTTATAACTTTATATGATATGCAAGCGGGGGCATTATCTGTGTCCCATGGACACATTCCCTATTTATATAAAACTACTTTAAAAGTTAGTGATTTTAAAAGTATCCGAATATGTCAGAGGTATTACAAAATTCCTAATTTTAAAAAAAATCACTATAACATATTCAAACTGAGGGAAAACCAACGCGTCGGCAGTGCATGCAATTCAAAAGTCATATACAATAATTTACAATTTACAATGGAACTGTCACGACGAAGAAAAACACGTTACTATGCCAATTAAAAGAAAACAGACAGACACACACACGCACGCACACACATTATAATGTAAATATGTGTAGCCCTCCCGATATGAGATAGTGGATGGGGGTTTACAGAATAGAGAATAATGGGGAAAAATATAAAGAATAGAGCAAAATGGAATAGGAAAATGAAGAATAGAGAAAAATGAGGTGATAAAATATAAAGAATAGAGAATAATGTGCATTAAGTATAAAGAATAGAGAAAAATGCCATAAAAACATTAAAGAATACAGAAATGAAGGACCCCATCCAGAGCCTCCTATCTTCAATGTGTACATCAAATGCAGTGAAAATAGATTGTTTTGAGGGAATAATAACATGTAGCGACATGAAAAAAAGTACTAGACGCTTTTTGAAGACGGTGCAGTCTTCCATGGAAGACTCCAAAATATAAATATTTATAATCGTACAAATGTAGAAAGAAATGAATCGAAAATGAAATGGTAGCAGTTAATTTTTCTTGAATATTTATAAAATTCAACTTAAACGTTGTATAAATACATGTAATGAGTATCATATTAGAGAGAGAAAAAACACATGAAAAATCAAAAATAACGATCTCTTCGATATACGTTCTTTTTCAAAATAGTCATATATACAAGTAGATCGGGTATCAATTCGTATTTTTCTTATTGAAAATTTTAAGCCTTAATTGATGCGACCCGCCATTTCACCTGTAAACCGTAGGTGTCATTAGCCGGTGTCGAGAGGTGATTGTGCTTTTTGACACGTAACACAAAAGGGCACTTGCGCTCCAAACACTATATACATTTGCGCTTTAAACTTTGATACCTGAACTAAATTGACCGGTTAACGGGACATTTGCGCTTTTGACTTATGAATTTTTTCTTGTAATCTTAAACAAATTAACCAATGTCAAGGAAAGATTTTCACACATTCTTTGAAAGTTCTCCCATACAAACCACAAAATCAGAAAAAAATATTCATCAAACGATAGAGAAAACGAATATTTTATGGATGGAACGTTCAAATTTTGCGCTATATTCTTCAAGCAGCTCTATGTATACAATTCGTGGTTTTAAAAATGGAAACTATATTCCTCTTGTGTTCTATCTATTGCATGGAAAGTCCGAATAACTGAACATAATTTATCTAAACTTGTTTCAATTTTGTAATTTAAACCTAAATTTGAAATTTTTAACCACCTGCCTTGCATGTTGACTTTGAAGAGAAAGTAACGTTTGTTATAAGGAATTTACTTCCATCCACCCTCTTAAAGTGTTTTCATCTGACACAAGGATATGAGGGCCGAATATTTAACCTTTTAGCTCTATATAATATGTATGAAAATGTGGTTTTTTTTTATATTAAATGATTTTTTAAACTTTTAACCATGTATGTAAAAAAATGTTATATAGAAAAAACGCAAATGTCCGTTTTTTAAAAGCGCAAATGTCCTATAAATTAAAGTGCAAATGTCTATCAAAAAGGTCAAATTTCAAATCAATGAGTGCAGACGTCCGGCGCCGATCGAGAGTTATTTAAACAGGTCTATTAGTAGATACAGTACCACTACCAACGTTTTTAGTCTAATAGTGAATTCGAGTTATCTACGTTTTTTTCAATAGGCGACAGCATTGATTTCAAAATGGATATTGGACTTACCTGTTAGTAGTATATTTATAGTTACTTAATATAAATATTATAACACACACTTTAATTTAAATTACCAATTGTTGTGAAACTTACATGTTGTGTATTTATGCTACATATAGATATTATTACTGCATACTTTAAATTACCAATTGTTGTGAAAGATACCTTCTGTAAATAAAAACAAATAACATGTACAGTAGGGATTGATTTTAAAACATATTGTTTCGCTATGAACAGGTAAAGTTTTTATTTACTCAAATCTTTCACAAGTTTTCACAAAAGTAAACCTATTGAAACAATATATATGATAACATAACAGTTTTTTTTGCAATCATGCTACACCAAGGACGTCATTAAGTTTATCTAAAACGCATTCAACGTATCCTAGGTTCAGTCCGTTGATCTGAATAGTATATAGGGCCATTGTCTATATTTATCATAGACACGTTTACAGCTATATCATTATATTCGCGAGGAACAATTAAAAAGGTTTGCTCATTTCACAATCACAATACGATAATTCTCATATGATTTGCCTACTACAAATACTTTAATCGGATTGGACCGTTAGAATATTTTGCTTTGGTTTACACTTCGATAAACCATGTTGCCGAAACTACTTTCGTAACCTTCATTGTGATCTATTCATGCGCGATAGTCGTGCATGGGATCCAGATGATCTAAGCAAATTGAGATTAAAAAACAAATACATAATAGTCAGAGTGTTCTTTTTTAACGCACAACAAAAAGAAATAATGTATTAAAGTTTGAAAAATGTATGAAATTAGAATTAAAATTCCGCGAAATAAAACGAATGATCCCAAGTTGGCATTGTTAACACCATGGCGAATCATGGCGTCATTCGAATGAAAACTCTCACGCTGAAGATTATTCCGTTAAATTAAAATGAAGTTTTTGAGGTAGGTGTTATTTCATTTTAGATTCTATAGCATTAATCAATCAGTTATCTATGTCCATAAAAACCAATATGATGCCGACTTTCGTGTACACAAAAAATGTTTTTAGATATGCCTTTTGTTGGAGAGCTCAAAATTAAACAATTCACTGACAGCAGGGGAAAAATTTAGGCATTAAACCAAAAGGGTCTAAACAGAGCTTTCAAAACGTCATATATTCATATATAAGCCCTTCGTACTTTTATTCAGTTTGTGAATTAATCGCCCCAGTTTACACATCAATAACAATGTGTTTATTTCTATAATATTTTTTATAAATCGGTCTTAAAAGGGAAATCAGTGAAGTCTTGTAACTTAAATGTGTTCTTTCTGTAAGAATAAAATATAAACAAATGAATCGTTCTATCTGTTTTCCTTGGATGTGGTATGTTGATTGGAAACAATTACGCTATAAAGTACCATGTACTTTGACATGATGAAAATATAATGCACTGAGTAACATACAGATACAGATACATATGTAGTTTTCAAGGCTTATCCTTTTTTTTAAAGGAATGGTCGGTTGAGGAGTTCAACTTGTGAACGTCTGAAAACTTGGTTTGTTGGTTGGTCCGTTTAGAATGGATATTGCTCAGTTTACTTTCCGTATGACTGTCCACTATTTAATATATCGACATTTAAGGATTTTTCTCTGAATTTAAATTGAAATGAAGACATTCCCTTTTGGGGGGAGGGGGGATAAGACAAATTTCCAGTTTTATTATTTTGATTTTGTATGTTTTTATGATACCTTTCGCTTTTCCATGGGTTGTCTCATACAAAGAATGGCCAGTGAAACCCATAAAAGTAATTTTAATCCCTCCGTTGCTTTTTGGGTTTTTGTATGTTAATTCAATATCGTGACTAGTTGTAATAAATTGATACACCATAACCCTTCTTTATGTTCTGTGATAAAAAAAGGTTAAGAGGGATTTTAATTTGAAATATAGATACATATGTTTTAGTCTTACCTTTATCACGACAATCATTGCAAACTATCTTTTGAACTTTACTTACTAACCAGGCGCCATTTACATATTTATTAGAAAAAAACCAACATGATATTTAAGTTGAGAATTTGAAAAGCTCTGAACTTGAATCACTTTATATTTTTTTTAAGAGAATTATGTTGCGAATATATTTCACATACGTTTCATAACATTTGGAATTACCAAATCATTATCTAATGTAAATCGGTCGCTGTTGTTTTTTTTTCATCGTTTAAGAAAGGTTTATACGGCAAGTAGAAAGACCAAAGGGGCTTTTGTATTTCTAATGATTAATACATTCAATTGTACCTTCTTGGATATATTTCGTTGTAACCCCTTGGATACTGTCTAGTTGATATACTTTGCTGTCTTCTCATTTATTCATATAACATTTTTGCAGAGACGACATCCTAGAGAATTTAAAGACTAATGGATATGTGGTAATTCCAAATGTTTTATTAAAGGAAGAATGTGATGAGCATGCTGGAAGTTATAAAAGATGGTATTCCATTTTAAAGGATTCTAGAGCAAAAATGATGCAGCGAAGATCCGTCATACAATCATACAGAGTCGGTCATTTTGACACAACATGGAAAATAAGACTCAAGGTAAATGAATTTTTGTAAACAATTATCTAACACATTCCCTGCATAGAGTATCGGTAAATACAATGTAGTTTAGATACCTATATGTGACTCTTACCACTCAGGTCGTGTCATTGTACTTAAGACCCAGTGGTCTATGGTATTGGCAAATCGTATTTGTTTTATTTTGAATAAATCAGTTAAAGCTTCATATTTTGCATGACGGTTGATTTTTCAAGTATTTTCCTTTTGTTTCTTCTAAGCATTTGGCTACCTCTAAAAGGATTTTGTATCAATTTCTTGTGGTACAATGAATTCTCTGGTCTTTATTCTATTCTATAATATTCTTCGTGTGAATTAATATTGAAAATTTCTTTAATTTATAGGTGAAGCCGGTTTTTGAAATGGTATGGGGGACGAAGAAACTTCTGACAAGCGTAGATGGAATTGCAATTTCTATGCCTTCAGAAACAGGTAATTGACAGTTGACTGACTTTATAATCATACTAACTTCATCATAACCTTTCTTTCCTGTCGAGCTGTGCAAGGAAACTACCGTTTTTTCAGAATATTCGCTTTTCAGTTACTAACGTATTATGCAAAACAAAAGAAAAACTTACAGGGATTGAAGCATTTGCTTCATAAAAAACCCATATGATACCGATTTTCGTGTATACAACAATGTTTTAGATATACATTCCATTGAAGAGCTCAAAACTAAACGAATCATTGAAAGCAGGGGTAAAACTTTAGGCATTGCAATCAACAGGGTTCCAAATACTGCTTTAGAAAGTCATATACAAATTAGTGCGTTGCAACTTAGTCCTATCAAGATCTTTTGCAGTGGATTCTGTAATAATTCTTTTTGTCCCCTTGGTTGTAACATTTAAAATAAATAATAAAAAAAGACAATGTTACAAAAATGATCATATAAAAAGTCAGTGTATTGAAAATATAATACGTAATATATCATTTAACAGGTGAAGCCGATTTCCGCTCGCATGGTGATTGTTGGATGCATTTGGACCAAGGTGCAAAACGTAGGGGTCTCCATGCATACCAAGGGGCCGTTTATCTGGAGGAATCAACCGACAAAGACTATTGTTTCCGAGTAATGGACGGATCGCATGAATTCCATTCAGAATTTTTCAGAGCTTTCCCTTATGCCGGCGAAAAATCAAAGCGTTGTGAATTTTACAAATTCAACGAGGAAGAAAGAACATGGTACGAAAACAATGGTTGTCATTTGATATCCGTTCCTGTTCCAAAAGGTGGAATCGTTTTATGGGATTCTAGGACTGCGCATGATAATTTAGCTCCACTAAGTGGAAGACCAGATACGGACAGATGGCGCTGTGTCTGTTTTGTAAGCATGACACCTGCAAAATGGGCAGGAAAAGACGATATCGAATTTAAAAACAAGGCTTACGCTGATATTGCCATGACAACTCATTGGTCATCTCAAGGTCAAAAGCGTCACAGATCACACAAATCAGAAAAATCAGAAGAAAAACGTGATGATGTACTCTCAATAAAAAGACTTCCTGCAATTTCACAAACAAAGGAGGCCAAATTATTAATGGGCGTCGATAGATACGATTTTAAAGATGGTGAGGCAAATGGTCCACCTGCCCCTAACTGGATATAACTTATATCATCTTAAGATAACAGTTGTAATTGAAAGGAAAACTAGACTTCTCGTTTTAAAACGTTGCATATATTGACCTATTGGGTCAATTCACTGATGATGACAGATAAGCGAAAAAATCAAATAAAATAGACAACCGAAATTTTGTATTACTTTTGTTATTCATTCGTTTCAATAGGTCTAGGTATTGTCTGTCATTCTCCGGATTGATTATTCCTTTGGTATGAATAATAAGGAGCTGTATAGAGAATGTTAACGTAAAAAGCTAGGTGAAACTCCAACGACTTTTAATTCAATCCCAGCAGATTGAATAATACGATACATTTGTAAGAACATATTCCTTTATTATTGATAAGCATTGTAAAAGCTTTGAATTTTAAAGTTCAAAATGTCGTTTAACCACAACAGTTTTCAAAACAATGTCAATTATTTCAAAAAGTGTCTAATAGACGGGTATAATCACTGAATTTATTAGATAATTCAAGAAATCTTGGATTTTGACTAGGGAATTTACAAAATTACTGAAATAATTCTAAAGTACTTTTAATACAGATTCATTGGTTTATTCAGGGAATTTAGAAAAAGATATAAACACATTATAAATATTGAGCGTTCTATCTATTTAGAATCATGTGCAAAACAGTGTAGCCGAGACCATTGATTGGCGCGCTAAAATATCCCATTGACTGGGTCAGATAAGGTGAACGTTCGTCTGTAACGCCCACAACTCACGACGTATTTATTATAAACATTTAAACTGTGGGGTTGCCAAAGGGTCTCAGTATATATACGAACTACAGTGCACAGTATATTATATACATATTTTATTTGCGATCATAAAATGTACGAAGTCGTCCATTACTATGTAAATTGGGTCGATTAAAAAAAAAGCTGAATATGTTTCTGTTGCCAAGGGTTTATCACAAGTGTAATAATAATAATAATAACAATATCTTTATTTAGAGAGAGTAACTCATTTGGATTACACCAATTTTCAATAAGGCTCTCTTAAGACAAAAAAAATAACATAAAAAATAAACAGTGCATATTCAATAATAATGATAAATAAAGATGTAATACAATTTAAATACAATAAACAATTATTATATATGGCATTACAGTACAAATATCATGGTAATGTTAAAAGTACATAGATTTGTAGTTATGTTTAAATTCTAATACTGTGTTTGATTTTTTAATTGAATTAGGAAGAGCATTCCATACTTTTGGTCCATTGTACGAGAAACTAGACTTATACAACTCTGTATTTGGTTTTGGAATTATAAAATTATCTGGGGACGAAAATCTCGTATTGTATTTTTGGTTTGCAGAAGCTGATAGAATAAGACTGGACATATATTCTGGACCTAAGCCATGTTTTGCCTTATACATTAGTAAAGATTTATGATAATGTATTCTTTGTGTAATCGGCACAATGTTACATTCGTGAAATAATTCGCTTGAAGGTTTGGTGTAATCATGTTCGTCTAAAATTATTCTTGCTGCTCTCTTTTGCAGTTTTAGTAAACTATCTAATAGAAAGTTATTACAGTTTCCCCATATTGAACAACAAGTATAGTAGTTAGCAGAAAAGATCATCAAACTATACATTTTAAGTATTCAATATAAATCAAAACACAAAGGTTATTCATGATTAGTTTTTCGAATTATTTTATTTAGGCGTTGAGACCCTTTGGTGACCCCACAGTATAAATGTCTATAATAAATACGTCGTGAGTTGTGGGCGTTACAGACGAACGTTCACCTAATCTGACCCAGTCAATGGGATATTTTAGCGCGCCAATCAATGGTCTCGGCTACACTGTTTTGCACATGATTCTATTATGATCCCCTTTATTATGATCTCCTTTATTCGGGTTTTCTCATGAAAATGTAAATGTTCTAAACTTTAGAGAATGGAAACGGGAAATGTGTCAAAGAGACAACAACCCGACCAAGGAGCAGAAAACAAAAATGACCAAAATTTCAAAAAATAAACAACACAAGACTAGATAAGACAGTATATTTGAAAATATTTTCTGTATATACAGACTATTTATAGAAAATGTCTGCAAACAATTGTAAACAGTACAATTGGTGATTGACCGTCATTTATTTGACTTACACTGCTTGTCGTAAAGGTACTTTGCGAAAGAAAACGGTGACCTGGAATACCGGGTTAAACGATTGGATAGTCGTCCAAATTATACATTTAAATTCATTGCTGGTCATTTTTATGTCGGTAAACAAGGGAAAACAATACAAACACTTAATCTCTATGTTACAAGAATTTTCATTTATATTCTTCAAAGCTAAACGAAACTGTTAAAGTATTAGTTTCAGGATTCGTTAACGTCCTAAGAGCCCTGCATAATCCCATATGTATACTAAAGTAGTTAACCTCCACAATCAGAACATTCTTAATTCAGTCGGGAAATTTGGGCCAAATTACTTTATTCTGTGGTTTCATAGTTGGATATGAACCCTAAAGGTTGCTAAGGCTATAGCAATATTGTCATCCCTGGACTTCTCCTGGCGGCAGCTAGACCCTTGCTTAAGTGGAGCGTCCGTTTGGCTGTATAAATACACCGCCAAATCCGGTGGGAAAGGGGACGTTAAATCCGATGCCTCGTATAGGGTGAACGGCACGCTCAGAACATTTGCAACTATACTCTCTGAGTGGTCCATCGGTGTTCTATGGTGAGGACATTGTCCCTATCCAACATTTACACGAACCGTCATTTTCCAATGACAGTTTTAATTTCCCGACCTTCATATCGTTGTAGTTGTTAATGTGTTATCGTCTTGAAAATGTACCAAAATATTTGCCACTGGACGTTAAGCAAACAATCAATCAAACGGCAAAGGTTCTTTGACGTGCAGAAGGCGTGGCATACACCCTACATGAGGCATTGGATGTAACGTCTTTTTCCGACCAGACGTGGCGGCGTATTAAAAAACCCAGAGCCAAACGGAAGCACAACTTTAGCCAGGGTTTTACTGTCGGTAGAAGTCCAGGAATGGACAAATCAACCCGTAGGAAGTTCGGACTTTAGGAAAGAGAGGCGAAAGATACCAAAGGGACATTCAAACTCATCAGTCGAAAATAAACTGACAACGCCATGGCAGTATACATGGAGAAACGCATTTCTATTAACATGCATGATAAATCGAATTTCACTAGCAGAGTGAATTATATTGGATCATGATAGAAATGCTAAGTCCATAGAATTAATAGAAAAATTAGGGATCCGAAGAGATTTCAACTTTTTCATCGAAATTATGATATACGGTACTCGTGGACAATTACAAACCTTATTTGGTGTTTATATATGGAACGCCACAGCTGTCTTATGTGGAACTCTGATATTACCTTATGTTGTTTTATTATTACTTGAAGATATTTTGTCTTTACTTAATATGGTTTTGACATTACGTAATGATGTTTTGATATAACTCAATATGGAATAGTCATTACTTAATGATATTTCAGTATTACACGATATGGTTTCGTATTGACTTGATATAGTTTTGTCATTACTCAATATGGTTTTGTCATTACTCGATGTGGTTTCACCATTATTTAATGTGGTTTCACCATTATTTAATGTGGTTTCACCATTATTTAATGTGTTTGTGTCATTAGTCAATGTGGTTTTAACATTACTTGATGTGAATGTGACTTAACGTTATGTAGTTGTTTCATTACATGATGTGGTTTTGTTATTTCGTAATGATGATTTGCCTATTCTTTATACGGTTTTAACATTACGCAATGATGTTTCAAAATTTGACGATTTTACACTACATGATGTGTTTGTTTCATTATTTGATGTGGTCCTGTCATTCTTTGATGTGGTTATCCCATTACTTGATGAGGTAAAACCACGTGACCAATTCGGAAAAAAATATGTTCTATTTTTAAACAGATTTCAATATATCGTTTGTTTAATGTGCTTTGGATGGGTATCGCTATCCATTGAGTTAAAGTTCAAATTAAAGTTCGAGTGGTTGTTCAGAGTTATTTGGTATGAAAAAGGGGAACGGCAGACAATAATAAGAAAAAAAGTATTAAAAAGTTTACAGTATTTCGGACATAATTGGGATATCCCCAAACCACTTGGTCCTGTTGTTTTTATCCTAAGTTCTCAAACGGAAGCAGTATTTTTGTAATAAATTTGTAAAATATTCCACGGAACCCTGTGTCTCGCTTGATATTGCTGCTATAAGTGTAAAAGCGTCATGTTGATCGGCTGTACATTTATCTATACATTTATCGGTAAAAACAAAATTAAAAAAAATGTTTTTCTGTAGTACTTTTTCTTGAAATTGAGGAATAACTCCTATACAAGTTTTAAAACACTTCATGGAGGTTTACAAATTTATCATGTCAAAACAGTTTAATTCGGTTTTATTAAACTAAACTAAAACTGTATGGTTTTCAACAATGAGCAAAACCCATACCCTATAGTAAGCTATAAAAGGTCCCGAAAGGAAAAATGTAAAAAACTAGAAACCTAACGATCTATATAGATAGATAGATAGATAGATACTTTATTCTCTAAAAAATAAATACAAGTTTACAGAGAAACATACAATATAAATACAGATACAATAGTCGAGGTAAACAAATACAGTATGATATTCTAAAAGTACAAAATTATGATGGCATACATGTTTAGTAACATGTATAATGAAAGGTTAAACTCAATAGAAATAAAAAAAAATGGAGATGGAGACGCCGACGCCACTATCGACGACGAAATATAGGTTTGGTGTGTCTCACTGCCGCTACATTGATGTCGCAGGCTCGACACAAATCAAAAGACTTGAACTTTATTGTTAACAAATGAAACACTTCAAATCAACTCACACTAAAGTTACAGGGAAACAGGGGGAGGGGGGCTCGGACTAAGCGACAAAGCATCAATACTATAAAATAAGAATTCTCCGATTTGTTTTTTTTAGCGTAAATGATCATTTGAACTTATACGAATATCAATCTTTTATTTGTAATCAATTGAATTCCCTGATCTACCTCGCACTAATTGAAAAATAACTTTTTGGAATATCTGTTTTGCATGTGACGACGGACATGTTCCAGTGGTCGTAACCATAATACCGTCATCTTTGTAAACTACCAAATA